TGTACTATTATAGGCGTCACGTGACGCGCGACCTACGGTGCGCGTCGCCTCGGGGTCTCGTTCGGAGACCCTCTCGGAGACCCTCTCGGAGACCTTTTAGGAGATGTTCTCGTAGACGTCTAACTAGTACCTTGTAGTAGTTAGACATCCGTTATTACATCGCTATGCCTACCGTTACCTTTCCCCAGTCCCGCGACCTTATTACCCCAAGACCCGGCAGGTCGGCTGCCAGGCCTTATAGAATAACGGATCACCAAAGGACCCCGGCTGGGAACGTGAAAGGGGGTAGTGATGGGATCCCGCTGCACATTGGTGCTAGCGGTAACCCTAGTGGTCCGGAGAGCCACCTCACTCTGGTAGGAGTGTTCTACCCGCAGGGGATTCCTGTGCAGGCAGTGATGATGGTAGATTCGGGGGCCACGGGTATGTTCATGGATCGGACGTTCGCGAGGATCCATAACTTTGATGTGATAGACCTAGAGAACCCTAGGACCGTCACGGTCATCGACGGAAGAGAGATAGTGGGTGGTCAGATCACCCAGAAGGCACATGCTATTGTGCGGACAGGATTGCACCAAGAAAAGGCGGAGTTCTTCTTGACGGATTTGTGTGGGTACGCGGCGGTCCTCGGGATTACATGGTTACGACACCATAGCCCACACATCCAGTGGGATACAAATACAGTCACCTTCGCGGACGACTGTTTGAAGAAAGGATGCGTCAAGAAGGTAGAGGTAGTATGCTCCCCCGACGAGGTGGAGATAGAGACGCGGAATATCGATCCGCTGTCGAGAATGAAGGAGCCGATCACGGAGAATCTCGTGGTGGCTCAAATGCAGATGACGAGGGAGGATGAGGAGCGGGCCCGCAGGCCGGACCTGTGGGACTGGGACGTCAAGCCCACCGACTCGATTCAAAACGAACTCGATCCTCCCGAGTACATGGAGAAGTTGCGGGACGTTGTGCCGAAGAAGTACCATGAGTACCTCGGGGCGTTCTCCAAGACGAAGGCAGATTCGCTGCCTCCGAAGCGCTCGATCGATCATGCGATCGAGCTGAAGCCTGGAACAACTCCCACGTATGGGAAGTTGTACAACCATTCGCAGAAGGAGACGGACGCTCTCAAGGCGTGGTTGGCGGAGAACCAGGCGAAAGGGTTTATTCGACCCTCGAAATCCTCGTGTTCGAGTCCGGTACTGTTCGTACCAAAGAAAGGGGGCGAATTGAGGCTGTGTATTGATTACCGCCGCCTCAACGAAATTACCGAGAAGGACAGGACCCCCCTGCCGCTTATCTTGGAGACCTTAGATCGCCTACGGGGATCAAAGGTATATACGAAGATGGACCTGAGGGGAGCGTACAACCTCCTGAGGGTCAAAGAAGAGGATGTTTGGAAGACCGCGTTCACGACACGCTATGGTCTGTTCGAATGTCTCGTCATGCCATTTGGTTTGACAAACGCGCCGGCGACGTTCCAGCGCTGGATGAATCAGGTCTTCCAGGACATGTTAGACGTGTGTGTGGTCGTCTACTTAGACGACATATTGATTTACTCCGCCGATCAGGAGACACACGACGAGCACGTACGGGAAGTGCTGAGGAGGCTACAGGCGAATGGCCTGTACGCAAAGGCAGAGAAGTGTGAGTTCGACACGACGGCGACGGAGTTCTTGGGGTATGATATTGCCCCTACGGGGGTCAGCATGAACCCGTCGAAGGTGAAGTCGGTGTTGGAGTGGGCGGCGCCTCGAAATATTCGAGGCCTGCAGTCGTTCTTGGGGTTCGCGAATTACTATCGCCGGTTCATACAGAACTACTCCAAGAAGATTCAAGGCATGACGGCCTTGACAAAGAAAGGGGTGAAGTACCACTGGCCGGAATCAGCGGATGCTGCCTTCAAGGAGTTGAAGAAGGCGTTCACCGAGGCGCCCATCCTCGCTCACTACGACGAGGAGCGCCAGGTGGTACTGGAGACGGACGCATCGTCAGGTACGATGGGAGCGGTGATGTCGCAGGTAGGAGACGACGGGAAACTACATCCCGTGGCGTTCATGTCGAAGAGCCTTACGCCGGCTCAACGAAACTACGACGTACACGATCGCGAGCTGCTCGCCATCGTGTACTGCTGCCAGATATGGCGGCATTACCTGGACGGGAAGTTCCCGGTGAGGATCCTTACGGATCACAAGAACCTGGAGTACTTCAAGAAGGACAAGATGTTGTCCCACCGACAAGCGAGATGGTCTCAGTTGCTGAACCAAATCTCGTACACGTTGGAGTACAAGCCGGGGACAGAGAACGGGAAGGCTGACGCGCTCAGCAGGAGAGAGGAGTTGATGGAGGAGACGGAGCCCAAGCAGGCAGAGACCCTGTTGCGCCCCGTTAATGCAGACGCGCTGGTGGTCAGCGCAGCGACGGTACAACCCCCGTTGCGGTTGTGCGGAACGATCCCCGTCATAGGGGATTGGTTCTTGAAAGCGTTGATCCCTGCGGGACAAGAAGATCCGGTCGCGAGAGACCTGATCAAGGGCGTCAAGGAGGGAACCTTGACGAATAGTCGGTACAGTCTGAGCCCGGGAGGCGCGCTCATGTACGACGGGCTGGTGTACGTTCCCGATGCGGGAAGCTTGAAGACGGAGCTCTTGAAGAGGCTCCATGATGGGAAGACCGCCGGACACTACGGGCGGGACAAGACGGAGGACCTGGTGAGTAGAGATTTCTACTGGCCGGGTATGAAGGCGTGGATTAGCCAGTACGTGGCTAGTTGCGACAAGTGCCAGAGGAATCGGAGGCCGAGGGCCAAACCAGTCGGCGAGCTGGCTCCCCTGAAAGCGGAGACGGAGCCCTACCAGTCGATCACGTGGGACCATATCACGGACCTACCTGAGTCGAGGGGTTCGAACGCGATCCTGGTGATCGTCGACCGCTTCAGCAAGCGGGCACATTTCGTGCCTTGTCGGAAGGACAACGACGCCAAGGTGTTGGCACAGATGTTCCTGCAGGAGTGGGTACGATTGCACGGGTTTCCCCGGCAGATCATCTCGGACAGGGGAACGCTGTTCACGTCGAGATTTTGGAGGGAGTTCTGTGAGTTGTCCGGTGTCGAGCCTAGTTATTCGACCGCCTTCCATCCCCAGACGGATGGTCAGACGGAGCGCAGTAACTCGACGCTCGAACAGTACCTGCGGACGTACGTCAATTACCAGCAGGACGACTGGACCGATTTGTTGCCCATGGCGGAGTTCGCCTACAACAATTCGAAGCACTCGGCGATCGGCATGTCGCCGTTCATGGCATCGGAAGGGCGGGAGCACGCCGTCGAACTCCCCATGCCTATCGCCAAGGATTCGGCTGTGGAGTCGATACAGGAGTACAGAGAGCGGATGAACAACATCTGGGAGTCTGTTAATGTCGCGCTGAGACAGGCCAGGGAGGATATGGCGAAGTACGCGAATCGGAAGCGTACGGCGGTACCGGATGAGGGGTACAATGTTGGCGACATGGTGATGTTGTCGTCGGCTCACGTCAATACCGTGAGGCCGAACAAGAAGTTGGAGTGGAAGACCTACGGCCCGTTCAAGATCACGGAGGTCGTAGGAGAAGGTCGCATGGCGCGACGTTTGGAATTGACACCGGGGATGCGTAGAATCCACCCGGTGTTTCATGTCTCGCTGCTCATCCCGTACAAGCCGAACGAGCTCCCTGGGAGAGCAGTGGACCCACCCCCTGAGCCAGAGGTGCTGGACACCGGGGATTTGGGGTGGGTGGTATCGGAAATCGTACACTCCAAGGAGTTGCGTTCAACGCGCGCCGGGCGTAGGACCCAGTACTACGTGCGCTTCGAGGGGTACGGGGACGAGCACAACGAGTGGGTTAGCCCCTCGGATTTCCACCACAACGACACGCTGGTGCTGGAATTCCATAAGCGACACCCTGAGTTGCCGGTACCGGGCCGCCAAGAGTACGGCGATGCTTGATGCGTTCGGAGCTCGCATCTAGGAGGGGGATCCTATTATAGGCGTCACGTGACGCGCGACCTACGGTGCGCGTCGCCTCGGGGTCTCGTTCGGAGACCCTCTCGGAGACCCTCTCGGAGACCTTTTAGGAGATGTTCTCGTAGACGTCTAACTAGTACCTTGTAGTAGTTAGACATCCGTTATTACATCGCTATGCCTACCGTTACCTTTCCCCAGTCCCGCGACCTTATTACCCCAAGACCCGGCAGGTCGGCTGCCAGGCCTTATATGTACTTTCTACCTGGTCTTCTTGTTGGTCCTAACACAAGGACAACATCATTTTCGTCTGGCTTGTAAAAACCAAGTCTCATCGTACGCAAAGTACCTCACATGACGTCACGATTGTGACTTGTCTGGCATATAGATTAAATGGCAGAGATGAAAGAAAAGTATTGGCGCAGGTTCAGGCAAGCCGCAAGCAGATTGCAAACTTGACCGGCACTGGCATGTGATGCGTTCCAAAATCTCGGACATGGCCCCTACAAAGAGCTTGTTGCAGATGTATACAATAGATTGTCAAGACTCACCACAACCAGTCATTGATCAGTAATCAATGGCACAAGAGCGCGAGATAGAGAGACTATCCCTTGATCCAATCGATTGAGCCAGCCTAGACGTTGTCTTGTCTCACTTTGGGCCAGGAAATCACGTCATTGGGTGGCAGGCTCAAGGGTCACCAGCCGTTGAAGGGCCACTTCGCCTCTTGGCCTCTCAATCTTTCACACATGATCACGCATTGATATCATATATCATATATCGTACATTCCTTCTGATCAACTATCATTGACCGACAGGATACGGACAGAAGCACCCCATAGCAGTTACCAAGTCAATCTCGTCATGACAACCTCGACCAAAGGGCAAGTTCACTGGGTGTACTTGTATTGTATTCCTGCCGGGTGAAGCACGCTCACTCACATTGAGATTCCTTTTGAGCAGAACTACTGAACTGAAACCCTCATCCACGATGAGAATGCAATATACATGAGCAAGCAACAGGTTATGGAGGAGAACAAACCCCTGTGCGAACAGATTTTCACGCTGAAGGCGCAAGTTGGGCCCGCATGTTGAACTTGAGGCGATGACAGGCAGCTCACCTGCATTGCTACAGGACCGCCCAACATCTATGGCAAAAGGCGAGCACCTGCTAACAAGGTTTCCACAGCTACAACAAGTAGGTTCAGTGACCATCAAGACCCAATTTTGTTAGGAGCTGACCCCTGCTCTGTATCACAGATATGCTGACCAGCAGAGTCAGAACGTGAAGAAACTTCTCGAGGACGCTTGTAAGCTCAAGCACAAGCACGCTGTCCTCCAGGCCAACAATTTCATTGCCAACAAATCTCTCAAGGCCAAGACCGCGGCCTACAACAAACTCATGGATCGACACGAGCGTCTGAAGGAAGAGCAAGGATAGATCATAAGGAAGCTTGAGGATTACAAAGACCAGGAGGGAGATGGAACACAGGAGCAACCCAGGTCATAGTTGGTTTGAGCCGATTCAGTGTTTGTACTTCGCCTATCAAATGCAGAGACGCGTTTGCCGCAAACAGGATGTCATTGGAACAGGGACCGGTAGCCAGTCAACATGGCCGTCATGCATCTGTCTGCACATGAATCTATCATCGTGATCTTTCTGCTAGACATCCCATCGACCTTTACCAAGTACATTGCACAACTGACATATCACCTAAAGCTTGACCGGCTCCCTGCTTGTAGGGTTGTAGGTCGGTAAGATTAGCTTTTGTACACATAACCTGTGTCTTCACAAGCTGGTATGGTCTTGCTGAGATCCCATCCGCCTGCTTACCGTCCTAATTAGCCAATTTTATACAGCCTCTTTGAGGTCAAGCCAATGATTGACGTTCTATTGTAGGCATCCGCGGTACACATGTCATATACACACACAATGTAGGTTTTCACCTTGTATGGAGGTCTGTTCAATGACCCTCTTTGAGGCCTGTTTGAAGATATGTTTGGAGATGTCTAACTAGTACCCTGTGGTAGTTAGACATACATTATTACAGTCATTACCCTACCCGTACCCTCTAGTCCCGTGTGGTGCTACTCAGGCTTGCGGGTAAGCCCTATACGTTCCTGGCCAGTATTAGGCTTGCCAGTAAGCCTGGAACAGTAGCACAGGGGCTGAGAGGCAAGGGCAAGGTAATGAACGTAATAAAGGATGTAGTATAAGAGTACTAAATCACAGTGAACACATAAGGGATGTTCTAGATATACTCTGTACAGAGATTGGCATCAGAGGTCCCTGCACAACTGCCTACACAGCCGTTTGGTACATGTACTGCAGATACTATAACAGCCAGTACCACCGAGAGATCGCCGATCCGTTGTAGCAAGAGAGAGGTTCATCAATCACATCGCGTAACAGAAGGTAACCACAGCAGATTTTAGCTTTGAGCATGAGAAGGAAGTTCTATCCAAGACCCCGGTGAGCTCTAGTTGCGTTTGACACTCGAGCAGGCATCTCCAATGCTTGTTGGTCTGGGCAACCTGTTAACTAGGTCTTCAAGAGGCGGTCAACAGCAACGCCGATCTGGCTTGACTTTACTCTCAAAACAGGTCACCTCCAGGGATCAAGACGAATTACAAGAGGGGGAGAAGGGATACAAAGTCATCAACAAGTCGGCCACAGTCATGTTGAGCGACCGGGTCCCAGTGCCTATGCTGTTATCCCTCAAACATGATGCAATCGCGCTCTGCTGCAGCGAGAGCAAGCACAATATGCCTATGGGAGTTCTTGAAAGTTTGTACAACAGCCTTTACAGCGGCAGCGATCATCCTACAGCCCACGCTTTGATCCCCACCATCCCACCCAATTCTCATTGCCGTCATTGCAAACATGCAGAACACGCAGCCGAGTTCCCTCCCGGCAAGTATGGATGTGCGTACCTTATTGTACAACAGGAGCAAGGACATGACAACAGGATATGCGCTAGCAGTGTCATTTTGGGGGCAGGGAAGAAGATGATGAGTTTTGGACCTCAACCGGGACCACGCTTGTTTTGATGACACTCAATTGCACTCGGTCTGCTACAGGCTGTTACCAACACCGCTCAAACCAAGACCAGAAAACCCACTGCAAGGAATACCAAGAGAACAAAGACTGGAAAGCCGATCAGCCCCAAGGTATGTGCTCCTCTCAGCTCGTTTGGTAATGTCAATCCCGCTGATCATTATGGCTTCAGGTGGATACCCTCCCAATCGCTTTCTACAGTGCTTTCAAGGTCGCCAGGTTCTTCATCAAAAGGGAGGTCAACTTCCAATGCGCTGCTGCCATCTTCGAAGCCATTGACCCGGTAGTCTACAAGGAGTACACCGACTGATACAAGAGAATTGTGGGCACCATCCCCGGCCTTAGTAACGTCTATACAAAGAAGTTGGTCTGGAGCTCACTTGTCCTCATCACCAACCTTGCTGCAGATTCGCACCGTGACGTTACGGTTCGCAAAGATGGGTGAGTTTTTGTCCAGGTATTTGGGGACTTCATGATGATGCGGACGTCCATCTTGGAGCACTATGTTATTCCTTGAGCGAAAGGGAACCGTATCAGCTGTGTTTTCTGGATGCACAACTGGCAGACCCTTGAAATGATCCAAAGTGGAAGGCCAGTGCCCAGGCCAAGAGAGCAGCTGCCACTCATGATGCAAACAAGAACCAGCCTACCAGAGCTCATGGTACACCTACGAACTGGCCCACAAGAGCTTGTGGCACGCCTACGCCTGAACATGTTGACCTGCCTCCACCAAACTCGACCTGGCCAAGGTTGACTTGGACTCTCCAGCAGCCCAGAACCTACAAGCGAGGCCTAACAGGCAGTACCAGGAGGACAGCAAGCACGAGGAGGAGAGTCAGGACTGGGATGACAGCGAGGACAAGGAGTACAGTGATGAAGGATTCCTGGGAGACGGGTACGGGTTAACAAACAACTTGATAAAGTTGAGATTGTAATCTAGGAGGATTCTATTGGACGACCGGATGTAAGTAACTCTAAGCTTGGACACCGAAAAGCAGATGCCTGGCATGCGGTATGATCCATCGCTTATGCATCACTAATGATTCAGTTTACGGATATAGGGCCTATCATAGAGTTAGCCGGTCAAAGTTTTTGCACTGTTTCTACCCCCAGCTTTGCAATGTGGCACAAGCCAAGAAAATCAGTCCATGGGAGTCCCTCTTGTGGTCCCCAACCTTTTTCTACGGATCAGATGTTGCGCAAGTGCACTTCCCTTCTTGACGTCTCAATCCCAGGTGCTGTCGCCTAGCGATCTCTGTGAACCTTTGTGAGCGTTGCGTTTGCAAGTCATATTGCCTCTGCGTCCCAGGCAGCTTTGATAGCTCTCTCATATGCCGCCTTGAAGTCGGCTATTGTGGTTGGCCTGGTTGGCATCACGTCTCGCTGTCTTTTTTTAGGTACTCTTTTCCCGTATCTTGCGGCTGTACAAGGGAGCACAATGTTTTTTGCCTGTTCCAGACCCTGATAAAGCTTTCGAGTCATCAAGATTAGCATGAGAAGAACAAACTGATTTGGAGGAGTCGAATCTCTCACCTGCGCAATCTGTTACACCGCATGGACCTTGTTGAAAACATATGTACGACCTTTCATGCCAAAGTGAGAATGTCAGCTGTCCTTCCAGTTTTTATCAATCAGGGAATCCGTGATCTAGCATGATAAAAATGTACAGCAAGTAGATGATATTATTCTTGTCAGATCCATTCAAGTGTCCTTGTCAAACATTCATGGGCCCCATCCTCAAACTCAAGACAACGGCCAACATGGTTGGCCAGAATATTGGCGAGCTTGATTAAGGCCCAATCCAGAAATTCCTCGATGACAAGCTCGGCCAGATGATGAAGTCCCAAATTCAAGATAATCAACAGCCGCTCTGTTCAGCCTCTGGATCACATGACTCTCTGCATCAATGAGTGCAGCAGGAGACATATTTGGAGCCAGAGGCCTAGGCTGAGGCCGCTCAGCAACTCGTACCTCATCCAAATTGGGGTTTCCACAATCCTTGTAGGGAGTCCTGGCCCGGTTAGAGCGATCTACAGTGAGGAGATACAGGTTTTGGACGTCAATAGCTTGGGCGGACGCGCCTGCGCCTAAAGGTGAGACCGCAGTGTTGCGAAACAGACAATTTGGCAGCCTTTTGCGTGCACTGACTGCCACTAGATCAGGGCAGTGTCATGCCGGACGCTTGCACTGCATGTTGTGATTGGATGCAGAGACTGTTATAAAGTCATTGTCACTTTGTCGTGATCATTTATCTTGCCCTCTGCAGAAGTCGCTCTAGCAGCGATCTTATTGGCGTTCCAATTGGACCGCCTCTGGGAGTCCACCTGCAGCTGACCTTGGCCTTGCGCTGTGCGATCCTCTGGCAGCCTGCGGCAACTGTGTGGATCCAGGATCCTGCTTGACCCATTTCATCCTGAAGTCAATGAGGGAATGTCTCAATCAAGTTGGCGTCGAAGGGAAACTTACGATTTGCAAGCTCAAGGTAGTCATGTAGCGGGATTATTATCCCTCTCCTCCCGCCTACTTGAGCCTCAGCAAACTCATCAGATGCTCGACCCATCTAAGGGTGTTGCTGCAATTGACGAGGTTGGCATAGTGCAGCACCAATGCTTGTTTGCTTCCCGTCATGATTCTCATGACATCATCCTAAGTAGAATAGTACGAGAACCCACTGGTCGGGCTGGACTTCCATGTCTTACTGGCGTCCAAAGGCAATGCAATCATTGTGGTTATCAGGCTCCAAGTCAAAGACCAAGGGATTCAGGTGGCATGGTACCAAGTTATAGCACAAATGGCATCCGGTTAACAACACCCTGACACATCATGTCAATTAGCGTTTGACTGCGAAAACACAAGCAGAGCAATAACAAGTCTCTCACCGCGCCGTGGTTAAGTCTCATGTACACACAGAGCGTCTAACCAAACATCCCTTGCAACCATACTTTAGGGGATTGAACTAGACCGACATTGATGCAGCATTTGCCGAAGCGAGCTGAGCGTCTGACCAAATTTTGACAACAGACAGGAGCATGAAGACATTCAACACCATTTTGAGCCGCTTGGCTCCGCCCTTTGCTGGCATTTGAAAAGGTGCAGGAATTTTTCCAGCATGAATGAGCGGGAGTGTCCTTTTTAATGGCGGACTTTGTCCATGAAGGCGCTGGGCTTTGTGAGAGCCAAAAGGGAAAACTCGGGAGGCAGGAGCATGATCAGAAAGTATCCCTCAAGACACTAATGGAGTGGCAAAACTTGATTGCAATGCTTTGATGATAGACAGTTGTTGATTGACTAATTGACGTTTGAATATGTACAGACCAGCTGTGGTCAGCGAACCTTTACATCTGGAATGACATTAAACTCCCGCAGATCGCAGAAGACAAGATCGACGCAGTGACCACATCATCCTAATCCTCATCCTCACTGTAATCCCTTTAAAGACCCCGTCATTGAGATGGTGATCGCTGCCGCCTCTATCAACAAACACATCATCAACAACAAATATCGACAACCACCTCACTCATCCCAACCTTGACATTATAACATCACCTCGCCCAAATGTCAGAACCATTGTCTTTGACTCAACAGCCTTCGACTTGACCACCGCAAAAGGAAGCCGTCTGTTCAAAACACGGCTGCCAAATCCTCATGCAATGAAAAATCCCACAAAAAGACAGAAAATTGTCCTTTATGCCCTATGTGACGGCTGTCGTCAAAAGTCAAAAGCTAACCCCTAACCCAAAAAGCAGCCACAATACACCTTCTGCTTCTTCCAAGATCTCACGCATTGGGAACCCCCATCCTCAGGCGGCATTGGCAAGGGTTCAGACTTGGACCTTGCTTTGGGAGATAGGGATGTTCCCGCCAGACACATTGCATGCATGCCTGTCAGCATATCTTGGCTACCCATCAAACCCCAACGTCAAAGAGGCAGTCAGGGGGGAGAGAGATGATGATGCATGCTAACTATGTACAAGTGTGAGGAGGTGGGGAGAACTGTATGCTGATGTAGGTCTCGCGCTCGCGCGCGCAACGTCAAGATTCACGAGTTGGACAACAACATGACTTGGCTTCACAAGCTGTGGGCTTTGATGTCGTCTCTGGCCAAACTGCAAGAGCAACACAAATTGAAGGACGTATTGGGGAAGTTTTTGATGGCTGAGGATAAGAAGAAAGGCAAGAAGTTTGAGGTACAAGGTGAGTCAGGAACTCTGGACTTTGTAAAGGTTACTCTGATCAATCATTCCAAAGTCCAGCAATGACGCTGTACCTCCATTCCTATCAAAATTGGTGTGAAGGTACTGCTCCAGAACCTCAAAGACAGGGAGCAAGGATACAATTGTCTGGAGATGGCGGGAACCGGGATGAATGGTCTACCCTTGTAAGTTGAACTTCTCCAATACAAAGTTGAGATGAGGACCAAGCGGGATGGGTTCAAACGGTAGACAGGTACTTTGGATTCAACCAGCTGGCAATTAAAGCGGTCACAGCTGTTGTGATAACAGCCTAAGTTGATGGATGGTGTAGCTGGTCCATTGATGGTGTTGATAAATGCTATCTTTTGTGTGAATAACTCTGTGTGTGATTGCTTACATAAAAGTAAAGTAGTATATGAGAGGGGAAAGAGAGGCCAAACTCAAATGGTTTGCTGTATATGCTATTCTCATTGGCATGTTTCCTTAGTGGAATTGCAAATCCTTAGATGCACAATCATGACCCCAGTATGTGTTTGTGCCTTCAATCACCAATGTCATCAACATTTTGCTACTCCAGTCGCACAAAGGGGATCCCAGTCACATGTTGACCATTTGTGCTTGAGATTGCACCTTGAACATCACCTATGATGTCGTAGCATACTAATCATTAGTGATTTACCATTCAGGCTCCTACTTTGTTGCCCCGGAGGAGTATAGATCTAGTCTCATTCCTTCAAACACTCCTCCAGATTTATGATAGCGGCTATGAGCTCAATTTTATGCACCAACACACCGTCAACACTCTTTTGATTAAGCACGTATGCATCAGGGCACATTGTGTCAGAGACTGTCGCAAAGAAAAGGCAAGGTGAATCAAGCTGGGTCAGACTTGGGCGATGTTGCAGATTGGCCAATGTACCTTCAAGGACAAAAGCTACCACATACAAACTTCCGTCTTGCACCAAGAGGGACCGGAAGGTAACTTTGCCGTTTCTTTTGTATTTCACCCGTTACAACAGCTACAACTTGCCACTTGCTGATGCCTGTTGCAAATCAGCATGTGATGATTAGTCATCAACATGTGGAAGCAATCTCAACCACAAAGCAGGCAGCAAAAAGAAAGCAAAAGGCACTGGACATTCTAGCAAGTGCTAGAAGGATTGGATTTGAAATAGATCACCGAACCTGTCTGACCACCAAATACCAATATTATTTGACTTTGCCACCATTTGCCCCTTCCTAGAAAAGTATATATATAGCAGGCCATTTGGGTCTGATCTCTTTCTCCCCTCTCATGGACTTATTTATCTGTTATGCAAGCAACCAGATACATAGTCACTTACGCAAGAGATAGCATCAGTCAATACCGTCAGAGGAACAGCTACACCATCAGCTTAGGCTGATATCACAACAATGCCTTGATCGAATTCGACCATTTCTACTGCCCACAGATGACCTTGACGCCCAGCAGCAACCAGTATCGGATCACCCTTTAGTATGAAGGAAAACACCCGTATCATGGCACCTCAATCTTGCTGGATACTGACCAAGCGGTATGGCAAACAGTCAAAGGAGAGCAATTAGTACAATCCTTTATGGCTGGGATTTGCTGACATATGACATTAGCATGTTGACATAATGGCTCTGAACGACCGGTTTAGAAATAGGTCCAAAACAAGGCTCTCCTGCTTCACTGCTTGCCAGAGATGGTGCAGGCCAAGCCCCCTCACGTCCAAAAGCACCTGCAACCATATCAGGCAAGTTCATGGATACACTCACATGAAATTTTATATGCTGTTTACCCCACAAATGCGCACCTTCTTGAAATGTTTATTGTGTCTTTTTTCTTGCTTTTTTCATCAACACGCCGTGCGACCCTTGCACAAAACGCCGCCTGGTTCGCTTTGCAACATGATGCCCCCCTTGGAAACCGAGAACTTCATATGCAGAACTCAGTCAATGGAATGTGGAAGGATCAGAGATACGAGTTGGATTGGAAGCAGAAGGACAGCATGCAGCATATGAGGATATCACTGCAGGTTAGTCTTCTGTAAATTTAAGAAATTCACCTCTACCAACTGATAGTGATACCCCTGACTGTCCCTATCGTTTATCAGCCGGACCTAGCCGCGGAGGTTTACGCACGCGCCTTTGTCCCAAAGGACAACATGATACCCGACATCAATTGGTCATACCCCAAGCTGGCAGAGGCCACAAAACATCCACCTAGTCACACCCTTGCTTGGTGGATCCTACACTATTGGGCCAAAATATTGTTGCCCTGCCGGTGTGACACAATGAAGTGCGAGTTAACCTATTGGAGACTCAAAGCCCTGGCAACAGGGGTCAAACTCAGCAGCATTGGCCGCAATCTGGTACCTGTACATGGAGACGGGTGAAACAGAAACGGCACAAAGTGGCGTCTCCGGGCTATAATAGAAACCGAAATGGAGCTTAGCGGTTTCGACATTCTGCCAAAAGCATACATGTATTACTCTGGTATAGTCACATAGCAATAGAATTATCAGAAAGCCTGGTGGTGTGAAAGTCCTGGTCGCGGTAAAAAGCTTGACTGTAATATTTTAATCTTGAGATTTGGTTTGTGACATGTGCATGGTGAGTTTATCGTCCAAGAACATGATAACGAGGGAATTCTGTCTTTTCCAACCATGCTTTCCAGATTTAGGCAAGTTTTAATGTCTGTGTAGGAAGACTTATGCATGAAATGGATATCCCATGTATCAGTACACTATTGTCAGCAATCAAACCAGCTTGAGAGAATGTTTGTTACTTAGCAGATGTGATCTTTATCTACAAACATCAAATCAGCAAACCACAGTGATTTGCTTCCAGATTATCTCTGCAGTGTTCAAGATTGACATGGTATAATCTTACATCCAATGACAATATGACAGGTGGAACCCTCTCAACCACAAAGCTTCATTTGGTAGAATGTACAACATACAATACACTCTGTATAACCTGCAGGATATATTTGGGGATGTACAGGTTCCAGTGGTTGGGTAGTCTACAATGCTACTGCCGAAATAGTGGTACAGTTTGGTCTCATTCCCCTTTCCCCTCTTATGTATGTACGACTTTACTTCTATGCAAGCAACATGGATTGCACAACAAAACAAGATCAGCATAAGTGGCACACCATTACTATTGCCTAGATACATCATTGACAAACCTTGGCAGATCTCCTCATCACTGCACAACATTTAAAACCTATTGTGGAGAGGCTCCGACATACACCGTTGCTGACCTGCTGAATGATTTGTATCATGCGGCTAGCACTGTGACCATTCTGTCAGTGCAACAAGCCCACTTCCCTATCTTCTGTATCCCATACCAAGTTTGTCTCACCAAAATGGACCTTATTAGGGAGGAGGACTAACAGTCTACGCCGGGCTAGGTCTAAGGGTAATGGTGTAATAACGGATAAAGTATATATATACAATGAGCCTATTCTAATAAGCACCTACAAGACATGTAAAAGTAGACCCCTGTGGGGATGTCGAGAGGTGTCTCCAAAGGGACCTCCAAGGGGGTCTCTTGCGGGAGTAGCGACGCGTCACGTGACAGCTATAACAGACCTACTCCCTCATCTCAACATCTGCAATTTGACCCAGATCCTCACACCCTACAACTGAAGGCTGCCCTTAGCAACCTCCATCATGACATGTATATCAAGGACCCCCTGGAAATGCTAAGAAGACTTGTGTGACCTGTTCACAATCTGCCAATTACAACTATCCATTGTTATAGAAGTTGCCACTTCCAAGTGGGATCATAACAGCTATTGATTTGGTATTCTCTATTCCCGCACACAACATACTTCAATAAACATGTCCTGACATATAAGTCGCTTACTGAAGAAGATGAGCTGATCACTGATCATCTGCAGACAAGCTTTGATTCTTCTTAATCAAAGTATCAAGTATTTCTCTTGCGAATGTAGCAAGTGTGTTTCGCTGCATGTTAGGTCTGAAACTGCGGCCGTGTAACGCATGGAAATAAGATGTTCCTGATATCGATAGTATGTTGCGCAGATACAATTGGTTGACACAATATCCTTCAAGCTTAACCCGCCAGCAGATCAGTGGGAACGCGAGAAAGAATAGTGCTCAACAGGACCTCAAAGCACTAAAATTAAAGGACATCTTTTTACAGAACAAGAGGAATTTATGGACATCGGGCATCGCCGCGTCTCCACTTCCAAACGTCATCACGCTAGAAGCTAGATCACTCAACCGACCGCCTACTTCGTTTGTATGTCGCAACCTAGACTTTTGTTTTCGTCCAGCAGCGCCGCAGCTCTTTCCTGTTACATACACCATACCGACGCCATGAGTCTCATATCCGCTCTGGTTGCCGTTGGCACGACCGTGATCTGCGAGCACAGCATCACCTCGGAGACGTTCCGGAGTTCGGCCCAGATTACCATACTCAGCAAAATCCCACCCAATGACTCTCGCCTCACCTGTGAGATCTAGATACCGTTTCGAGGACTGAACCACAGGCCATGGCTGACCCCTTGCGAATGCTTCCCTCAGATGTATGGCAGGACAAGCTGATTCACTATGTCTCCTCTGACAAGGTCCGTCAAAGCCAACAGAGATTAATAGTACCGTTATAGACTGCCTCAACGGCTCTTCTATTCTCTTAGGTGGTATATCTAGTGGTCGCAGACGATACGGTAGGGAGGCGGACCCCTTTCGCTTTCTTACAAGCGTTGGAGGAGAAAGTGCGTGAGAGGGCGACCGTCGCATCGTATGCAACGACTCACCTTAGATCATTCCAGGTTCGGAGCAACCCTTCCTTCGTGGATATCCTCGATCATCCCCATCAACATGGTCTTCAGTCGGAGCTGGAACCGGAGTTGCAGAGTCTGATGCAAAAGTACTCTTCTGATGCCGTTAAAGACCCACTCAAGCAGGCCAAGACGGACATGAACAACGTGTAAGAGCCAAGATCAAGCATCCGCCTTTCTTTAGCTAAACTAGCGAAACACGCCTTGCGGATCTAGCAAAGACATCATGGTGCAGAACATCGATAGCATTCTAGCTCGCGGAGAGAGAATAGAAGTGCTTGTCGACAAGACAGACTCCATGGCGCATCAGGCTCATGCCTTCAGGAGGGGTGCTCGTGGGGTAAGGCGGCAGATGTGGTGGAAGAACACAAGGATCATGGCTTTGTCTGTGGTTGTCTGCGTGGTAAGTGACGCGAATCGTGTCTACCCGCCTGTGGTCTGACACTCGCTGTTTCGGTGTGCAAAGCTACTCCTGTACTTGTTGTTAGCTCAGTTTTGCGGATTAGCCCTTGGGTCATGCAGGTGATTCGCATACACAACTGCATCGGTTGTAGCAGCTGTCCGAGCTTTGGAAAGATCTATGTATCCATGTTTGTACTTAAGAATTATAATTGACGTGAAGCATGCCATACCGTCTACAGGCTACGTTCTAGGCCCCGAACTTGCGCGACGCTGTCATAGTAACGGAGTCCTCCTCCTTCGGCTCTGCTCTGGAGAGGTGAGACGGAGAGGGATTTCCAATTCGACCACAGCAAGCGAACCTGTTCTGCGGTGGAGGGGCCGTCCGCCGGGATACCAACCGGCGTATCCACGACCAAGACATAGATCGCATCATATCCGCCGGCTAACACAGAGGAAACCTCGATCAGCCTCTTGTGGGTCGCTGGCGACACACCACCGCTTACCTCCCGGAACTCCGCCTCCGATGACTCCAGGGATCGCGCAGCAGGCGTCCAGAAGCTCGGTCTGCTCGTCGGGCTCTATAGGTACGCTTGCGGATTCCCCCATAGTCTTCATACCTCGTCGAACAGCCTGAGGGTCACACGTCAATCTGCAACTCGAATCGTGTTACGTCCGAGTATGAACTGACCGTCATCGCCGCCTTTAAATCTTGCAATACTTGAGAGCATTGGGTTTCCCCTGGCGTGTTCGACTGGGCTGTGGCGAAACCTTCGAGACTGGCAGAATAACCATCAGGATCATCCCTTGCCAAGTCTCCCAGTCGGCCAAGCAACGAAGCTACTCGGCGATTATCGTCGTGCAGTCGTGTCCAAATCTCTCGTGCTGTAGCGGAGTCAATCTCGATCAGTCGTACGAAAACGCGAAAACAAGGGGGCCTGGGAGAACCCACCTTGATCTGGGCTCGAGGTCCGCCATTTCAGCACCTTGCCGACGAGGCTTGGAGTGTCGCTACCGGCGTCAACATCAGCGAGAAGCAGCTGTATCCTCGGGGGCAAAACGATTGGCGTGGTCTGACATGTCCAAGCCGCGTTCGGGCGCAAGGTTGCCAGTAGCTGTGCGGCGCGGGGATTTAGCGTTCGCAAGCGGCTGACGCAGAGCAGGATCTCTCAAGGAAACCCATACCTCGCTCGGTACAGGACGGGCGGAGTCATCCATCAACGACCGGAGGACGGACTCGTCGAACCGCTTGTACACCTGGGATCCGTAAACAGCCGATGAAATGTCAAAGCCGGAGCCGACTTTGCCCTGAGCGAGACAGTGTATGTACTGTGAAGTGTTGTGGATAAAGTCGAGGTCCTGCCGGGAATTGTCCACCGCTGTGTCATGTGACCGGTTTCCCCCAAGTGATGACGCGGGGATAACAGAGAAATGTAGTAGAAGGGCGGCGACCAGAGACGTGATCAACGCAGCTGAAGAACCTAATCCGGTCTTGTGAACGTCTCCGATCGGAGTATTCAGGTGGTTGAAGCGAGGAAGCCTGTCCAGAGATTCTTTGTTCGGTGGTAGAGAAAGAGAATCGAGCTGGATAGATTCCTCTTGAGCCACCGAAGTCTCAAAACGGGTGACGGTCAAAACTCACCACCCGACGCTGAGAGTAGAAATCGTTGTCCCCGACTATTTCAACTTTCAGGCCGCATCTTTCGCTGCGCTCGTCTTTCAAGGTGGCAGTCAGAGCGTCCACAGAGATGATCGCTTGGATCACCTTGAGAGTTTCTCGAAGGGCAATCTCGACAAACTTGTTGTTGGTCCTGTTCGCAGGTGATGGCGTCACCCCGAGGAGACCATCGCTTCCGCTGTCGAGGTTATAATTCCACTCGGCTTCCAGAAATTGGGAAGACCGAACACGTATCGTATCTCTTGGAACCGAGGAGGATGGCGTGATGACGGTGAAGAAACGAGACGATGTCGCGATAACCGTGCCTTCGTATGCAGGGTCCAGTACCAGATATCCGCCTGTGATCAGGACCTTGCCTGGAGCCGAGACTATCGTAGAACCGACCATGGTGGTTGTGTAGCTGCCTCGACGTGTAGCGCGTGTAGTGCAGTCGAGTCTGTGTCGATATGGCGAGGTTCACGAGGGCTTGAGAACGAGGAGGTAGCCACGTACAGCTGATCGCTGCTGTTGGCTACTCATGCTAGCGTAGCTGCTCATTTCGATCATTTCATTGCTGGGACCACAAAGACAACACAACTCACCGATTTCTTGGGATGGGCGAAGAGTCTCACCCCAACCTATCATAGCCGTCGGATCCGATGTCCCCCGGCGCCCTAACGACAGGTGACAACCTGGCAAATAACGCCCGATAATGCGGTGGACGTCAGTTATCAAGCTCAGATAGCAGACAATGTACATAGAGCCAGGGAAAGGGAGTTGCCAAACCGTCAACTCGACCGCTGAAAGGGCGACCAGCTTGGGACCATGAAACCGATGACTTCGCAGCTGACACCCACTCACCGGGGCCACGCGCGCTAGTTCTCTGCTGACCCGGAATGAATCTGTGACGTCACCCGGATCTGCCATGATACGGGCGACCCTCATCGATCATGCAAGCACCCCCCTTTCCCTCCTCCTTCCCTCTTCATCAACCCCCACAACCACTCATCCATGCATCCAACTACTTTCCTCGATCCTTGATCTTGAACGACACCCTCTCCACGCCCCATCTCTCTCAGATTCCATCGACGAGTGACGCAGAATTGAACCCATCGAGTACAACCGGTTCTCCCTTCCAATCCGTTCAACACCATCACGCACCCCGAATATGAGTTTCGGTCTCCCTCCTGCCGGCTCGACCCCGGTAAGTAACTTGTACTCTCTGAACGATATACACCCTTGATGATCGTAATGTTACTGAGTTGATAATTCTCGACCGCAGGCCGAAGAATGGGGCAATAAGCTACTTCAGGCCGTGGATGGGGCTCTCGATCAAGCGGGTGCAACCGCTTCGACCGGCGGGTTCGTGGATGCCGCTCCCAGAGACCAAGACACCACCTCGCACGACGTTCAACAGGATAATCTGCCCAGACTCACAGGCGGTCTCGCTTCGAGTGCCAATGTCCAGTCTATCGCCAACGAGGCAAAGCTCGCCAAGCACAGCGAAGGCTTGACCAAGGAAGAACTCCTCAAAGGATTGTCGGGAAGGGAACAGGCTGCTGCACAACTGGCGGCAGCTCAGCTAGCTATCGCCAACTCTGCTCAGTTGTCTCACGAAATGCCTACAGCCAAGACATCCTCTGGTCCTGTTGATGCCACAAGGCAAATTCCCGGCAATGATGCCATTCAGCCATCTCCCGTCGGCGCTACTAGGCAGATTCCCAACGACGACAGTGTTCAGTCTTCTTTCGTGCCCACCAGTGCAGGTCAGATTCGTGACAGCGTCCAGCATCAACAAGAAAACCCTGCCCCATCGTCCACCGCTCAGACGGTGGATCAGCGTCTAGCGGCATCGCAACCGTTGCAGGGGAAAGACGTTCCCCTCGTCATGCAGCCCCAGGAGCCGGTACCTCGAGACGTGGTTCCTTCTGCGACTTCCAACTCTTTGGCCACCGGGTCGCAGAATATTCCCAACCAACAAGCTGTGCCATCTCAGGCCCAATCGTCTTTCTCGGTCCAGAAGCAAGAACCTTTGCAACCCAAGTTGCCCGATTTGATGCCTTCGCGAAACATTCCGGTTGACACACCGATGGTGGAGGGAATCCCTGGAGGCTGGATCGGTCAGTATTATGCCGAATCCATTTGGCAGATGCATGGGCCTTGCTAAACTTCTGTACCTGATATTGCAGGATCCTTGAAGACATCTGTACCCGGAGCGGACCGCGATCATCCTGAGACCACAGTGTATCAGGATATGGTGACTGGTCTAGATGCGGTCGGTCAGACCGCTTTCAATGCTATTCCCCAGAGCCTCAAGGACTCGATCAACCCGAATCGTCCTCGTGAGTCGCGCTGACAATCCTGCTCGTGCAAGACGCATAGGACTGACCTTGCATAACGTAGATCCCGGGCCAAGCATCCTGGACCAGGCTAGATCTGCACTTGAACAAGTTCATTTGCCCGAATTGCCCAACGTGCATCTCCCTCAGCTCCCGAATGTCCACCTTCCCCAAATGCCAGATTCGAAGGGGCTCTCTAGTGCAGACAACCGCAGCAGAGGTGAGATGTCACCGACCTCTTGCGTCTAGGATTCCTTTACTGATTCGCATATCGACGCAGCCGTCGCTGGGGATCTTCCTAACTCGTCGAAGCCGGATGCCACCCGCTCGACCCCCGTCGCACAGCCCGACTCCGCTGATCTGGTCGATCAAGCTAGGAACATGGCATCTGACCTATTGTCCGGAACCCGATCCCGTGCTGAAGACGCCTACCATGCAGCTCAAACGTATGTAGACAAGGCAATCGGATCTATCCAACAGAGAGACGAGACCAGTGGGACTGCCCCGCGTGCGACCCCGTCCACAACCCTTCCCTTGGAAGAAAAGGAGGGTCAAAGGCCAGGCGATCACACAGCCGGAGTCGGTGCCCTTCCCGGCACCATCGATGAGGCGGGCGTGGCTGTCTTGCCTCTCGAGATGAACCTTGGTCAAGGTTCGACTGACAAGGCTGTCGCCGCCAAAGAACCTGGGCCCGAACAATCGGCGACTGACGGTGTCTTGGACGTTTCGGGCGGGGGCCAATCTATCAGTGCAGCTAAAGCTGGTCGCCTCGACGATGGCTCTGGTACGACATACGGTAGCCAGCCGAACGGTATGCAGATTGCGGCATCTTGATCCAGATCCGGATTACTAATGAACCGCATACGATGAACAGCTCAACTCGATACAATCGTTTCGGACAGAGAAGTCCGCAAAGATTCGGTCGACCTTGGCCAGAATCTCGGCCAGAACGAGAGACTCTCGACCATCCAGCGCGAGTCCGACCAGGGTCCGATTAATCAGCGCCAAGTTGAGACTGGCCCTCTGAAGAGTGAGCTGATGCCTGGGATCGTCAAAAACAGCGAACAATACTGACACCGCTTCAGCTACGGTAGACGACATGGCAGTCGAGAAGGAGACGTATCAAGCCAAGCAAGGCCCTATCGGGGCTTTCGGTCAGGAGGCAGCGCAGGAAGGTCAGCGCGAACCCATCGAGTCTTACGAAAAGAAGACTGTTCGGGAAGACAAGCGAGACCCTGTCGGGTCTTCGTTTAGTGGATCGAACATTACAACCGGCGCTTCGGCCCCGTCTTCAGCTGCCTCTGCACCTTCCGGTGGGTTCGCGTTGGCGCCTCCCTTGGGGGTCTTCACCGAGACCACACCTGTGGCGAGCGGGGCCAGTGTCATCTTGCCCGGAACCGTCTTGCCCCCTGCGAAGCGGGAACCTCCCGTCGAGATCCTGCCCGTCCAGGAGACTCGCATCCCGGAGCCTATGTTGGGACGTCCCGCTGCCGATCCCTCCATCGCTTTCGAGGATGTCACTCCGAGGGGAAATCTCGGACTGCACAACGAGACCTTGGAAGCCACTCCTGCTATTGTCACTCGAGAGCAGAGGGTGGACGCACCTGAAGCCGTTCTAGGCGACTCTGCGTTCGGCTCGAGCGCTGCGGCTCAAGAATCTCAAGAGAAGGAACGTGATGTTCCCTCGTACCTATCCTCGCGGGCCACGAGCACGCACGAGTCTATCCCCTCGGGCAAACTGGACCAACCGAGTGCTGCCCGGATGGATTCCAGCGCATCGGTGACGGCCGTGAAGCACGGTCATCTTGGCGACCACCATCACAGGGATGTCGAGACCCCTCGTACCGCTCTGGATACCGTGTCTGAAAAGGGTTCGTTGGCTGTCGATCTGTCTGGATGCTTAGTTGTGAACAGGAAGCTGACAATGATCCGACCTTGTCAATCAAAAAGCCTTGCCTGCGACACCTTTGCAAGACGACAAGAGGGTCGTCCGAGATGCAGACAACGTTGAGAGCACGTCCATTGGCGCTTCCCGAACGAGCCCCGCTGTGACCCCGACGCCTTCCACCCCCTCGAACGTTCATAAGCCCGTCCAGGTCGGGTCCAACTCGAGCAGTCCTGTCAATACTAGCGCCAGCCAACACCAGAGGACTGATAGTGCGGTTTCTTCCTCGAGCAAGAAGAAGGGATTCTTTTCCAAGGTCAGTCCAGGCTCGTGTATATGATTCACCCCGCGTTGCTCATGATGCGTAAAATACGAAACAGTTGAAGGACAAGTTGCACCACGATGACAAGTGAGAAGCGGTCAGTCAGGACTGGGGCCCATAGGTCGCGAGTTGCGAGTTGCGCAAGCCGGTAAAGATCTGACGTGTGAAACGTGAACTTTGTATGTAATTGCACTTGATACATGATATCCTAGGAAATTCATTCCGATCACCGGATACTAATAAGAGCTCGAAGCCGCTGACGAGACATTATTGATCGGGGGCGTGGAATCGAAAGTCCCGGGATGGCTTGCCTGCTGCGTGCCGATCTCGAGAAATGATCGCCGCGCCAGGAACGGGAGCAAATACGATGCGGGTGCGCGCAGGAGTAGATGTTGAATGAACCAACCCGCCATCTCTCTCTACTCTTCTCCGTTTTGGTCTCTGACGAGCATCGTCTCTCGACCTCCCCCTATCCTTGATATTCCTAGGATCGACTTTAACTTGCTTGAAACATACACACGTCTTGTCATCCACCTATCCATTCGTTCTGACATCCTTCTCTCTCGTCTCGTTCGTGACCGGCTCACCTCATCACCACAGTCTCGTTACCTATCATCCAAGTCTGGAGCTGCGCTCGGACACGGACAAGAGACACCTCTTTCGCTTTCGATTACCTGCAAGTCGCCTCGGTCGATCTACAACCTGCACTACTATCGGTAAGCCTGACCGCATCTATTCTTAACGAGTAAACCATGCTGATCATTGCCGTTTGCTGCGTCGAAAAATACAGGCCTGGAGCCTACACGTTCTTTCCTCCGTCCTCTATTCCCCCACCACCTTGAATTCGAGTCGTCTTCGATATGCATCTTGCTTCCATCCTTTCCACCATGGGCTTGGCCCTCTCCTTACCGGTCCAGGGTGCAGCTCTCCCTCGCGGGCGAAGGTCTGCAGCGCACAACAAGTTCGTCTTGGTCCGTGCCCCGCAAACTCCGGCAGCGAGCGAGCAAGACTCTGTCATGACGACCGTCGCCGACTTGACTTCCAACTCGACGTCGATAAACTCGACAATGGTGGATGTGCCGGTGGTTAACTCGACAATACTGGACCCGATAACGCTACTAAACTCGACGGTGGTCAATTCTACCCTTCCCGAGGGATCGGACGGGGAAGCGGATCTTCTCCCCCTTACCGGAACGAATGGGACGTCCCCAATCACCAACGGAACCGGCTACAACACGGTTCCTCCGCAGTTGAACGAGACCGATCCTGTAGTATCCGATCTCATCTCCTCGTTGGCCGCTTCCAGCACTGCGTACGCTTCCTTTTCTTACTCGACATACGTACCTACCGCGACGGCTAGCACTTCCGCCGGCGTGGTAACCGGTGTCGCGCAGCCTGCATCGGAGCAATCGGTAGACCCTGTTGATCAGGCTCTACACGCTGCACAGAGTTACGCTATGCAGCAAGCTATTGGTAGCAACATGCCCACTATCACGCTGGAACTCGTCTTGCGCCCGACACAGGAGCCGGATGGCACCTGGGACTACGTCGTGCATATCGGTAGTGATGGTACGGCCACAGCGGTACCTACATTCAGCACAAGCACTGTTTACGCGACTGGCTCGCCAGTCCAGACGACTGAATTGCAGGCACCGGCAGCACAGCCGACTCCGCTGTCTCCCTACATTCATACCCCTCCAGCAGGACCAGCTCCGTCTGTCGCCGGAGGATCGTCAAGCAGTGCGGGTGCCGGTGAGCCCGTCGATTGGTCCGGTGGAGATTCAGGGGCGACTGGTGTCGCAGGCGATCCCACGCCCTGGAACCCCCAACCGACTCCCACTTCATATTATGTTGGTCAAGGATACGTTTCAGCTATTTCGTCGACAGGTCGCGGCGCAGTCACTTTTGCATACTCAACCACGGCAGCAGAGCCGGTCCCCACGCCTGCCGAACCGACCGCTTGGACGTCAGGAAAGGGTCAGCAACACGCTTACCCCTGGATGACATCAAGTCAAGAGGCGCAGGCTTCTCCCACGGGCGCTGTGGAACCGAGCGCTTGGACTTCTGGCAAAGGACAGCAGCACGCATACCCGTGGATGACCGCAAGCGAGGTGCAACAGACCGATTCTCCCGCCACAACCGCTTGGGTTTCCGGTCACGGCCAACAACATGCGTATCCTTGGACGACTCAGGTTTCCGAACCTAGTCCGACTGCCCCGATTGAGCAGGAGTCTTCCGCTACAACCGATGCGAACGGTGTTATCGTTGCGACTTTGATTCCCATGCCTTCCTCTTCAATTTCGGAAGGTTCTTCATCTTCCATCGATGGAACGCTTGAGAATCCTTGGCTAGTACCCGCCACTCAAACAGCGCAAGCATCCTCTACAGGGTCGGCCGTTGAGCAAGCGTCTTCTACATGGTCAGTCAGCGAGCCAGCGTCTTCTACGTGGTCAGCGGTGGACGCGCCTGTTGCAACCAGCGCCTCGCTGCCTGAAGGGAGTGCCGGCAGTCTCACGGAAGTTGCACCTTCCGCGACTTTCACTCAAAGCGAGCAAGGATCTATCGCCGAACCGTCCATTACGGCCATTGAGACCCTTGTCCCTACCGCTGTCGAATCCGCGCAAGCTACATCGGCCCCATCGGTTTCTCTAACACCGTCGCAGGGGGGAAATGGCATCAGTTTCATCGGAACTGATGCAGCGGACCCATCAGTGACGCTTTCGACAACGCAGTCACTCTCCTCTTCCCCCATCGAAACTTTGACTCAAAGCTCCAGCGAAACCAGTGCGACATTCTCCATCACTGGCGTGTCAGTAGAACAACCTGTGCCAACAACGATTCAGTCCGGGACCGACGCTACCGCTGACGTTTCAGCCACCGAAAGCGTGGGGGCTTCGTCGGCTGCCTCGTCGAGTCCAGCTATCTCATCGACTGCCAGCTCCTCGTTGGAAAGCAGCGCCGCTGGAAGCTCCGCTTACCCATCGGTCACGCAAACCTGGACCGAAGCTAGCGTCTCTTCGACTGGATCGATCACGACTTCTGCAGCAACTGCAACGGCGGTCAACTCTGACTCACAGGCTACCGCGACCAGTGAAGTCCAGTCGTCAGAACCCTCGAAAACCGAGACAGTCAGCACCTCTGCTGAGACGTCTTCGCGCTCCTCGATCGTTATCATTCCTGTGACAACATCGGAGCCTCAAGCCACTGCCACTAGCGAGGCCTCTTCGAGCTCGCCTAGCAGCTCTTTGGCTGACGCTACTACGGTCACTGAAACGACTAGCGACAGTGTCACCGCAACCGCTAGTGCTTCAGAAGAGGGCAATGGCATCGCCACCGAAGTTTTGACGGTCTGGACTACCCAGGACGTTACGGCGATCAGTACCGCATCATTCGTCACCCCCACGGATTCGCTGACCGCCTCCGCTACGACTGTATCCACGGGATCGTCCGCTGCCACGAGCATTCCCATCAGCTCGACGCGATCCCAGCTCGAGAGTGTCGGAACCTCGACCTCGGCAACGTCCACCATGGCAGAGTCGGTCGCTAGCGAAATCGCATCGGCAACGATCACTGCTTCAGGTAGCGCCACCGAGATATCATCCGCAAGTACGCAAAGCGGCTCCTCGTCCAGCGAGACTCAGTCGAGCACCGTCTCGGCTTGGGAATCAACCGTCTTGCCTACCTCGAGCATGTCGACGGGAGCGGTACCCTCCGGTACTGAGTCGGCGACTACCGCAATCCCCACGAATACCGATGTCCCTTGGTGCGAAGAGGATGGCGAAGAATGGGAAGAGGTCTGGGTAGACGAGGACGACGTCCAACCCGACTGGGAGGTCCTAGAATGAAAGACACCTTGTCTTGGACGCGCCGAACCTGTATGAAAGAACGGTCACACGCTTGAATTTGTAACATACCCCCTCCATAATTTACATTCGCTCGGTCGCTAGTATGGGCGCAGGCCGCTCATGATCACTATATACAATCTGAAAACCTGATCATGACTCGCCTCGTCGATAATGCTCTTGTACTACCGCAAAATTCATTCGGCTAATTTGCCCACAAGCCAATCCAACTTTGCAAAATTATACAGAACTCAGCACGAGGCTCCATATGATATAGCAAGTTAGGGAACAATGAACTTACGCCTTCGAAGAGACCGGCACCTTTTAACGCCGAAGCTCCGAAGATCTGCCAGTCCCCTGAGAACGACAGAATTGACGTTGGAAGACTGGCGTTTGATGTGCTTCAATGAGGACCAACTCACGGTCTTTGAGGCTGGTGAGATTCAAGCCTGTGGAGACTTCCGACGGTGACATTGCGTTTGGCAGGTCCTGTTTATTGGCGTAAACCAAGAGTAATGCATCCTTGAGGTTCTATAGGCACGCGGTGACCGGATTCAGCGTTCGCAAGAATCACAACATGACGCCTTGTTCGAGACGGCTCACCTCGTCACTCATCATCTTGAGTAGTTCTTGCCGCACCAGATCCATCCTGGCCCTGTCTGTCGAGTCGATGACCAAGATGACACCCGAGGTTGCTTGAAAGTATTGCGACCACGATTGACGATGGCTCGATTGACCGGCACTGGCATCGGGCGGGAAGCATGTCAGGATGTGGTGTGTCGAACTATTCAGTCCCTCAACGGCTACCCACATATCGATCAGACCTAATTTCATGTTCTTATAGGTATAGACCTGCCCTTCGGTTGAACCAGCATCATGGCGTCGGGTGAGTAATTAAATGCCAAGTATGCTGTTGCCGTAAGCTGCACTGCAATATACCTCATGGTTACTCCCCACCTACGATAGATCCAAGCAGGTAATCAGTTTGTGTCTCACAGACTATCCTCGAAAGACCTCTTACGGTTGCGGCAGCAGCAACCACCTCCCCAGTCGTGATCTTGTACAGTATCGTAGTCTATCGCGTGTCCACGGGGTCAGGATCGGTTGATCCATTCTATTGTGCTCTCTTTACTTAATATGCTTTACGAACCTTCCCCGCGGCATCCAGACCTAGTATAAGCAGTTTGACTTCCTTGGAGCTGAACAGTCGAGCCCAGACTTGCGAAAAGGTGACTGGAAGCACAGCTTCGGTGTCAATCTCGGTCCCGCTAGAACGTGTTGAAGATTCGACTCACCTCCCATGATAGTGTCTCCGAGTGAATGTAGGCTCGAGTTCAGATGCTGTCGTCTCGGGTGAAGGTGAGAAGAGGTTACGATGATGGATACTACCAACTACCGAGGAGGACGATCCATCATTCCCTCGCTAAACCGCTGCATCGCCGTTGACCGAGGCTAGGGGGGTCGGTCGCTCGTATCCGATGCGCGTCGCCCTCGGCCCAAAGACGTCACTTTCCATGCTTTGAGGGGCGAAACGATATGATCCCATCATCACGCATCATGTCGTTTCGATCATCACCACATTCAAATTCTCCTCCTCTCCTCCTCGATCCCGCATCTTCTCCTCTCTCTCTCTCTTCTCAGCTTCTCATCGATCACTCGGATCGAGATATCATTCGGCCACTCCTATAAGCAGCAAACAAAGAGTATATATATACAAGGACAAACGACCGGCAGTCACTCGTTTGGACGTTGGACAAGTAATTATCGTCATCAAATCTTCTCATACACGGCTACATCTCGCCTCGATCGGTTGTCCTGAACATCGCACCAAATTTCGACCATGAGCAAACACTTCGCCACCGCTACCCGATTCGCTCGGACATTCTCCACATCGCCTGCATCTCGATTGTCACAAAACCTTCCGCGAGCGGCTGCAGCCACATCGACTTCCACCGTACCATCGCGGCCTGCCTCGGACGTGGCAAAGACGCCCCAGAGACGTACCGTATACGCTCGAGTAGCCAAGCCAGCTGGAACGACTTCGACTTATCGCAGGACCCCTGTCAAGCCGGCTGCCGCTGCCGCCCCTACTCCAAGGAATGCCGTCGAGTCGTCAGAACCATCGATGCCTGATCTGGATGCATTAGATGCGGAGGAAGCCTCTTTCCCTGATCCCCAGCCGGTGGCGGAACTGCCGGACTATGTCCGTTTGGCGCCGCCCATCGATCATTCCGGAGCCCCCGCCCGAAGGACCGAACCAGCCCTTCCTAGTCCTGCCTTGTCCGAGCATCCAGTCCATGCCGGTCGAAACATCGAAGTTGGAGAGGACTGGACGACGAGTTTCTACGGTCTGAGCGCCAAGCCATTCCCCAAAGATGTCGCCAACGTCCTCTTGCGACCTTTGGCCCCGACCGATATCGAGATCAAGCCAGGTGAGTCGTGACATATCTTTACTGGGGTCTGGTCCACCACGCTTAATACCTCGTGCTTGTCTTATTGCAGACGGACTCATCTACTTGCCCGAGATCAAGTACAGGCGAACTCTGAATGAAGCGTTTGGACCGGGAGGTTGGGGGATGGCCCCTCGTGGCGAAACCACCGTCGGCCCGAGGATCGTCAGCAGAGAATGGGGTCTTGTCTGTCTTGGCAGGTGAGCGGCATTTGCCGTGTACACAGGCGAACGCTTTCGCGGGGCTGACTCGACCAACAATCGATTTTCTGAAAAGACTGGTCGCGATCGCGAGAGGTGAACAGGAATACTTTGATCCATCCGGTGTACCCACCGCCACGGAGGCTTGTAAATCCAACGCCCTCATGAGGTGTTGTAAGGACCTTGGAATCGCAAGCGAACTATGGTGAGTCGACTCTGTGTACGTACCTGACTTGTAAAGGTCATCCCACTTACCGAGCTACGCACATCGCCAGGGATCCGAGCTTTATCAAGCAGTTCAAGAACAAACACTGTACCGAGGCGTTCGTAGAGCACGTCGTCCAGAAGAAGAAGTAGGCCTACCTCGTCATACTGCTGATTGTGTCCAAGAGCTCATCCGTTGTCTTTTGCTTATCGTTAGGCGCAAGCTCTGGAGGAAGAACGATACCAAGTTTGATTACCCTTACAAGGAATGTTAGCCGGTCCTTCGCGATCTACGTCACATATAATAGAGAACCTTCGATCCGGTCCACGACTCAAGGCCATGCAACCGCTTCTCCTGCTCTGTTCGCCTCTCGCTTCTATAGCCCTGTGTATTACGATTTTACGATCGAACTGTACAGACGAACAGATATAGCGTCTATGTGCTTTTCTCGATTCGTCACCCTCGGACCGAGATTCACCGCGGTTCCGGGAAATTTCCGATCTCGATCATCTCGTTGTTTTCAAGACTCGATTGCCAGAACCAGCGATCCAAACTACTGGCTAATAGCTTGCTGCCTCCTGGCGGTGGCCTTTGAAGTGGCGACTCTTGGGTATACGTCTACCTATCGTCAGCCCGTCAATCTGTAATATACCTGAGCAAAACCTTACACTATAATATACGGATTGGCGACCGGGACATCTGCAGGATTAATCAACCATGGGTCAGCAAGATCAGGCCATCCCCATGACGAGGCGGCGAACCGGTTCGAGTGTGCAGCATACTCGGGGAGTCCAGTCCGTCCAGACGGAAGGAGCTGAAAGAACTCCACGCAAATGGTACCTCCTCATCGGTCGAGGGATGTATCGAGACGTGCGGAATAGACTGCCATACTATAGGAGCGACTGGACGGATGCATGGAACTACAGGGTCGTACCAGCCACTTTCGTGAGCTCCTCGTTTTTCTCCGTATATCGTCACCTATCGTTCTGATTTCGTTGCTTCCAGATGATCTTCTTTGCCAATGTGAGGCTCAAGACCCCATTAAGACAGCCTATCTCGATCGATCGTACTGATGACATGACGATTGGACTGTGAAGGTATTACCAGGCATCGCTTTCGCTCTAGACCTCATCGAAAGCACAGGTCAGACAGGTGTACAAGAGGTCTTGTTAGCTACTGTGAGTCTCAAAGCGGATCAGGGTTTGCCTTGTCCCAAGGGTGCTCAATAAGGCGCTCTTGGATGCTTGTGCAATACAGTTCATCGCTGCAGGAGCCGCAGCGTTTTTGGGTGCGCAACCACTCTTGATATCAGGAGTGACAGGTCCGATCACCGTATTCAACAAGACCATCCACACGATATTTGTCAAGAATGGCTCGGGCGGGCCTGACTTTAACTACCTCCACTTTCTTGGTTGGGTCTATCTGTGGGGAGCAATACTGCATTGGGTGACGGCGTTGTTCAACGGTAAGCGGCAACGGATCTGGTTGGAGGCTGTCATGCTTGCTCAATTTGTTTCTTCGCCGACACACTACCAGCTGTGAGCTTGCTCAAGTATGTAACACGGTTCCCGTGCGATACGTTCGGCTTCTATGTAGCAATGGTCTACCTCCAGGTAATTTCAATGGCATCGCAACCGCATGTGTAAACAGGATTCTAATTCCAAACCCGAATAGTACGGAATCCAAGTCGTTACAAGACAGTTCGGACAAACAGATGACGCATCTGCATTTCTTGGGATCCTGTCAGTATCTCTGCCAGCCAGATGACAAATTATTGACCAAGCTGACTTGTGCCATCCCCAGCTTGGCTATATTAACGCTCGTCATCCCCCACCTTTTCGACCTCGTCTATCATTCCCCATTCCTCCACCGTCAATTGAGGCGGTTTTGCGCCGACTATGGCATGCCAATCACGGTCATTGCCTGTTCGGGTCTGGCATATTGGGGGACCTTTCACGGTTACGTCACCGAGGAAGGCATGACCTTGCCGACAACCGGTGCCTATACTCCAGCCGGAGGAAGGGATTGGGTCGTCAAATTCTGGCAGTTGCCAGGGAAATACGTCGGGATTGCGTTTCCCTTTGGCTTGGTATTGTGGATCCTGTTCATCTTCGAGTATGTGGTTCCGTTCCCAAGCGATATCAGTCGCCCGTTCTGTGCTGACCACTTCTCTTTCCAGCGCGAATGTTTCGGTGAGCAGGGATGCTGTAACGCTTTCCAGATTTCTGTTGACAACCCTTGGTCGTGACAGTCCCTCATCGCTCAAGGTTCCGAATTCCCCTTGCGCAAGCCCGCAGGGTTTCATTGGGACTTTTTCCTACTGGGCATTACGACCCTACTTGCGGGAATTTTCGGCGTTCCTGCCCCTAACGGTCGGTGATCTACACGCAGTTCGATCTTTGTCGATCATCTGAGCTGATTCACACCGACATCATCTCAGGATTGATCCCGCAAGCCCCACTACATACTGCCTCTCTCGTCGTGATGGGGATCAAGCACGAACACGAAGACGAGGAGAGCACGTTGACGGATAGGCAAGATCACGAGGCCGGGAATAGGCGCGGTAGCCCATCGTCTCAAGAGAGGAACGGATCCGGACCGCTGAAACGTCGAGTATCCGAAGTGAAGAGGGAGATCGAAAAGCTGGAAAATCAGATCAACGAGAAAGAAGTCGCCGTTGCCGTAGTGGAACAGCGAGTTTCGAATCTGGTGCAGGGCGCCTTCTGTGAGTTATCATCGAAGTCAGGCCGATGGCGAAGATTGCAGATCGCTGAATCGCGATTGTAGGTTTGGTCTTGATGACCGGTCCCTTTGAGAAACTGCTAGGCTTCATCCCGAAGGGCGTTCTCGCCGGACTCTTTTGGTACATGGGATCGTCGGCCTTGTTCGGCTCTGGTGTGACCGCCCTCTTCCTCTTTCTGATAAAAGACCGACGCTTGACCTCGCCTTCCGATCCTCTTCGTCGGGTCCGCAAATCGAGGATCATGATGTGGCTAGTGTTCCAGCTGCTCGGGTTCGCCGCTACGTTTGCGATCACCAATACGATCGCTGCAATCGGTAAGATACGGGCGAAGAGGCGAGCTTGGTTACCCGCTGGACGCTGACACGCACGTCTTCTCGCCATGATTCAGGCTTTCCCATCGTCATTGCATTGCTCATTCCCTTTAGGATCCTCGTCATCCCCAGACTGCACTTGTTCACAGAGGACGAGTTGAACATTCTCGATGGCCCGGTTGCTAGTCCGTTCACCATGCAGAGCGTGAATGTGGCCTAAGAATCGAGGCGCTATAGGTCTTTTGTAGTTGCATGCAATCGCCAGGACACAATATAATATGTAATCCGCTGCAGAACCAATACGACCCGTTCTTCGTTAGGACTGGATGGTTCTCGGTTAGAGCGAAGTGGACGAGCGAAGTGGACGATGAGATGATTGATCTGAGATGAACACGCATCAAAGGCGATACAAAGGTTTGAGCGAAAACGAAGGCGCGGCTATATCGACAAGTCGACAAGGCTACATAGAGATAAAGACGATCGGGAAGAAAACTTGCACAAATCCTTTCATCATCGAACCGGTCATCGCCCTTCCAACTGGCCAGGAGGGGTGGGGTGACGAGCCAGGTCGAATCGAATGGCAGGCAAGGTGGTGTAGGTCGCGAGCCGACGCTACGCTCAAGCACGCTCTCCTCGGAGACGACGGGCGAGCTGCATGTCCTTGGGCTGGATGGTGACACGCTTGGCGTGGATGGCGCACAAGTTGGTGTCCTCGAAGAGCGAGACGAGGTAGGCCTCGGAAGCCTCCTGGAGGGCCATGACGGCGGAAGACTGGAACCTCAAGTCGGTCTTGAAGTCTTGGGCGATTTCTGATCGAGGTGAAGCAAGAGGCGAGGAGGGTAAGCGATGGCTGACTTTGAGAAGCTCGAGACCACGACGTAGCCGCGAGAACGTACCTCGAACGAGTCGCTGGAAGGGGAGCTTCCTGATCAAGAGCTACGTTGGGAAGCGAGTTCGCATGAGCATATCAATCGACCGGTGTTGCCTGATGTAGCTAACTTACCTCGGTGGACTTCTGGTACTTCCTAATCTCTCGGAGGGCGACGGTACCGGGCCTGTACCTGTGGGGCTTCTTGACTCCTCCTATAATGTCGTAAAAAGCACAAACGAGAGTTGAATGGTCAGATGGAAGATCGCAAAACAGTCGAGATCAAGTCGAGAGTCGAACGCTTACCGGTAGAGGGAGCGGTCTTCTTGGCAGCCTTGGAAGCGAGCTGCTTCCTGGGGGCCTTTCCTCCTACAGTGAGTTTCGCGCGAAGACAAGACACTTGGTTAGCGATTTGCTAGGCGGCCGTTCCGTCCGAGATTTTTTTAGCTTGCCTGTGGACTTTCGGGCAGTTTGCTTGGTTCGGGCCATTGTGAGAGGAAGTCGAGGGTGGTAGTGTGAAAGAAGTGGTGATGGAAGATGTGAGTTGGTTGGTTTGTGTTGAGACGAATGGGGAAGAAGAAAGAGCTCGACCTTTGCGACGTCTCGACTATTATACTCGCACAAACTCTGAAGCGGCTGCTCGCCCGAGCCTGCCTGACGCGTCAGATCCGCCTCGAGGACGCGATGACGCGACTCGTTGAGGTGAATGACGTGAAAACGAATATTCATTCGCGTTCCACGTCTTTTTGTTTACTTTGTCGGGATTTCTTGAAACACCGAGGCTGATGTACCGGCCGCAAGTGACGCGCCCAGAGGCTCGCGCGCGCAGAGAGAGACGGACCTAAGCAGCATACCCCCCCCCTCTCCTCCCCCCCTCGCCCGTCTCTTCGACTCCCATATCCCTCTACAATCACCTTTTACTCTTCATCCTTCTGATACCTCACCACCTCTTCCTCTTTCTCAACCTCTTTTCACCATCACAACCAAGTCTCACTCAAACACCCTACGCTCACAACCTCGCTTCGGCCACCTCGATATCTCAACCTACTCTCAAACCAAACCAAGGTAAGCCATCCTCCTCCTCGCCCGTCCCTTTCGCTCTAGCTCTTCCGCATCATCGCCCTTCAGGTAGTTGACTGTCTTGTCCTCTCTCTCCTCTACTTGCCCCCGTCTGCCCGCTTCTAGACTCTATCACAATGGCTCCCACCGCTAGGAAAACCGCCCCTGCCACCAAGGCCAAGTCCGCCGCCGCTCACCCTTCGTTCCAGGCCATGATCCAGGTAAGTCTAAAGTCGTGTGTCATTCGGCTTTCGCATCCCAGTTCCTCTACCCTCTTTCGCCACTTCATCACCACCTGGAACATGCTCTTCAACGAAATCCGATACCATGCAGTCGACGATGCCATCTGGTCGAGCTGATTGGACGGCCGTTGGACGAGGACGAAAACTTCGCGTCCACGCGTCTATCCCTTTTCGACGAGCCGCACCGACAGTCGGCTAGCACGGGTCCTGAAGACGAGGGGTCACATCTCGAAGTAGAGACCACGTCCTAGCTCTTCGAGCCGATTGCTGGTTTGCGCCCTTCGCCACAAAGGGAGTCGATGCTGGCAGCCACAGCGTCACGTGCGGGCCGGACCGTGACGTCGACCGATCACGCGTAAATAAACATCAGCTTGTATCGCTCGATCGACTCTCCCCACCGCCTCGACGACACCTGATTACACTCGAGAGGCATCTTCGGTAACCCTCTCGAAGCATTCCGACGTCTCCAGCTCGTCCCGTCCGATTTCGAGAGGCCGTCGCGTAATATTACCTGATTGGGAAGGAGCCAAACGACTCCGGTCGCGCTTTTCGACCTGGGCTCACAACAACAAAGTTTCGATTCGACCCGCCATCATGCCGTGGTTCCCCTGCATCAGACATCCTGTTCACACGCATCCAAACTGACGCGCCTCGCTTCCATCGCTCGACCAGGAATGCATCTCTAGCTCGACCGATGCCCGTCAGGGTGTCTCGCGTCCCGCCATCAAGAAGTAAGTCGTCGCGTCTCCGAGGCGATCGATCGCGTCGACACTGATCACATTGCAATTCCCATCTACTCACCAGGTTCTTGGCCGACAAGTACAAGCTCGACATGTCGTCGGCTGCCAACTTGAACCACGTCAACAAGGCCATCGCACGAGGTGTCGAGGTCGGCGTCTTTGACCAGCCCAAGGGTTCCGGTGGAAAGGTCAAGCTCGTCAAGAAGGTACGTCGAGCCGTCATGTCGAGACATTCCCATTCGCTGCGTATGCTGACGACTTGTGACGCTCCATGTTCGTCGCAGAGCGCTGCCGGTAAGGAGAACGCTCCTCCTGCCAACGGTGCCGCTGCCGCTCCCAAGAAGGCTGCTGCCCCCGCCAAGAAGGCCACCACTGCTGCCGCTGCCGCTCCTGCCAAGAAGGCACCCGCAAAGGTAAGCTGTATCTCGAACTTTCCCGTAATGAATCACGGACTGACGTATTCATACCTGACAGGCTGCCGCTCCCAAGGCTGCTGCCACTGCTACTGCTAAGAAGGCTGCCGCACCCAAGAAGGCCGCTGCTCCTGCTAAGAAGACTTCGGCCCCGAAGAAGGCTACTGCCGGTAAGGCGATCTGAGGACATCAACCCACATGATCGTCCCGCTCACCCCGCCGTTCTCCATTACAGCCAAGTCCACTGCCAAGGCACCGGCCAAGAAGGCGACTGCTGCGAAGAAGAAGTAGAGCGCGTAACGCGTCTCGCTCGATTTCCTCTTTCTTTTTCGCCTCAGCAACCCTTTTTGATTTCTGCCCTCGCACTCGATCACTACCTGCCCTGCCTGTTCTTCGTGTTTTAACCCGACGCCTATACCGAAACCTTCGCTTTTCGCTCACCTGTTCCGAGAGCCTCTCGATCTTGTATTATTTCAGAGGTATCGTTCGAGCTCTTTCATGATGATTGTCCCTTATGCACATATCCAAACGGCCATACCGCGCCGCGACGCCCCGTGGCTTTTGCTTACGTCATCACCTCCGAGTGGCAGCCGACAATTGAGCGACATGGCACATAGACTGACGCTACTTACATACAGTACTCTCTCTATTCTTACTCTGCTTCGAAACAAGAATCGGTAGATAGATTGACGCAGCACCAGCTACATCCACACATCCCGTACTGTCATGCTCATCAAGCAATCTTATCGCGACGTCGAGACGACCGCCAACGGCGTCAAGGGGACGATGCGGGTCATCATCATCGAGCCCAACGTGCCCGAATACCCTGATGCCAAGTTTCCCGGTTGTGTCGTCTTCAGCGAGGCAAGTCACTTCCTCTGTTATTCCGAGAGATTATTTTTGGGCTGACAAGGGTACTGATGTGATCAGATCTACCAAGTCTCTGGACCGGTAGAACGGTTCGCCGGGCAGATCGCTTCGCAGGGGTTCATCTGCGCGTGTCCTTCGTCTTTCCACGAGTTTGAGGGTCCGGAGCCTCTGCCTTACGATACCGAGGGTGAGCTCCTACCCGCTCGGGAGATGTAACACCTTCGAATGACTGATGTCGATTGGGTGACGATACTACATAGGTACCGATCGGGGTAACAAGTACAAGGCGGAAAAGACCATCGCTGGGTACGACGAGGTGAGAGCGATCTGTATCTCGGATATGCGAAGCCAAATCGAATGAGCTGATTGGGCAAGCCTATAGGATGCGACGTTATCGGTCGACGTCTTGATGTCTCTGCCGCAATGTACCGGACGGATCGCTGCGACGGGCATGTGTCTTGGTGGTCATCTGGTAGGGTCCGGGCTTATCATACACCCTTGGACGCAGATGCTAATCTTGCGATTGCCTCTACCTTCTTACAGGCCCTAAGGGTGAGACATTCGAGTTGTACATTTCTATACAGGACACAAACTGATATTCTATCCCTGCTAGGCTGCCTTTGATCCCCGGATCCTGGCTACCTTCTGTTGGTTCGCTACCGAGTCAGTACCAAATACCGACCTTCCTACCTAACCCGTTAGAAACCACGCTCAATGAGCTGATCATATGTACTCGCAAACCCACTTCTGGTCGCGTCACCACAGCGTCCATTCGGCAACTCTAGGAAAAGGAAACTCGGACGACACGTTGATCAAGATCAAGAATGGGGACATGGATTATAAGGGAGAGGTCGCCATGGTCTTCGGCAAGCAGGTCAGTTGCCCTCCAAGGGCCAAGCGAATATGCACCGGAATGGTGTTGCTGACGTTCGTGCGATGTGATGCAGGACACGCACGTCCCGAGAGAAGGGAGGGATCTCGTTCGAAAGACGCTTGAGGACGCCAACGTCATCTTTTCCGTGAGCCGCGCTTCGCTTCAGCTGTCTTTTTACTCCATACCATAGCTGAGCCTATAATCGCTAACCTCGGCTTTTGTTTTATCTTCTTTCTCTTTCATGACCATCTTGAATCCTTCGTAATAGCTTCACGAGGTCCAAGCGCAACATGCCTTCATCCGGGATACCTCCTCTAAGGGCAGGTGGGACGCTGCGTTGACAAGAGGATTGTTCGGGATGATGATGGAGATGTTTGAGAGGTGTGTGGCCAGGAACCTCGGGCGGAGGGTTAGGAGTGGGGGGAACGTAGAGCATGTCTGCTAGGGTATCGATTTGTAACATGACGGGATAGCATCTTCGAATAAAGTGCTTGACATTGGTAGCTGCGTTCTTGACCAGGAGAATGCGCATGAGGTATACCTGCAAAGTATCAGGTTGTCCGGCGTCTCGGAGAGCTACAATACGGTCGCCATTGCGATGAATGGGTCTTGAGAGCCCGAATTGGACGACAACGTAGAGTCAGGGAATCGAGGCGATCGACGGTTGAGAGCCTATCTCCTCTGGGGAATGATGTAGTGGAGAGCCATTTCGTCGTGAGCGATGGTTTCTTCCTCAGCCACCTCCATCCTGTTGTTCCTCTTCCTCCTGATACCACCTATTTCTCATCCTCCTGCAATCCTCTCTCTCGCCCATATTTTCGATAACACAACCTACTTCACTGCAGCACGACCCGGTTATCGACATCAGTACGGTGTTGAGTTCACCTACCTGAACAAGGAACCCGCTGACAATGACGACCGGCAGTCTCGCCGCCTAGCGACGATCTTCCGTGCCTGTTGTCGTTACAGCATGGTGTCCCGAATCGAGTCGAGTTGCACAGATCCGCCTATGATCCACCAAGCGTTGTGCAAGGTCTGGTTCCACCGCGCAGAGGCTCAAAGACTGGCGCTCGACAGGATGCCACAGGACTGCCGGGGTACGTCGGATACCTCCACCGTTCAATGCAAAGGGGCTTCCATATTGTCACTGCGCCTGACCGTAGCGGCATTGACGGCGCCTTCTCCAAGCTGTTCGCCATCCAAAACGGCGGCATCTCCAACCTCTCCACCGTTGTTCAGCGCCATCGATACTATCGCGCCATCGGTAACCCATGGCAGGTTGTGCGAGCCTCTCTTAGGGGTCCGCTATATTCTTTTAGATCCCACTAACGAGCTCATACTAATCGTAGGGAATGCTGCCATCCGTAGGGAATAAGGGATCCAACGCCATCTATACCAAGGTGAATCGGATGGGTGCCAGTGAGAAGGTCGACGACATCAACAAACCAAATGGTCGACCGCATATAACAGGTGCGACAACAGTCCACATGCCCAACTCTGTGATTCGTGTTAAGCGCAGGACTTAGAACACGTCCTCTTCGTAATGGACATATTGACGTTCCGACATACACTAGCACAAGCACACAGAATAAACACAAGCGACCGACTCGACTTGGAATCGATGCTCGTATACGTAAAGACGATCCACCCAGCTCCACCTCCGATTCGTGGGCCAGATCAATCCCTCTTCAACTCCTTCCTCACCAAAAACACCCGACATCCCTTCCCAGCCACAGCGCTCTGGACGTCCAGATCCTCCGGGTCTTGTTCCTCGACCGTCATCCCCTCTGGCAAGACCCCCTTGACGCCCTCTCCGATCAGGTCGTCCGACGTTCGACCGGGGGAGAGGATGACGTACCCCTCCAGGAAGTCTCCTACTTCGATATGACGTTCGGTAGCTGAGGAAAAGGAGTCGACGAGGATAGAGAGGACGGTAGAGAGCGGGTGGGTGGAGGGGTCGAAAGGAGGTTGACCGGGAGCCGGGGTGTGGTTACGGAAGTAGATCTGCCAAGGGCCCACATAGTAATATCGCGGCCTCAGCGACAACCCTGCGGTCGAGGAGGAAACCTGATCGAAAGAAACGCACCTGGTTATCCAAGAACGGCTGTAACAAGCTCTGCGCAGCCCCAGCGGCCCGACAAGTCTCCCTCTCATAACTCCCCACGGGGTCAAACGAATACACCGCACCCGTCCCGTCGTCCTCTTCGATACCGGCCAAGACGTTGTATACGTAGTAAGGGAACATGCGACGGGCGTAGAGCATGGTCTGGATCAGTCGGGCGATGGATTTGATGGGCATTTCTTTGTTGTGGGCGTGGGTGTACCACTGTAGCAGCGAGCGGAGCGAGCGGAGGGGGTTGAAGAAAGGGCGGGGCGAGTGGCCATCACAGCAGTTCCGGGGGATCGTAAGCATTACGATCAGCTCTAAGGACTAAAGAGGAAGTGAGAGAGTGGACCCCCCAAGACTGACCTCCAACCGCTGTTTAACCCGTTTCACGAAATTGTTCCCGTCCGCTGCGAAACCGTTGACGGCGAGGATCGCTTTCGAGGTGCTGTTCGTTCAATTGCCAATGCAACCAGTTCAATCGAGAGAGGTTTCCGGGGGACATTGGGAGTGTCCAAAGGATAGGTGTGAGTGCGGCACGAGGTTGACGAAGTGGTCGTGGTGCATGTATCCCGGATCATGATGCGCCGAGAGGGCGATTAGGGCGTCGAGTCGAAGGTGAACAAGCAGATAGCATAGATTCAGGGGTGATTTGTAGAAGGATGGTGTGTAGGAGGCGGTGTTGGACAAGCAAAGAGATAAGCTGGATCAGCATTCCATTTCACCTGAACGTCCCTTTGACTACCACCCTCTCAACACCTAAATACACGGGGGAGACTCACAGAGGAAAGACCTTTTTCTGATACCTGCTCTGAATGGAATACCCCTCCGACTGCCGAGTATCACCAGCGACGACGGCGAAGTCTTTCCCGGCGATGGCGAGGATGGACCCTCCGTTGGAAGAGTATGGGTCGAAGCGGCTGTTTAGGTTGGACGAAACGCATTGAAGGGGGGTCAGTTCTTGTCGGCCGGCAAGGAGAAGGGGAAGGGAGGTCTTACTGTTGAATAGCTTCAGGCATGGTTGTAAGTGTTGAAGGTATCTGATTGGGTTGTGGATATGGTCGTTCAAGACTGAATGACATCGACATCAACCTTTACACGGTTTCTTGATCGTCATCAACCCAAGGGTCGAGCTCGAGCTTACGCGGCGGTCAGATCAAGCACAACGGACATGAGAAACGATGTAAGATGTCCGCTTCTTACGTTTATCGATCAGACTGCTACTTGGTCAGGATGGGATTGCGTATCGAGTTTGGCAAACGGAGCACAGAGCTGAAGCACTGCTGGTACACACTGATACTTCTTGTAGCATGTAATGAGTCTTCGGATCGTGCCACACTGAATCTCTCCTATCAATTAATATCAAATTGCCTGCTTCGACGACCTTTGTTGACTACAACCATCGACCCAACGAGTTCACTCATACGTAATAATCACGTAATCTTGGAATGGTTCGGATATATCCGTCCCTCCCGTTTCATCTTTTGTTCCTCCCTCAGAACCACGATGACGACGACATTTGATCAAAAGTCGTCTTGCGATTCATTTCAACGTATCCTCGCACCTCGACAGGCACCCTGAACAACTCGAGCATCCGAGCATCCTTATCAACTTCGACGGCATGGCAATCAATCTATAATAGCATAATCGATTATCTACGGAAAACCAGAATATCAGTCATGTCTTCTTCTTCCGGGTTCGCATGGGGAGAAGGACCGATGAGGGGGGTGAATATCGGCGGATGGTCAGTCATAGTTCCCGCTCCCAGTATTCGTGGTAGCAGGTCCTTTCGATCCGGAAAGGACCTTCTGCTGACCTTCGGGATGAGGAGGATCGCTGATACTTCATGTGGGATCGACGTAAACTCTCGTCTCTCTGGGATAATTTGATCTACCTTTGGCTGTCGATTTGCTCGGCGGTTTAGGCTGGTACTCGAGGTAAGTCACTTCCATCATGTCCGCAGTCAAATTCAGGTACATATCAATCTCGCTGGGATCATCACGGTCACTGATTCATTTCCTCATCACCCTCGCTTCGATCTGACGGATCCTATATCATCTAATCGTAGCCATGGATCAAACCGAGCATGTTCGAAGGGAAACCGGATTGGGTCATCGATGAACGGTAAGCCCTCATCACTTTCAGTCGCTGTCATCCTTTTCCTCGCCCACTTGATTGCCTACGATCTTGGTCGGTTTCGTACCTTGCTGCATTTTTTGAAGCTTGCGCAATTGGACCGCAAGCTGATTCGCAATCCTGTTTCTGCCGCTACTCGTGTTGCTGCACATCAATTCCAAATCCAATCTGAATCTCACTCGTGCGACGTCCTTTGGCACGGCCCGACACATACTCGTTTCTGCCATCTCCCAAATTGCCCCCCTCCTCCACGACTGCCTTGTCCTGACATGACGGAACATACTCTCAACTCGTGCACGCAAATCGAAACCGACATCAAAAAATGAAATGGCAAATCAAAATGCAGGACGTACGGAGCCTATTGGCGGTCGACGAATTATACGCTGGGGTTCGGGGAGGTTGAGGGGCATTGGGGGAGGTGAGTTTTATTCTTTCGTATTTGGACTTGTTTTCCTTAGTGCTTTCAGCAATGATCTGGAGCAAAATACTCATTTGGCGATCTTCGTTCATCTCTTTTCCTGCAATATCGACATGCTTACCGTCATGAATTGTTCTACTCGGCGATTCCTAATCCGCCGGTTTGCTATCTCACCATGCCGCCATACTCTCTCATGCGATTGTTATCTGATCGTTCTGGAACACCTGATAATCGTGGTATTGCCCCTTCTCCTTACGGTCTGCAACAATTATCACATGGACGCGAACGTAGTTGGATCGTCAGGAAGGATTTCGAAGACATCAAACGTCTAGGTCTCAACACAGTCCGGATCCCAATCGGGTGTAAGTGGCGTTTTCTCTTTCATCCCATCACCAAAGAATGATTTACCAATTTTGACGCCGATGATTTCTGGATAAACTTCGGATCTGAAGTCTGGTCGATCATCCCGCTCGGACCGGACGAACCGTTCATGACCGGCGCTTTCGAGTATCTCCAGCGGGCTGTGGTTTGGTGTAGGGATATAGGGTTGGCGGTGGTTAGTTCGATATTCGTGCAGGGATAGTGAAGATGGAAGGTTCCTGATAAGCAAGGCTGAGCATGCCTGGAATCGCGGGCAGATGATCGATTTGCACGGCGTTCCTTCGGGGCAGAATGGGTTCGATAACTCGTAAGAGGACCCCCCAAAAACATCCATTCTCAGCAAAGGAATCATTCGAAGCTGAATATACGAGCACTTCCTGGACCAACTTCATGCTTTTAGGGGATCGACGAACTCGAGGTCATGGTTCATCAACACGACTTCGATCCAACGGACGCTCTCGGCGATAACCATCCTCGCGCAAGAATTCACCGCCTCTTCGTATGGCGGCACAGTCGTCGCTATCGAGCTGGTCAACGAGCCGTTTCCTTACGGTGACAACGAGGTCCAGGCGTTGAGAGCGTTCTATGAGGACGGATATGGGTTGATAAGAGGTGTGGATGAAAGGGTCGCGGTGGTCATCTCCGATGCCTTTAGGAAATTGAGAGAGTGGGAAGGGTTCATGCCTAGTAATCGATATAATAGAGTCGTTCTGGATACCGTGAGTTCCGGGTGTTAAGTAACATACAGGGTGAGGTGATTGAGACTGACTATTGATGAGCACGATGCACAGCATATTTATTCGATGTATGTGCGAATTTTCCTATTACAAGATGCTGTCCAAGCTGATACGCATCGCGCTACAGGTTCACCATCGAACTCGTCGAACAAGGGTATACCGATAAACTCCGGACATTCTGCGACAAGTTGCCGGAACTCGTCCAGTCTAATCAAAATGTCTGGACCGTAGTCGGAGAGTTCACGACCGCTTCCACCGATTGTGAGTGGGTTCGTAGGCAAAGAAAGCGCGGCAGGACGATGCTGAGTTTCGGTGATGATATAGGCGCAGCATACTTGAACGGGCGAGGAAAGGGCGCTCGGTGGGACTCGACGACCGATCCGTATGTCCTTCCATGCAGGCTGTTTTGTCACGTTCGAGCTGACTTGGCGTGCGTCTGGCGCACAGCAGTCCGACCAACTTGACCGGGAATTGCAGAGGAAAGACGGGATCAGGCGCGGACTTTTCCAACGAGTATACGGACTACCTGGCAAGGAGCTTCGAGACACAGACGTGGATCTACGAGCAGGCTTCTGGGTGGATTTACTGGTAGGCCGCTACTCCTGGATTGATTATAAGTGAACATGCTGAGCTTGACATCCCGCGCGATACCAGGTGCTGGAAGACGGAAAGCGCGAGCGAATGGGCGTTTCAGGATGGGGTGACGTACGGCTGGATTCCGCAGCCACTGTGGGACAAGCCTGCGACTCTAGGGTGAGCGGATTCGTGCTGTAGGATATTCCTCGCCAAGCTTAAAATCGAGTCGACTCCCGCAGTCAACCGTGCCAATTCAACGGTTCGGCCCAATCTATTGAAAACGGATCTCCACCATTCACAACACCAGATACCTTCAGACATCTCCCCTTCTTGCTTCTCATAACGATGTTTTTGACACTGTATCTCTAGTGCACAGGACTTCGTGAACCGTCGAATGTATTATCATTATTATAGGCAATAGGCAAGAGGGACAGCATGCCCGTGTAATGTGCTATACAACGTGTTTGCGATGCGGGTAAGAGAAACAACAGCAAGATGAAGCGAAACGAAAAAGCAGTGATGACTTGACCGATGGCCACGATAATAGGCCGAACGGTAGATGTAACGGAAGAAAAACGTCCTCAGGCCTCCCGATCAAAAAGCATCCCTCCTAGCCTCGAGCTCAATGTCCTTGTTAAACAGGAATCCGTCCAGAAGCTTGATCCGACCGTCCGGCAAGGTCTCGTCGGTAGCGCCCGGCTGTCGACTTGCGGGACACGGTACGCTGCCAGGACCATGCATCCAGATCTCGTCCCACAGCGCCGGTCCTACGCGAGTCCGTTTAGATGCGTCTCGCGTCAACAACCGCGCGACGACCTTTTTAACGCCCTCACTGCCGACGCCGATGGGCCACTTGTAGTCCCCCTTGGCAATCGCCATGATCCGTTTCCTCCTCTGGGCCTCCTCGTCGTGCGCGGTCGCCGAGGTCACGCGGTCGAACGGCAGCTCCCCCGTGACCAGAGCAAAGAGGATGACCCCGACGGCCCAGGAATCGGTATCCCTCCCGTCGTACGGATTGCCCATGATGATCTCGGGGGCGGTGAACGATTCCGATCCGCATCGAGTCTGGAGCATGGGCGATGCCGGGTCGATGAACCGAGCCAGACCAAAATCTGTCAGCTTGACCAAGGGGGTGGGCAGCTTGTCGATCGGGATCTTGGCGGTCGGATCCGACTTGTCCACGAGCGCGAACGGGTTGACCGTGAACATGATATCTGGTGTGGGTAGGTAGACATCAGTATCACGTTTCGTCCAAGGCCAAGGCTTCAAGCTCGGCGCGAACTCACTCTCTAGCTTTAGATCCCGATGGACGACCTTGGCCTCGTGCAACCAGTACACGCCTCGACAGAGCTCCCCGAATATCCGTCGAACCAGGTCTTCCCCCATACGTCGATGATTTCCGGGCGTTTGCAAGAGATCGAATAGTTCCCCTCCCGAAAGGTTTTCAAGGACAAGACAGTGGTATTGCGTGGTAGAAAAAGAAGATAGGTACGAGACGATGTGAGGGTGGGAAAGATGCTAAAAACGTCATAGAAGCCAGGGTCAGACATTTCTTCAGTGTAATACGATGACGTCTGTACTCACTCGTAAGACGGCCACTTCCCGAACGAAACTGATCCTCGTCCGATCATTCTCCTTGCACATCCGTTTATCCATCATCTTGATCGCTACCACCTCGTCGCCCTTAGGCTCGTACTCCTCCTCGTCATCGGTATCCTCTTGGCCGACTCGCCCGGACCGAGAAGTCGATGACTGGGGGACCAACAGTGTGGACCTCGACTTTGGTCGCCGGATAGACCGAACCATCTCCCTCGCACTCCAGACGAGACTGAAAGCGCCTTCACCCATCACCCGGTCCACTTTCCAGTACCTCGAATGCGACGTTTCTTGTTGTCGCGCAGAATCAGCCTCGGTAGAAGTCAATGTCGATGTCGATGTAGACCCATTTGACAATCCTGCCGTCGACGTCGAACCGGCCTGAGCGAGCCGGGGTACAGACTCTCCTTCGGGCGCAATGAGAATATCTCCCGGTCTGATCCGACAAGGTTCTTCGTCTTTCTCTTGTCGTTCCTTTACGACGGGTCTAGGTCCGAACGTGCCAGAGACTTCTCGTGTCAATTTCCGGGGAGGGCTAATGACCGTCGCCGGATCGTAAGCCGACTTCGACCTCGTACTAGAGCTGGGCGATTGATTAGGAGAGGCAGGATCAGAAACTCCGTTCCCGTTCCGAATGATCGGGACTCCGATCCCCGAGATAAAACTCCCACTCCCCTCGCCCAAGTTGACGTATCCTCGCTCTCCAACCCCTTGTAGCTCCGACCCAACCGGGCTAGTCATGGAGACGTTCACAGAGACGGGAGTCACGGGCATGGTGACCGACCTCGAAGTCTCCTTCCCGCCCGCTGGCGAACCACGTCCTAATCCATTTCCTAGTCCGAGCGCGAACCCAGAGGCCGTCATGTTCTTCCTCTCCCCCTGATTCGCAATCATATTCGAACGGAATTCAGCAGTAGGAGAACTCGCCAAGACAGGGGAAGCGGACGGGCTGGCGCTCCTCGGTGGGGTCGCAGCGAAGCTCGTCGAAAAGAAAGCGCTCGACCTCGAACTAGCCGCTTGTGTCCGGGTAGGGGTGCTTGAGGTCGTACCGTGTCTCAGCCCTGGGCCTGGTGATTGATTCTGGTTCTGACCTGGTCTAGCAGAGTTCAATGACCGAGCTCGGTTGAGGTTCGAACTGGATGCTTCCAAGTGAGACCCAGGTCTCTCAGAGGGGAGAAAGTAGTGCGTGCTACGCGATGTCGAATGGACGGGGAATATCGGGGTAGGATTATGGTGTGAACGGGTTGGAGAGGAAGACAAGGCGTTGGGAAGGCCATCTACTTCCATCTTCGTCCCAGAGCCGACGCTGTCCGCAAGCGGCCTAGGAGGAGCCGGAACCCCCAGACTGAAGCTCGTAGAGAAGAACGCCGAGGTCTTGCTTCCATCCTTGATGGAACTCGAGGTGAGACTCAAATTCGAGTTCGAGTTCGAACCGGTCTGACTCTGGTTCGAATTGGTCCGAGTTCGCTGACGTTGGTTCTGAGGGGTCGACGGAGTGACGGTCGTAGCTACCGTCTCTGACCCCAATGCAGATCCCAATTCCAACTGCGAGCTCAACGGTGAACCCGGCTTGCGTTCATCCGAACCTCTACGTTTGGGTGGGGATCGGCCTAACGGGTCCACCCCTTGGTGGTCTGTTGGAACCGGGCTAGGTAAAGGTTGAGGACTCGAAAAAGGTAAGAAGTTGCACCCTCCTGCCAGATTGGTCCCGATCTCCAGATCGACGATGGGTCGAGTATTGGGATTCGAGCTCGAACTGAACGCAGATGGATTGACGAGACTGTTCAGGCGATCCCTATCAAAGGTCGATCGCAGGTGAGGGGAGGTCGCACGGATCTCTGCGGGGTCGGATACGGTAGCTGAACGGTTCCTCGGCGAGTTGACGTGAGTGTTCGCGATCATAGGGGAAGGTTTGAGAATGGGAGGGTGTACTGCTTGCAGCACGCCCTCTTGTTCGATATCGATATCGTGCTTGTTGATATGGTTGTTGTTGTGGTCACCTGGACCGGTTCGATCTCGTCGAGCAGGCAAGTTCAAGTAGAGTCTCGCTGCGGACAGATGAGATGTCCCCCCTGAAGGAGGATGCTGGTGTCGGCCCGGATCGAGGTCGATGAGCTCTCCGCTCGACCTGAAGCCGTTCAGACCCTCGAGCTGGATGTGGGTTGACATCGCTGGAGCGGCGAGTTGATCTGTGCCGAGGACCATCGATGCGAAGGAGGAAGAGGACGGAGTGTGTATCGCTTTTGAACGTAAAGGGCGGGAAGTCGATCTGGCCTGAGCAGATCCCGAGCAACCGGCGCCTTGTCCGGGTATGGTTCGGCTCTCTCAGCCTGACTGATTCAGCGTGTGTGTGTGTGTGTGTTATTATATATGCTGTAGTGTATTCGAGGTTGTTGATGGTAGTTTAATGGTTGTTATCGAATAGTTGTTCAAGTCGAGACGGAGGGTCGCGTCGAGGGGGAGGAGGAGGTCCTGAGCCTGCAACTTATATACTATCCTTCGACATCGATCTGGACTGACAATTACAACAAACGACGTCATCCAACCACATCCAATCATCCACAGTAATCCGGGGTCAAGGTTGAATCAACCTGTATTCGTGGGGACGAACAAGACAAGATGACCTCTCCTGTCCCTTCAACTTCAACAGGCTTCAGCAGGATCCAGACGGACCAGGACTTGGCCGATTTCAGGAGATCTCCGGGATACTTGGACTTCATCAGTTGGATACAGAGGCGGTGTGAACGGGTCAGGGGGAAGAGGGTGTATAATGGGTCAGAGGGATGTTCAGAGGTGAGTTCAGGGGTGTCATCGAGGTGGGCCCATAGGCTGATCAACCTTATGTGACATTACCTTGTTCCCTGCTTTTCATATCTCATCGACGGCAATCTATCATCCAATTTGGATCTTATATCCTCAACCTGGTTAATCACCGCATTTCCATCGCAATTGCAATCGCGATGTCAAACCCACGTCAACCCTGGAACTGCGGGAAGAAAATCAAATCCCTACTAGACCTCCTCTCCACCCTAAATCGGATTATGGCCGAGACGCCCGCCGAGCACGATCCGAATCAACGGTTCGGCAACAAGAGCTTTAGGGTCTTCGACAAGAAGGTCGAAGAACATCTTCTTTCGAATCCGCCTCAAGACGGAGGTCTGGTGGATATCGCCGCCCTGAACATCGATACGGCAGCCAAGCCGAATGCCAATGCCGACCCATCATCGCTCCCGTCATCGTCATCACTTTCGTCATCGTCGCTGCTACCTCATCCAGAATCAAGATCTTCCTTCTTGCCCAACGCTCCTGAACTGCTCAGATCCACCGTCTTGAGGATCTGGTTGGAAGGATCCGCCTTTGGACACTCTTCACGGTTGGATTATGGGACTGGACATGAGCTGGCGTTCGTCCTAGGGTTGTGGGTCTTGGTCAAGGGGGGATATATAGGGAGTGGGAGTGAGGGTGAGGGTGAGGGTGAGGGTGAGCAACGGAAGCAAGGAGAGAAAGGGGATCTTGAGCTGGAGGAAGACGATCTGATCTTAAGGGTCTTCCCTAAGTAAGTCTTTGAGGAACTCTCGCTGTATCTTAACCGCATGCAAGGTCCCAAAATCATTTTCGCTGATCCTCTCAATCCCGCTTCATCCTGGCTCTGATTCATCTGATTGTGACTTGCCTCACGGCAAATCCAGGTACCTAACCCTCACCAACGCTCTGCAGACGAAGTACAAGCTAGAACCCGCCGGATCACATGGGGTCTGGGGATTGGACGATTACGTCTTCTTACCGTATCTCTTTGGGAGCGGGCAGTTGCTCGGTACGTGCGAGCACTCCCAGATGCGACATAGCAAGGAGGTGAAGAGAAGACCGGGGACTGATATGACTTGACTGACACGCTGTAGGCGTCGAAGGGATTACTCCGACAAAGACCTTGGAGTTGGCTAAGAGCAAAGAAGCGGTCGACGACATGTGGACGATGGCCCTAAGACGGTTGTTCGAATTCAAACGAGGGCCATTCTTCGAACATTCGGTGAGGCTCCTCATCACCCCTTGACTAAAAATGTCGCCTTCGACTGAAATGAATATCCTGTTACCTATGCGGACCGACTTCGACTGCGACGATGATGACCACGACACAGCCGCTCTTACACAACCTTTCAACCTCGTTCCCGAACTTCAACAAGATCCACTCGGGCCTGTTCAAGATGTACCTGGAAGAAGTGTTGAATAAACGGGTCGTCGTCCAGCACCTACCGATACCGAATTGGGTCTGGGAGCGAGAGGCGGGGCGGTGAGGTTCGAGATTAGGATGTTTGCAGGGAAGGTATGGATACGATAGATGAAAGGGGGCATTGAGGGTTTGTAGATGACCTAGAGCGGGTTGTACGATGTGACGATGACTATACCCTGAAGGACGCTTCGAAATGTGGACTCGTCGTAAGGAACCACGTCGGTCATTAACGCTGCGACGCATGTCTCGCCGTCACGGAGCACAAGTAGAACGTAAACCCTCTCTTGTCTACTTTGAAACATGCGAGACTGTGAATTCGCAACAGAGTCATGATCAAAGGCTTTTCAGTAATATTCTGGCTTCTCATTATTGAGAAGCTGTTGACTGGCTGATAGAGATGACCGATGCCGAACGCCAGCGGACGATCCTCGCGTTGCCGGGAATCCTCAGCAGAAGAAGGGGTTGCCTGACTCTTGGTAGAGAAAATGCTGTAGAGCTCCCACACCAGACCAAGTTCACTTCCTGAACGAATTTGTAACGATGAAGAGGACTTTAAACCAACAAGTACGATGTGATGCCGGCATCTGTCAGTGGTGGCAAGAAGAAACCCGATCCTTAGGCTGTCAGTCTGTTCCCAGTAAGGACCCTGGGCCGTTCGTGGCCGGATGTAACATCCTCGACCCGGTCGTATGACTTTGGTGCGTCGAAGATCATCATCTGATTGGCCCCGTCGACTCTTGTCAGAGCTGGGATCGTCACACAGTGGGTTGTCAGGGAATTTCAGACGGGCGATGTTTAATGCTTGGGCAGTGACACCAGTCAATCCTTTGAGCCTGACGCTGATTCGGAAAATCCCAACCAATGACATGCAGGACAACGCTAGGACAACTTGGTCGTCAACAGATCATGCTCTCACGGCCTTCGACCTTGGTACAGAGGGAAGAGTCGAGCTGAATAAGTAGGAAGGACGAAGATAGATAGTTGGTACAAAATCGGGGCCCAGCTATGTAAAGATGGCTGCGGTAACTTCAAATTACAAGAATCTTTCACATAGCGTTCCTATGCGACCTTGTCGAGTGATCAGGTCCCCCCCCGGACGCTACGATACCATTCTTTGTAGTCCTGAAGGATATCCGGTACCGTCAGCTGGTGAAGGATCGGCGCGTCTTCGAGGGCAAGAGAGGAGTTGGGGCGAAGCTTGATAGGGGAATTCATGACGTTGACGATGTTGACAACGGGCGCGACCGAGGCAGGAGTGATGGTGGAGGAAGGAGAGATTGTAATGACAGAAACAGCAGCGGTCGTTACTTCAGACCGCCGCTTCGCCTTTCACGAACTACACAACTGGACATCGAAGGTACGATCGGAATGGGCTTAGAAAAAAAAACGAGGCTGAAACGTCACCCACGTTTTTTACTTCCGGACATCGACGGTCCGACCGTATGAGTCTTATATTTGCGATCCGCGGTGCACACACAAGTGATTTTGCGCTAAATCAGGAAATTCTCGGGCCGCGATGTCGAGGTCGAGGTCAAGGGGGCCCACGCAGGTCGAACCGGTCTGACGATCACCAAAAACGTCAATGACTTGGAAAAGGAGCCTATCATTCTGCATCACAACATCGACCTCGTATTCAGTAAGCATTCACACATCCTGCTCTGTCTGGGAGGAACGAGCAAGAAAAAACGATCGGAAAACCTATCCTCGTCGACCTCGTGGTTCCGCCTTAGGCCCGGGCTTTCTCGCGTCATAGAAGTCCCCGCGAGTAGTAAAAGGGGTGGGAGCTGTTATCAATCCGTCGACATCATCGACATCACCACCACCATCCTCACGACCATCTACAACGCTACAACCTAAAACTCGCAATCACACTCGATATACCGAAAATACCAGCAGTTTGATATTACTACTTGACTCGGCGTGGATAATAGTAGTATAGAAAACGGAGTAGCGCACGAGAATCGACAACGATTACGATGTCGGCTAGAACTGGGGCTAACGTGTGAGTACAAGTCGACTATACTGTCCTTTTACTTGTCGTGCGTCACGGCGTAGCGGGTGGTTGCAGTACTAATACAGTCTGTTCGATCTTCTTCTTTGCTCTTCTTCTCCTCCCCCTCTTTTTCTCACGTCGACTCGCATCGACTCGCAATGATCTGAACGACACTCCCGTGACCGTGAATCGATTCGACAACCACATCGCCCATCTCACTCACGTATGCGTAATCTTCACCAACGGTAATCCCCTCGACGCCTCTTGCTGTCCACGGTACCTGCACCTTCTCGGTCGCCACAATATCGAATCAATTGTTGGTCAACAATCACGCAAACCGCAAACCACAACCATCTCTACCTTCACGCAACTCTTGCTGTGAAATCGGAATCGGGATGGCAAACTCTGTTCGGCACGCGGCTCCTCTTGGACTTGCAATATCCTGCGATACGATGTGATACCATACTGCACGGAATTCGATACCTCATGGGGAATGGATGGATACTACAATCGATCGATCATCACAACCTTGAACACTCGAAACTTTGGCATCTCAATTCCCATTCGGCTCGAATCAACAACCTTGAATATCCGATCACATCCCGTCGCATGGGAATATGGATAATGGCATCGACCTTGGCATATCACCTGGGAACCCCGGATATTCTTCACTCCACCGCCTTTCGCCTGGATTGATGGATAAATCACCGACGAACCTGGATGGTTCGACCTGCGCGACCGTGGCCGCCCGGGATCGTCGATGTTTTTTCGATGGCGACGATGGCGATGACCATGACGACGATGGTGATGATGGCTATTTCGTCCTCGTCTCACTTCCGTTTCACCTCGAACGCCTCGGATGTCGAATTCGCATCACCTTCGAACCCCGACTTCGGATCTCGGATCTCGAAATGAAAACCGACACGCAACGAACCGTCTTTCGACCTGGACCCACGACCACATTTTCAAATTCAACTTCAAATCGATGCTCGTTGCTCGATGCACTTGATACCGGACGATCACGATAATGCACCATGGGTTGAAATGATCTGGTCGGATTTGCGGGATGTAGGAACAAGACGATCCGGTTGACGGGTGAGTGCAATGCCTGGTCTCTTTGTTTCCGGCTTTCTTGTTTCCTTCCCTTCCCGTCTCCTTCCCATCCCGTTCTACTTTCTTGGGGTTTGGAGGAACTTTGTGAGATCGTTAAGGAGCGAGATGAGACGAGAAGATCAGAAGATGCTACGAATGGACCAGGGGATGAGGTTATCAGAATGCGGGATTACACACACTTCTAGGGACCAGAGGCTGATCTACGCGAATCTCTCTTCTGAACGATTTCCCTTGACTCTCGCCAAATCTCTTGCTTACATTACGAATCCTGTTCCGCTCCCATTGCCACACCCTTGGGCTCCGCTTCGCATCACCACAGTCGTCGCCGCCGACTCGCTCGTCAAGCGGGACGTCTTTCGTCTGCCGGACCCGTTCGCCGTTATCACCGTCGATGGCGAACAGACCCACACGACGAGCGTGATCAAGAAGACGTTGAACCCGTATTGGAACGAGAACTTTGACATGTAGGTCGATGCGAGCGTTTCAGACTCGTGTTCTTGATGGCAGAGGCTAAGGTTTTGTTTCATTACTTGATTGGTCCCGGTAGTAATGTCAAAGACTCGTCCGTCGTCGCCGTGCAAGTGTTTGATCAGAGAAAGTTCAAGAGAAAGGATCAGGGGTTTTTGGGAGTGATCAATATCAAGGTGGCCGATGTGATCGATTTGGACAGTGGTGGGCAGGGTGAGTCGGAGGGGTCTTCCTGGATGAAGCCGAGTTGATATGGCGACAAGACGCTAATGCTTGTGACGGCCCATGTAGAAATGCTCACGAGGGACCTGAAAAAGTCGAGCGAGAACTTGCCTGTTCACGGCAAGCTGATCCTGTACGTGACGACCAACACGTCGGGACCGATCCAGAATCCCGGACCGACCGCGAGCAGTGGGAGCACGGTCGGTGCGGGATCTTCGGGTACGGCCGCGGACGCGTCTAGGCGTGATTCGGCGCCTCAGGTGCCATCGTCTGCTGCTGCCAACAGCACGCTCGCGGCTTCGGCTGCTGGACAAGAGGCTGTGGCTCAGGTGGCCAACCCTGCTCCTGGCGTTCCCGCCGTCAACCAAAACTCGACTGGCGCTCTGGGTGCGCCGACGACCAACCCGACGGCGCAGGCGGCTTCGACCGGTGTGACTGCCAACAACGGGACTGGCGGAGCGTCAGCTGGGAACAACAGCAACTTTGATCCTCATATGGACCATCTTGGGTCCCTGCCTGAAGGATGGGAGAGGAGGATCGACCATCTCGGAAGGCAGTACTACGTTGATCACAACACCAGGACGACGACGTGGAACCGTCCCAGTACGGATCAGGTGGCCAACAATGCCAACGCTGCCAACTCTACCGGAGACGCTCGAGCGAGGCATAATCTGAGGAGTCTGGCCGATGATATGCTCGACACTGGTGGCGGGTCGGGATCGAACACGCCCAACCCCAACGGGCAGAACGCGCCGGCTTCCCCCGGTGGAGCCGCTGCGGGAGGTAGCAGTGTCGTCCCTACCGGAGGCGCTACCGTCACTCAGGCCGGTGCCGGACCTCTGCCTCAGGGCTGGGAGCAGCGGTTCACGCCCGAAGGTCGACCTTACTTTGTCGACCACAACACGAGGACGACCACCTGGGTTGATCCGCGTCGACAGCAGTTGTTGCGTGTCATCAGCCCGAGCGGTGGTAACTTGACTGTTCAGCCCCAGACCGTCAGCCAGCTCGGACCTTTGCCGAGCGGATGGGAGATGAGGTTGACAAGCACGGCCAGGGTGTACTTTGTCGATCACAACACCAAGACGACTACGTGGGATGACCCTAGGTTGCCCAGTTCTCTCGACCAGGTGAGTTTGTTCTAGCTGTGAGGTGGTCTGTAACATGACTGACATTTTCCTCCCACGATGACTTGTTAGAACACCCCGCAATACAAGCGAGACTTCCGACGAAAGTTGATCTACTTCCGATCGCAACCCGCGCTTCGTCCCAACACGGGTCAATGCCACATCAAGGTCTCGCGAGAGACCATCTTTGAAGGTAGTTACAGCGAGATCATGAGGCAGACGCCGAACGATCTCAAGAAGCGGTTGATGATCAAGTTCGAGGGCGAGGACGGTTTGGATTACGGTGGTCTGTCGAGGTGGGTCGTGTCCGGTTTGGTCGGTCGTTTGGAGGTGTATGGCTAACATCGACTTGATGACGCTCGCAGAGAGTTCTTCTTCTTGCTCTCGCACGAGATGTTTAACCCGTTCTACTGCTTGTTCGAGTACTCGGCGCACGACAACTACACGCTGCAGATCAACCCCAACTCGGGAGTCAACCCGGAACACTTGAACTACTTCAAGTTTATCGGACGTGTGCTCGGACTGGGTATCTTCCACCGTCGTTTCTTGGACGCCTACTTTATCGTCGCTTTCTACAAGATGATCCTCAAGAAGAAGATCGCCTTGGCCGATCTCGAGAGTGTAGACGCCGAGCTTCACCGAGGTCTTACCTGGATGTTGTGAGTGTTGGCTGTCGATTGGTAGCCACAGCCGCAAATTTAACAGTGTCGCGTCACCTCTAGGGAGAACGACATTACCGACGTCATCGACGACACGTTCTGTACGACCGAAGAGCGTTTCGGCGAGATCGTCACCGTCGACCTGAAGCCTGGTGGCCGAGACGTTCAGGTCACCGAGGAAAACAAGAAGGAATACGTAGAGTGAGTACAGGCTGTGTCGGCTGCCAACTCGATTGTCTTCGTGTTAATTCCTGTTCGATCTCAGTCTTGTCACGACGTACCGTATCGAGAAGCGTGTCTCGGAACAGTTCGAGGCGTTCATGTCCGGGTTCAACGAGTTGATTCCTCAAGAACTCATCAATGTGTTTGACGAGCGGGAACTCGAGGTGAGCTGTCTACGAACTGGGGCGGTGAGCGTCGAACGCTGACGATCACGCGTTGTCGTCGCAGTTGTTGATTGGAGGAATGTCCGAGATCGACGTCGACGACTGGATGAAGCACACCGATTACCGAGGATAGTAAGTTGACCCGGATTGGTCATAGACTGACTCAAAGATCGCTGATTTTCGACCTTTTTGCAGCAACCCTTCGGACGAGGTCATCGAGTGGTTCTGGAAGATCGTGCGCGCTTGGCCCGCCGAGCGAAAGGTTTGTCGAGACTGTACTCAGGTGTAAGCCACTTTCAATGCTGATCCGCGATATTGGTGACAACCAGTCCCGTCTCCTGCAATTCACTACGGGTACATCTCGAATCCCCGTCAACGGCTTCAAGGACTTGCAGGGTTCCGACGGTCCTAGGCGATTCACAATCGAAAAGGCTGGCGAAGTGACCCAGTTGCCGAAAAGTCACACGTGTTTCAACCGTATCGGTAAGTCTGGACCAGCACTACATGAACGAAAAGCTTCCGCTGACGGCTGTGATCGATTGCATTCCAGACCTTCCTGCTTACAAGACGTTCGAGCAGCTCGAGCAAAAGTTGACGATCGCCGTCGAGGAGACCCTCGGATTCGGTCAAGAGTAAATCGCCTGCTCCACAATTCCTTGTTGTTGTTTCCCTCTACCGATCTCCGGATCCACTAGGCTTTTCGGCCTCCGACACCCTCAACGGCTTCTATTTCTGCGCGTATCCTTTACAATATCACTGCGACAACTCGACTCGACGTAGATCGCCCTCCTCCCATTACCTCCATGTTTATATCTGTGGTTACCTTGTCTCTGCTCCTCTTGTATCGTCTATTCCGGATCTCACTATCAATCTGATATTTCACGAAGATGGGGATCCCAGACCACATTGAGCCTTACAGTGATACAGACCTTTTCATGCCGGGTCTTGTACCCTTCTGATGTCGTGTATCCGTGCCTGCGATAGCGATAGTCCACTGGCCCTGACCGCTTGACATCCCATGAAGGCGCCAGTTGAGCGCTTCTCTGTGTCTTCCATAAGAATGCCATTTGTGTATAGCATCTGTATATCAGAAAGTGTCGTCTAACCAGCAGATTCGAGATCATTGAAGTTGAATTTCTGCTGTTATCGTTCCCAACTATACTAGATCTATTCCGTTAAATTGAGTCTTCTCCTACGATCGCAAACGAAACGAAAGGCGTATTCATGATAGCCGTTTCATCATCAACGACTAAATCGAGTTTGCTTCCTATTTTGACTCCTATTTTGATACGGGCCGATAGTAGATGGTAGCCTTTGATATGGGTGGACGAAGCAGTGGGTAAAGGAAGAAGCATTTAGGATTCCGCTGGAAGAGCTGGCGCTTATGGCCTGCAGTCTGTCGGCGATGGGTTTATGGAGCGGTCGAGGCAAACGGGGGGGGTGGGGGGGTGGGGGGGGGGATGAGAATGGTTTGAAGAGGAACCTGGCGATTTGGAAGATACAGGGTCCCCTCCCTCTATACAACGGCGTGCCTGTTGATCAATGGATGGGGGAGGGCTGGAGGATCTACGTCAACCCTCGTATATCCCCGATCTGGCGGTGCATTCTGAACTCACTTCTACCGCCAATTCTCAATCGTTGAGCGAGATCACGGGCGATTCTTCATTGATATCACTAACTGGTTACCTGATCGCTTGATGGGTACCACCAAGTCCAGGAGGATACTGGTTTCAGTATCTTCTGGTTCGATCTAGAGGTAGGGTTCTTGTTGTCTGAACCCCCTTCGATTGTCCATAGCTCTCTAGCCGATCTTACTAAAATGGCCTACGCTGCGGACCGGTTGAACGTAGCTCATCTACCCTTACAGCTAGTCAAGGGATCACAAAAAGATGCTCCCGTCAAGACCTACTGGACTGTACAGGAGAATCTGAAGCTCAAGGGGGATGCTTGGCTTGAGGCTTTCATAGCCATCAACCATCTATAGGCGTCCGGGACAACGTGATCGGGTCCTTCAAGGTTTGCGCTTCCGAGTCGAGTTGTTGTTCCTCATCTTGCGCTCCCTCAGCTTGTTCTTCCACCCGATGCAAACCCAGCTCATTCTCATCGAGTTCCCAAAGACTTGGCTCTCCAACAGCCATCTCCAGCTCTGGCATGTCGTCATCCGCTACATTGGAGGAATTCTCGCCCTTCCTCTCGCGTTCATGCTCGAGATGAAGTTCCTTTGCAATGCGTGCGTCCTGGTTATTGAAATGGAGCGGGGGCGATAAGCACAAGGACAATGATGGGAGGAGATGAATGAATCATTCGTTCCAGACATGCTCAGCAAGTCGTGCGACCAGTCCTCTAGAGTGGACTCTTTTGCATGCATCTGAACATCCTGACATATTTGCAGGTCACTCTGCTCGATCTTTGCCATCGCTTCTTCTCTGCCTTCTGCAGACTGCCAGTATCGTATCCGCTTACAAAAGGCAAGTCATTTGGACCTTTGGATATCAGCTCTGGGGGAAGGAATCAAAGGGTTAAAGCGAGAAAGTCAGAGGTGACAATTGACATGACGCACCTGCTTGACGGAGGATGGGCTGAGCTAACAGAGACATAGACTGCAATGCCCAAATGATCCGTCAACAGGCGGAATTCAACGGACGTCTGACGCAATCGAGTCGACTACTGTCAAGGCTGATGCCCTCGTTCAACACCCCGTTCCCAATGCCCAGCACCCTGTTCCCAATGCTGTCGTTCAACTCGTTTCCGATTTCGCCCCTGCCCAACACAACGAGAGTCATGGGACTAGCACTTTGGACAGTGCTAGGAAGCCTGGAGAAACCGGTCCTAGGAGACGGGGCAAGCAGGTTATCACTGGAACCGAGTGAGCACATTTTGTATCTCGCATCTCATCTCCCACTTCTCATTCTTCAGATCTCATTTCCCCTTTTCGTTCTGCGTCTTGACATCTTTCGACAGTGAACACCTCTGATTTTCTGAGATTCAGCCGCGGGCTAGACTAAGGGCACGAATTGTTCCAAAAATGTCAAGGGGCAAGGAGGTAAGCACAAAGGACGTCAATAAGATCTGACACTTCCACTAGATTTCGAGGGGTTGCCCTGGCTTAGGCTCTATCAAAGGGGAATCGTACGAGCGCAAAATACTATAACAGGTGCATCGCTTCAGGCATAATGCAGCGTTACGTTTACTATACTTAGGTAAACACCTCTGGCCGTTTACACAGACAAGCTTTCCTATAGACTACGATGCTTCTGGCTCAGTACCGCCTCTTGGGAGTCGTCTCTTTGCAGACTTGTTTCGGCAAGATCATCGGGGATCAAACGCAAACATGGATGGACACTAGGGATTTCCCTCGTCAGTGGATGATGTACGAACTTTGATAGTGACCATCTCGCATACTCACATCGTCATCGTTTGACTAGTCACATTTTCATATACTTTCAAGATCTGGGATCCAGAAGCAGCCAATAAGGAACGCGAGATCACGATCGATGTAGAATACGACGCCATTACCACGGCAGAGAGACGCTTGTCCGCCTGTCTCAGCATCGCCAGCGCCCCGCTGAACCAAACCGGAGTTCCGGAACCCTTCTGGATCACCGGCGCCAAGCAGTCCTGGATAGGAGATGGAGAGAAGAAGCTCTTTGCCACGAACTACGTCTCCGCCCATGCAAGCAGAACATCTTGTGACGAAGAGGGTGTCAAGCGTTGTGACCTACATATGGGGAAGACTCAGCCTGGAAATTGGTCTTCTTTCAAGTGCAAGGGTGAGCGAACGTGGCAAAATGCGCGCGAGGATGATGCTAATATGCCGATTCTGTTAAGGGGCCACTGACGGTATGGTGAATGTTAAAGGAGGCACACTGAAAAGACCTGAAGGCGTACCCAGCCAAGCGTACGCTGCTTGGAGTCTAGGCTTCATCGGACCAGAGGACAATGAGGTCAATTGGTATAATGGCGTGAAGAACTAGCCGTAGCTATCCATTGTGAATGCAGAGGAAAATCCCATCCGGGCGTCCATTCCTCTAACAGTCTCTGTGTTTTATGTAATGTGAGAGCCAGACGTATGAGACTTGTCAACAGCGGTCGTCTATGAGCACGATAGGTTCAATATATCAATCTGCAGGCCAGGACACCGGAAAAATCTTTCTTCTGGGCCACAAACCATAATGCTGACCGCGTTGTCGCAGAACTCGACCAGCATGAGGAATGAAGCTACAAGGCAGACATGCGTCTTCAAGGAGTTGCTTTTCTACGAGACCTGTTGCACGGAGCGGCTGACATCCTGCGCATCTGCGCGGTGAAGCTAGCGCAGGGATCTGACTGCTCTTAAATGGAATAGCCTGTCTTGATCTTATAGGGCTCAAGGTCTCCCGGAACAGGAGTCTGGTTGGTGTGTTTGTACAAGATGAAGTCCTTCGACCACTGCTGGAATTCAAAATACGTCGTCGTGATAGTACCTCTGGTATTGCTCAAAGTTGCAGGCGAGAATGCGCCCCTGTCGCAAGACAACTGGCTTGCTTCAGACGTGAATTGTGCAACGCCACCTTGAGCGCTCCGACGCGCGAGACGCTACGCCGCAACTACATTCAGCTCCTGCGGTCTTCCTCTGGGCTCCTTACTCGAGACAAAGGGGCTGTACGGATGGTAGGGCTGAAACCGCTCGTCCTTTTTGTCAACCTCCTGGTTGCATTCTGGCACAACGGGGAACGGGGCGTTACAGATGCTCGATCAAGGGCCTGGTACTCCCATTGACCTGAAACAAGGGGAACCGGTGAGGGGTATTCCAGAGCAATCCGTTGCTATGATACGTATATAGACCGAAAACGACTCCCGAATTTAGCGCATCTAATCATTCAGATGCATCGACTGCTAAGCGCTATTACATCCAGCTCGAAGCGATATTAACAGAATGGTTTCGACGTCATTTTGGATTGCTGGACTGCTCTCTTTTCTAGCTTCGGCGCAAGCTGTCAAGACTACTGAAACTGACGGAGAATATGCCCGACTCAATACGAATATCGAGCTTAATGGATTTCCTGGTAAGATACCTTACCATGATGCCTTTCGACAATACAGCTTATAGAGACACAATCGCCCGGAAAACAGCGGGATTCACCCTCACCCTAGGCGTGTTCGATAATAATGCGCAGGATAAAAGGAGAGAGATCCAATTACCGGTTGTTTGGGAAGCAGAAGCCCGCTTGCAACAGAAAGACGGCGATCCTGCCCCCATGAGGCTCACGGACTGTATAGACAAGGGCGAGATCAGCAACTCATCCGATACATTGTGGATCGTTGACGTCAAGCAGAACTGGGTGGGGGAAGACAAGGGCGAGCGGAAAGCTTTATACGCCATGAACCAGATCGTTGCCGCCCGCCATTCAGATCATATTTGTGACACCATGATATTAGGATTGAAAAAGGACAAATGTCTGGGGCATCTAGGGAAGAACAAGCCGGGCACGACCTATCGCTTTGTCTGTCGTACGTTGGGTTGAGAATCGATACTGTGTCCCGGCAAGCAGCTCACCTGATGTTGACCTCCAGAAACCGACGAGGAACGCCCTGAAGGACTGCCTGAAGGTGCTTACCCCTTTGAAGGCTTAATGATTCTGGGACCTACTGGAAAGGAAGTTAAGGGTTACAACGAAGCCAAGTTGGATTAGCTACGTTGAGCACGATATTTCACTCCATCGTAGTACAAAGCATGCAATCGCCCTTCCATCAAGTAGTTGCGGCATGATCCCGCTACAATCTTCTTTTCACTATTGTATCACTATCGGAATGTTCATCCTTTGCACCTGTCCCGCATGAACACCATTCTCGCATCTTCTCAGGTCACTAAGGCAGGTTGATGTTGGTCCTGATCCTCTTCCTCCGTGTTCGGATCATCTTCGTCTTCCTCATCATCGGTAGCAGTAGGGAAGAAGCCAGCATGATACTCGTAGCCCTTCATCCTCCCAAACATCCGGAATATCTCCTCGGCTGTGCCTCCACAATGATGCGTCTGGCGGGAAAGGTCAGTTATCCTAACAAGATCCGTCGCGAATGCAAGAATCAGTAGATGAGCGACCTTGGCGGACCATCGGGATGTACCTGCGGCAGAACAGCCTATCCATGGCTTTGGTCCTAGGAAGATTGGGAGGTACTCGGATCGAACCATCTTCGCCAAAATGCAAGTAACGCTTGCCAAGCGGTCCATCTCTCGTCTTGATCGTGATCTTGCCCGCTGTAGGGTCATGTCCATATTGATTCTTCCAAGAACTATGATCGTTCCGCAACGCTGCTGCCTTCGATCGATTGTAGGTGCTGTAGAATATGGACGAGTCCGCTCTGGAGGGCAATAACTTCCATGTCGAGTATCACAAGATCCTCTGCGCGCGCTCGTGGAGCGCGGCGTTGTTGGGATTGGAGGGCGGGTCGCCCGTAATACGCAATTTCTCGATCGCTAATCATTCCTCCTCCCTTGTCGTCCGGAATTCCCTGATGCATGAACAAATACGACATCCAAACTCCCCTGCAGAACAGAGTCCCTTATCTTCCAGCAAGCCCTTCTAGGACCATTGCGGAACTCTTTATGTTGAAGGCAAACATAGCGTCTAATCATTGGCTGCCACGAAACAGAGTAACAAGATGTGTAGGAAAACACGCCAATTCTGGATGACTGATTTTGTGAACGACTAAACATCATTATGCATGGGTGTCATGTGATCGTTAATATGCGGTAAATACATCTATGTCGTCTGGTCCGGATATTCTACAGCATTCGCCTGCATCTCCGTCCTGTCATCAAGTCGAGCCGGTGGTTCCAGTTCTGCGTCCCATCTTCTCGTCGGCGCAATCTCGTACCCTTCGCTTCCCCTCCTCACCCTCACTCGGCGATGTCTCGCCGGACCACCTTCGACGTCAACATCGTCCTCCTCATCATAATCCGAGAGATAAGGCTCGGGCGAACTCCGTGTCGAGGCCTCGTCGTCCGTATCTCGCCACGTCTTGTCCTCTTCGTCCCTCTCCTCTCCTGAGGAATACTCTTCCCCGGCTCCCGGCCTGCCGGACAGTTGAGGAGGAAGTGGACCCGCAGACGTTCCATGCAAATCGTCACGCGTCTCGGCCGAATGTTTCCTGGCCCTCAGATTGGTACTCAGGGACGAACTCGGTCTCAAGGCGGGGTTGAGATCCCCGTTCCCGTAAGTGAAAGCGCTCGCTGACGAGCTGTACGGCAGACGACGCATCGGGTACCGTTCTGGATCCTGAGGAGGCCAGACGAATTGCTCCGAGACTGATTGATTGACCGGTGTGACCGAGGCATTCGGTCAGCTTGCCGCACCATGCTAGATGACAAACATCTTCGGTCGCAATCCACCCCTTCTTTCCACCCGTGCCTCCTCCATGTTTCGAGGAGCCATGATGACTCACCTCGTCGTGTTTCTCCCGTCTGCTACCAGACGCCTTCTACGCTACACCTCTTCCACCCCTTCCCGACTTCTCAATAAACCCTCTCTTTCTCGTCTCGAGAAGGACCTCCCTTCCTCATCCTCTTCGGCCATATCCGCCTCTGCCTCAGGCGTCCTCCTACTACCCCCGACGACGTTCTGCCAATCCTGACCCCCGAGCTGATCAAACTCACCATGCGCCGTCTTGGAGACAGGGTAGGAAAGTCCGTCGCTCTGGACTTGTTGCGGCCAGAGCCATAGAAGCGGATTGTTGCCGAGGACAGATTGTATGTTCTTGATAAATCCGAGATCCTGCAGTATCACAAAGCAAAGCGTGTGACACAAGTATGCACGTCAACCAGAAAACCGGGAAGACACGATGAAGCCCGATTTCCTGCGGGAGACTCACATAAGGATATTTGACCTCCCTAATCTTTCCCCTCCTGACCATAGTAGCCACCCGATCCTTCTCCCACCCCTCGATCGTGGTCGAGTTGCCCGCTGCGCAATAGACGTGGTAGATGGAAAACACGCCTACCATCATCCATACGGGTACGCAGGTGGCTAGGTTGATGATCACGAGGATGAGCTGGAAGTTGGACGGTTCTGGCTGTGAATGGAACGCGAGGGTGACCAAAAGGAAGAGAGGGGTATAGGAATCGATAGGCGGAAAATTGTTTAGCTTAGGTGCTGCTGGGGCTTCCAGTCGAGCATGACTGTGCTGCAGAGTCTATGCTTACCGAAGTCCATGCGGTCATATCATATACCCTCCGTCCCATCATCACCAAGTGATAAGAAGTCGCCAGATCGACGTAGATCAAGAACCTAATGAAATGACCTTGGTTGTGATGTCCGACGCCTGTTGATCAAGCAAACGAAGCAGACGAAGTAGGTCGGCTTTAGCTTCGATGTTCGGCGCAGGCAGAACGAAGCTATTCCAGTAGGATAGGAGATGTTTGATGTGACGTGAGAAGATGAGAAAACGTACAGTTGGCGACCCAAGGACAATGATGGTCCATCTTGAGCTAAACCCCACAACCCCACACCCCACACCCAAAACCGTCCAATGCAAAACCCTTTGATCAGCCTTGCCTTTAAACAAACGATACACGTCCAAGGGGAAAGGTATATGACGTACCACACATTTCCCACATCGTCGACAATGATGAGCCCGAGGCGGTTTGTAGATCCGACAGGTCTTGCAGAAACGGTGTTGAGCGGTCCGGGCTTTCAGTTCTTGGGGTGCGTCGGGGTCGTCCGGGGGTTGCTATCAAAGTTGAGTATGATGTATTGTAGCTTAGTACCAGGTGAGGTATATCGTTGAGAACTTGAGAAGGAATATGCTATGGATGTGGATTTGGGGAATGAGGAGTAGTATTGGTGACGTACCCATCCTCGAGGTACGGAGCCGGGGGAGGTCGTCACGCAGAGGTAATAGTTCCAGAAGAGCATCCCCGCCAGAAAGCTATCGTCCCAAGTTGAAAGAAGAGGAAGACGAAGAAGTCAGCTTGTCATCTTCTGTATCAGCCTACAATACGAGGCCAGGACTCACTTGAAAGGGACGAGCAGCTTCAACAGGTCCGTGCTGATCTCTCTTCCGTACCAAGGCCATACGATGAAGATTTGGGGTACGTAGACGAGGAAGGCGATGAGGAAGATCGTCCCTCCAACCCTGTGAGTATGAAAACATAATCAAGGAAAACGGAAGGCTGCATCAGCATGTCAAGCAGCGATCGTATCGAGTATTCTGATTGATAGCCGGACTCGCCATATCTTCTCGGTCAGCTGTAATGATGGCCGCGGTGCCATCTTCCAGGCCGGACAACGGGTATGTAGCTGTCTCACTGTCTCCCGGATCTACTATCAAGGATTGCTATTGTGGTTCTAGCTATCGTATATCGTTGATATCGCTGTGTGGTGTGATTGAAAGGAGATCGAGAGACTTGATCGCACCTAACGAACTATTTTGTAATCGTCATCCTTTCGTGATTTCTGGCGGCCGGCCCTCGGGTAAAGACTGGTCAATAACAACACCCCTGATCCACTGGACCTCCTTGAATTACCGGATTTGAATACAATCATCTCCCTCCAGAAGATCTGCACGAGAAAAGTGTGGTACCTCTCACAGTGTCTGCCTTTGGGGTTTATCAAGCGAAAGTTCTCCAGCAACAATACGGGGACTGTAAGGTTGAGGCTCTGAAACCGTGCCTCATTGTCACTCCTCCTTCTTTGCAAGTTGTTGTGAGAAGTTTTACCGTAAAGGAACTCGGCTTTGCAGCATAGAGGAACTTGACTTTGCGGCGATCGATGCCGGCAAGTATTGCAAGATTCAATGCATCTTGAGCAACGCATTTTATGTACATTTACATCAATGGCCCATGATAGAGGATGGCATGCTGGCAACAACTAGACCAGACATTGCGGTTCCTTGGCTCGGACTGGCGATTGGGAGCAGGTTCTCGCCTCCAACGTATATGCTTTCTGAACAGGACTCGCCGCAACCCGCACACGTACGTCCGTCTCACGGCAATATCATGCGGCCCAGCTATGATGAGAATGCGCATAAATTCCACGGCCCGTCTTCTTTCCACGTCCATCTCAAGCATACACATCGTCGGGTACTACCACCGGCTCGACGGACGCTTTCCCGTTCCCACTCGTTGTAGACTGAGTTTGCCCTTGGGGTTTCTCGGCCTTGAGACGTTCCTCGACGACGGTCTCCAAGTCTTCCCAGACGGTCTTACCTAGCTCGTCGACCTTGTGCTCGGGAACGTGAGATCTACGCAACGTCAATCGGGTCGTGAATCAGTCTTTTTCCCAGTTCGCCTGTAACACCTCTCCTTCGGATGGTAGGGATCACTCACGCATAGCTCTCGCAATTCCTAATAATAGACCCTCCTCTGACCCCATCGCTCCTAGGCATATGCTTGACGAACCCTTTACTCACGCCCTTGGTTCTGGCGAGCTCGTCGTCGTAGAGCACCGGAGCTTGGAGGGCGAAGAGCACGCTTTGGAGGGATTTAGCGTTTGAGGGGGTGAGAAGGTAGATGAGGGGGGAGAAGAGCAGGTAGCTAGGTTGATCGTAACACCATGACATCGTAGGCGAGTTTGGAAGGGTCAGCGACTGGTTGTACGTCTAAATGCGAGATAGCCGCACAACAGTGAGGTTTTTTGAGACGCAGACTCACACAAGCATCCCGAGCGTGTTCGAACTCTGCCGGAAACCCAACATCGGCCTGACAACTCCCCACCGGTTAAACGGCATGACAACGCTCAACGCCAAGATATTACTCTGCACGGTGATCGTCTTCCTTCCCGACGTTTCCTTCTGTTCCATCTCCTTCTGGGCGAGGGAGAGGTTGTCTTCAGGTCCGGGAAGTCGACGGGCGTCCAAAACGGGTTCTTCGACACTCCGGATGGTCTCCTCGGCTTCTTTTACTACTTTGTTGATCTCCGTCCCAAGTGGGAGCTCGGTCTCGGGGACAGGGACCGCGTTGACCTGCGGATGGACTGTGGAAGCCAGAGCGTCCAAGATCTTTTGAAGGTGGGTCCATAACAGGATCGCTTTCCAGGAGTCGACGCCCGTTTGGAAGATGGCGGATCGAGCGTTTTTGTTGTTACTCGCAGGTCCAGCTTGGTCGTTATCGGTGTGGTCGTTGTTGTTTTGGTAGGTAGGGATGGCAGCGGCGTAGAAGGGAGAGACGAGGTTGATAAGACGGATAGAACGCTCCATAGGTGCCTTGAGCAAGAGAGGGAGCATGGCGGTGAGAAAATGGAATTTGCTTTCCTGCACCGTCCATCCGTCTTCTTTGCTTTCGTCCTCATTATCCTTGGTGTTGGTCGCAGGCGAGGTCTGGAATCCCGCCAAGGCAGCATCGAGCTCCCACCCATCACCCCAGACGATCGCATCCAACCTCCTCCCTCCCTCTCCCGTCCCAGCAGGGTTAACCGCCCACTGCTTGACGAACGCCCTCACCGCCCCCGGGGTCCGGGGGAAAGCTTCACAGTGCAGCTGAGCAGCCGGGGACTTGGTAGTAGCTGACAGTCGGAGCGTTTGGACGATCGTAAGAAGGGATTCTGGGAGAGGGGAGGGTAGAGGTGGGAGGTATAGGATTTGAGGAGGGGAGGGGAGGTGGAGGAGTTGGTGTAAGAGTTCGAGGGTTATAGGATTAGGATCGGCCTTTTCTATCCGCAGGATGGTCGTCTCGTCAGTAAATCCAGAAGTAGCCGATTCGCATCACAGCAAAGTATGCAGAGCACAAAGCAGATACATGCGAGTCGATCTCGATAAAAAAAGATGGATCGGTACTTACGATGACGAGGATCATCTTCCCTGCCCAATCCCTCTCCCAAGTGTTCTTTCGACCCCCTGACCAGGCTTTAAGGGTCGCAGCGAGGACGACGAGGATGACGGCGGTGACGGCGTATCCATAATTGACGCGACCCTCGAGGAGGGCGGCGATACCGTGGATGGGCATCGTGCAGTGAGATTACGTCGAAGCGTATCTGGAGGTGTTTAATCTGCCGATGTTAGTGCTCAAGATCTCAAAGAGTTGAAGGACGAGATCGTTTGGAGATGAGACGTTGAACTTTCAACCTTGGTGACGACGACAGCCTCGAGCCACGCTGAAAACGCATAAACTCCCCCGATTTCCCTGAAAGATGCATAGAACCCGCGATGAAACGCAATCACCAGAGCGCCAGAGCTCGACAGGCTATCGAGCTATCCTTTGCTACCAAACGAAACCGTTCTTAAGCCCACACCGAAGTGCTCAACAGCAAGCTCTCACACGTTGCGCACATGATCGCTTGTTAGTTCATTGATCTTGACTCTGGTCGATTGAGAGGGATGGTCGACAGAAGGCAGACAGCATCAACAAATTGCCGGATGCGCTGCTCGAATGATTTGTCCAACTCACACGCAGTTGCATCATGACATCGCATACGGTCTGGTGCACAGGCTACTTGCTCCCGAGAACTCTTGCCATCTCCTCACAGAGTCGATTCTTAACGCTAGGCATATCCAGATCGTGCTCGTTGCTGATCCAAATCGGTGCGTATACCTTCCCTGCCTCGTAATCTCCTGTACCCTGATGTATACGAATGTCGAACGCCTTGAGGAGATAGCTGATAGCATGCTCTACCCAGTGATTCGCACAGGAATTTGGTTGGGAGCCGCAGGGCTTAGAGGTGGTCGAGTTGGAGTGACATCTTGATCGTGATCGCGGGTCCAGGGCTTCGATGAACCTCGACCCATCGTTCTTGCTTTCCACCATCACGGACCTCCACTATGTACTGGTCTGCCGCATGGAAGAAAGATGATTGGATTGATCCAATGTCAGACTAGCAAATCATGCTGCTCTCGATATACAGCGTGTCCGGATTCAAGCCATGTTTTCACCTTTCCTCTTTGAATTCCGTTCAAGGCAAAATCCTTTCCAGCATGGATGTCTATGCTCATAGGTCGCAGTCAGGTTTGGAAGGGTATATGCTTGACGCAGATACGTAAAGAGACTTGGCGAACGCAAGAAATCTATCCTCCAGCCCACCATCTCACCCTCAAAGGCCAGTTGATGATGACAAACCTGAGACACGTCTGGGGCAATCTCCTGACATTGTTGACTTGTTGGGATGCTTGTGCGTTCCTCAAAGGCCCTTCAGCGATTGTCTCTGAAGCGCTCGGGCCTTCACTCTGCTACTTTATCACCTCACGTCTTCCTCCCATACCCTCGGAACATTTCGAACGCCCACAAATATGCCAAAGCGAGGAGCGCTGGACGACTGGGAGGTCCAGCCTTTTGATGCTACAGATTAACATTTGTAACAAGAGGCACATCGCCATAGGTATATGGCATACTCTGATAGAGATTGACCCCGACGAACAGTTGTTCACACTCGTCTTACTCGATCGATGTTGTCTCCCAGCGAAAGGAATGAACGCAAGCGGGAGCTGGCAGATGAGTTTCGTTTTGATTAACCGGTCGGAAGGCCAACGGGCGTAATCACTGCTCTTATGTCGAAGAGAACAGACCAAGGACTCAAATCAGCTTTCTGTCTGGACAGGCCTCTAGTCCCAACGTCTGCTTGTCGCTCGACCCGTTTTCTGTCTACTCGTACAAGCCCTTCTGTAGCGCTTCTAGCGCGGTCTCGACGACGATGACCCTCCCGCCTTCGACAACGATCCTCCTGCCTTTGACGACCAGGCTCCTGACTTCCCCTTTCCGACCTGCTCTCATCGCTCGAGGCTGTGCTGTACGTCCTCTCGTAGCCACTTTGCTAAGATATGATCGTAGGCTTCAGCTGATCCAGGGGGAGGTCGAGACGGCATATACCCCTACAACCGGTGAAGCGCTAGCATATAGCATATCGTAAGCTTTAGGCAGCTAAAGAAGAATGAAAAGAAGCTAACGACCTCTCGTGCCACGTGAAACGAAACGTCACCTGCGCTACCCCCGGTTCCGGTGAAACACTTGATTTTAATGCCGCATCGTTTGTCGGATCATCCCGTCTTCTACCAAAAGAATGGCGTAGAAGAAGAACGATGCACGCACGGGAACACGCACAAGGCCGATGTAGGGAGAGAGAGAGGAAATGGTGAAACGCCAAGACTTACCCCTGAATCGCGGAACCGGGCCGCGGTTCCGATAAACTCTAACGCCGAGGGTTCCACGCGGTTCTCAAAGATCCACCTTCTTCTGTGAACGTTCGATCGCCGAGTCAACAGTGCAACAAGAGCTAGAGGCCTTGACAGGCTTGACAGGTACATATACCTCGACGGTCGATTCCCAGCGATCAGCCCCCTCGAACCTCTCAAAGCTTCTCAACGCCGCCCGTCATCTTCCTGATCGACGCATCCGATCCGTCAATAACAACATCATCCAAGGCAGTCTCACGATCAGCACGAACCATGTCACCCTACACCACTTCGACCCTCCTCTCCGAATCCCCGGCACTGACCTACACAGCCCTGGCGGTGGGCACCACCTTCCTAGGCTTCAGCATCAACGCCCTGGTCCGCCCCGCCTCCGCCTTGTCTTTTATGGCCGACCAAAAACTTCCTCCCCAAACCCCCTCTACGGAGAAAGAATACAGGGTAGTCAAGACGCTCTTACACTTTTACGCCGCTAGGAACGCCTTTATGGGACTCGGAATCTACCTTACAGCTTATGCTGGCGAGAAGAACGTTTTGGGCGCGTTGATGGTACTAGGGGGAGGGGTGGCGTTCGCCGATGGGTTGACTTGCAAAGTCAATGCGGGGAAGGGAGAATGGGATCATTGGGGTTATGCGCCGGTCTTGGTCGGCGTGGGATTGGGGTTGTTGGGCGTGATGGATAGGGTATAGGGGTGTAGATTCGGCGCGGGTTCGTTTCGTTAAGGGGTCTCAGGTAAATTTTGATGTATAGCGTGGAAACGCTCGTCGATCTCGTTTCACGTCGGTTGACCTGTTCATCCATCCTTGGGTTGAATACTCCCAGAACTATCTCTCCACACTTAAGCATATCTGCGCCAAGCTGCCCGCCTCCGTAACTTGCCTAGTTCTGGCTACAATCGGTCTGACATTGTACGCGAGATCGGCGGATTGCCCCATATATAGACTGTTCCGCGAGCTGGGATTTGTTGGTGACCGGATCTATGGTAGATAAAGGTATACTTATGGTATGCGAGCCTCGTCCCAAATTGGCGGCCCGTGGGTGAATCCGTTTATGTCGTGCCACATCATCGTACCCCGAAGTCGAGTATCTTCTTGTCGGGTGATCAATTTCGAAAGATGCCCCCCTAGCCCCATCAAACTTGGTCAAGAACATCTCCGGATCGAGGCTCGGGGAGCGATCTGACACCCGCCGCCGAAAGACCAAGTCTCCGTCTTTCGGCGTAATATGCTGTATGACGTCGAGTGCTCAAAGATCTTCCGGCCGCGAGAGTGAGATTAAGATGGTATGCAATAAACGACAACTAAACAACTCCCGCCGACCGCTGCACTCTGGGCGCCTGGAAACAGAACAAATCGACCGCAACAGCGTCCCAATCCCCCGGTCCGTCCTATCCCCCTCTTTTCCCCTGAGAGGTCACAAAGGTGAAGCGAGCGAGATCACTTGCCACCCTTCTTGGCAGGTGGTGGAGGAGCGCCTCCTTCAGCTGCGAGGGCGGCTGCTGCTTGTTTGGCCTGTTTGAGTCGAGGTTGGTCAGATCAGTGATGAGTCGGTTATGAAGCGGAGTGAAGGGTGACTCACGGCGATCCTAGGTTCGATCAATGAGTGAAGATGAGATGAAGTCGCACAGTCAGCATACGTTTGATTTCGGCACGTTGAGCTTTCAAACCAGAGCGGACGAGGAAGCGAGAGACAGTCTTTTCCATCGGATGTCCATTCGAAAGCTCCGTTGGCGTAGTCGGTTGATGATCGTCCCTGACATTTTCAAGAGGTAGCGATCTCGACCAGAGAGCGGTATATCACACCACACCTTGCAGGGAAGCTTTCCAAACAACCGCGAGCTCTCAAGAGGTATCCCGCAGAACCGGCTAGCCGATCTCCTCCAGCTTTCTGTTACCATTTTTTCAGCCATCGTGCATGCATCCGGACCGCTCGTACCAAGCCTTTTCTGGCCGGTCACAGCCAGCCTGACCCCGCATGATTTTGCCTATGCTTTTTTGGCGTCTGCGTCTGCGTTCATTGGAGGCTTCTTCTGGGCTGGGAAGTCCGCGACCGCAGACCAGCGACGACCGGGAAAAATCGACCACCGAAAACCCAAACGAGAAGAAGTAGAAACAAAAGAAGGAGAGAAAGGCTCACTTGGCTTTCAACGCGTTAGCTTGCCTGTTCGATACGTTTCGGAGGAAAATACGTCAGTCCCCACATCGGAAAACCAGCCATTGTGATCTGATGGCGCCAAAACAAGAGGGAAAAGGGGGAAAGGAGAATACTGACTCTTCTAACCGTTTCCTAGGATCCCCAGTCTGTTTCTTGGCTGCCGAGTCTTCCCTGTCGTGGTTCGAATGTCGCGTTCGAGGTTCGAGGTTCGAGGTTCGAGGTTCGGGTTCGAGGTTCGAGGTTCGGGTTGGGGTGTTGGGAAAGGTTTGAGAGCGATGGTGATCGTGATGCCGTTGCCGTTGCACGATCCACCATCACACCCGAATCGATCGTGGTTCGATCATGGTTCGATCATGGTTCGATTGTGTGGTTCGATCATGGTTCGATCATGGTCCGTTCAGGCCGTATTCGGGATTGGTCGACATTTGCGTTTAAGGTAGGCGTTCAAGAGGTCCCGATGCAAATTCCATTTCCATTCCCATTTCCATTTCCATTCCGACCCATTATGGCCCCCGGATCGAATCGATTTCCGAAATCCAAGATACATACGAAGATGGAATGAGAAGAGGAAGAGGAAGGAGATCACGAAAAAAGCATGTAATGTAAGAGAAGACGAATTAAAGATCAGTTACGGTACTCGTCCCGTTTCCCCCTCCCTCCCGGACCCGAAGTCTCGATCAACGCCAAAGTAGACACAAGAGGGAACTGTGGAGGGTGACTTGCTTTTTAAGGTTCTTCTCCCTGGCTTTATCTCGTTGGTTACCGCCTGTTCGTCGTATCATATCAGGGAGGGGGGTGGGGTGGTTTAGCGTTCGCTCCTTCTTTGGAAGTTAGGTCGGAGAGGAGGTTGAGGTTGAGGTCGAGGTATGTGCTTACGGGCCATCCTTTCAGTTCCTCAGTACACTACAATTGCCTGGCCGGATGGTATGATGTATGTGACGGCTGATGCTTGTTCGATGGTGTGTCGAAGCGGATCTTGAGTATCCTCGAGAGAGAGTCAGTTCGAACATCCACAACCTCGTCTTGGTCGGGTTTGTTGACTTTGTGTGGCGACCCCTCGCACCCTCGCTCCCTCGATCGCGTGGGAAAGAAGGAAGAAGCCAGCCGAACGTAAGAGCTTACGTAAGCCTACACTCGCCAGAAGGGATATATGCTTCCGATGTACTCTGAGTTTTACTTCCGACGCGTGAAAGCCTCCCTATAGTATAGCCCGTGTTGTTACGAAAGAGGCAATCCCCGACCTGAGGGACGACCAACGATGGGCAAGATGAGGTGTGCGGGACGTCCGCGGGTTTGTCACCACCGTGGAGGTGCTTCAACCTGGCAATACGAAGGGAAGAGGATGAATCAAACATGTGCTCTATCGGTGATCTCGTCCACTGTCCTGTACGATCTGTGCGGCATTTACCCGATTCGGCTCCGGCTCTGTCGATCACCTACTCGTACTTTGCGACGCGACGCGTTCTCCCGTGTAGAGCTTTCGTCATTCCTAGCAACCACCTCCCTTTGTGAACTTCGACCGCAAGGGATAGTATTCCGAGCCGTATAGCAATTCAAGCAGACGTCGTCATAAGCACAAGGTCAATTCAAGCCGTCTTACGAGACACCAGTCTCATCGCAATAGCCAAGAACGGAGATCACCCAGCCCCTCATCGATACGATAACCCTCGCCATTACTCGTGTACAGTAACACCTTCTCTTCTCCGAGGACTGAAACTGCCCTTTAGGGTTCGAGGGTTCGAATTGGTCTACAAGTATATCCATCATATCATGGACATGAAGGTGGATAACGAGGTGGATGGAAAGATACCTACAACGGCAATACCGGTCTATCAGGCTCAAGATCAAGATCAAGATCAAGATCAGCATTGGACGAGCGATATGACGCATCCTGAATCGACAGGGGTGTCAGCGTCGGAAGGAGGCTCGGCGGGTCGGGATTTGGGATCGGATCCGGAAGCGAAAGAAGGAGAGCGATACAACGGTGTCGAGACAGGGGATGGAGGTGGTGGAGATGCAGATGGTAATGGAAGAGCAGGAGATACAGATGCAGATACAGATGGAAGAGCAGGAGATATACATGATCATCATGGTCTTCCACCACCACCACCACCAGCAACAACATCAGCAAGAACGTCGGGGACGATGACAACTTCGTCGGGATCACCATCATCACTATTATTGCCAGCAACATTACCAAATCCCGACCCGGCTTCATTGACAATATCAACAACAACGACCGCAAATTTAAATTCAGGTTCAAGTTCGGATCCGAATTCCAGTTCGAATTCGAACTCGCGTCCGAGGTTAGGACCAGCACCGGGATTAGGCTTAGGCGTGCCTTTCGAGTTGAAGGTACCTAATAATATCGAGGAGGAGGATGAATCGGAATTGGATTCGAACTCGAGGTCCAAGTCAAAGTCGAGAGCTCGATCGGGTTCACGATCACCATCTGCTTCACCATCACCAACACCATCGGGATCAGGATCGCAATCGCGATCGCAAGAAGATGATCCTACCAGGTCGAGGTCGAGATCAACGTCGATCTCGAGATCGCCAACACCTTCACCTACGCTAGTCGCTCGTGATGACACGAGACTACAATCGGATGGACGAGCTGCGATGTCGAACACGGCGGGCGGTGCGATTGCGATGCCTATGAACGTGGAGGTGGAGGTTCCTGAAGATAAGAACCAGGAGTCGGGAGAAGGACAGTCAGGAGAACCGGGACAGGGGGTGGATATGGGCAGGTTGATGAATAGTATCGAGATTACCAAGGTCAGTCCCCACGTCCACAAGCTTCGAAACGCGACTCGTATGCTCATGGTGGATGGCATCGTTTTGATCTGTGGACTATTTCTCTCGTAGCGCGCGACGTTTTTGCGACAACGACTGAGTTCGTTAGGAAGCCGGCCGACCGGATTTCGACCCGTCTCCACCTCGGTGGAAGATAGACCCGATAACCCGTTCTCCTCCCCACCTTCTTCTCCGCCTCTACATACCCCACAGGTGAATACGAACGGCTTGCAATGGAGGGAGAGGAAAGTACCCGCCTCGCCCGCTTCTCCCTCGGTCGGGCTCAAACTCCAATCCGAGGCTTGGAGCAGGGAGGTCCCGAGGACGCCGATCACACCGGGGAGGAAACGAAAGTTGGATTACGAGAGCACGCCGTTTAGGTCTCCAGGGGATCTGATGGCCTTGACTTTGGAGTCGCCAGGGAGGAAAGGAAGGGATGATGCAGGGGAAGAGTTGGCGAACGAGGCCGGGGGTAGTAAGCGAAGAGGTAAGACGTGGGTCCAGGTTCAGCCTGGGTCTGGGTCCGGGGTGAGGTTGCGGTCGCCGGCGAGGCGGTCGGCTGCGGATGGAGCGGATGGGGGGCTGAAAACCGGGAGACGGGCGAGTATGGGAACGGGGCCTAGGTTGGGGATCGCCTTGCCCCGACGTGCGGTCGATGGGGACAAGCAAGCGTCGACGCAGATACAGACGGCGGAGCAGTATCCGGTACAGATGCAACCTCGACGGGTGATGGGGATCGAGGGGTATTTGGCGGATCGGTATGGGGATGTCATGGGAGGCTCGAGGTATCCGCCGCCGTTACCGACACCTCAGGCGTCTTCTTCGACGTCCGCGAGCTCGTCGGCTTTGCATCGTGATGCCGATACAGAAATCAAATCGGGCCAGGGCCATAAACGCCGGACGTCGACGGGCGTGGTCACCTCGTCAACAACGGCGCCGTCGGGGTCGGACAACCGATACGTCTCGTTCATGACCGGCAAGAAACCGAGGAGCGCGAGTCATTCGGTCTTGCGACGACCCGTATTGCCGGGGAATCGCACCGGCGAGATGACCGAGGCTGCCAACGTCTTGACGGGGATGCTCGGCGGGTCGCCTTTGAGGCAATCGACGGCGAGTCCGGTTCGACCAGAGAGGTCGTCCAAGCCGTACACCAGGTCGAATGGCGATGAGCTGGGTTTCCGCGTGCCATCTGCGAGAACAAGGTCGGGCTCGCCGGGTGAGCAATCGCCGCCACCTCTGTTGGCTTCGGGACAGATCACGCCGCCGAAACAGATCTCCAGGCTACCGCGCGTACGGCATACAGACGGAGCGCAAGCCCGGTCCGGCGACGACGATGACGACCAGCGCGCTGCCGAATTGATGATCTTCCTCGCTCAAAGTCCAGGATCGACCGCTGCTAGCGGTACAGCGAGGTCCAAGAGGTCTTCATTTGTTCAAGGCGCCGGGATCGGTCGGGTGCTTTTTGACGGAGACGATGTCGAGATGCGGGACGCGGGACGACAGGCGGTGGCGGGTGGCGAAGTAATCCCGGAAGGGTGATGAACGCTTGTATTGACAATCATTATAATACGGCAGACCATGCAGCTGCTAGATTATGATCGAGCGGATGGCGGATCAGCAAGGTGTTGGCTTCTCGGTCGACCGAAAAAATGGTGATGTCGGCAGTAAAGGAGGCTGCAATCCTGATTATCCCCGCGTCTCTTGGTGGTATCACAGGGGAAACATCCCTTGGGTAATGGCCCCAAGATTATAAACAGCCTTGACCGATGTAGCAGGCTTAAGGGCCTGAACGGGCCCTGCGGTGGCTAAAGATCTAGAAGCCATGCAAGCGTTCTTGGCGTTGTTCAAGCTTTGGAACGGTGTCAGGTATAAGTTAGGTGGAAAATCCGGCCCCATTCTGCTTCCGGTTCTGGTCCCGGCCAGCTCCCGTTCACATTTGATCGAGCGAATCATCCATCTCATCCTCGTCCTCATCATCAATCATCGATCATCGTGGGTCTCCAATTCCTCCTTCATACGGGAGATGATGTGGACGACCATGACGACAGTCGGGACACCTGGGAGACAGCACCTTCGCCACCTGATGCTCAGAACTCAGAACACCCCGCCACCGCCCTTCCGTTTGTCACCATGCCTACGCTCTCCTCGAACATCCCCTCCCTTGCTGAGCAAGAAGCGTGGCACTGTCAAATCGTTGGCGACAGCGAACTCTACGGGCTTGTCGAGATAGGAAGACAGAACGAGAGAACTTTGCGTGCCGGAATGAAGAGACACATCGAACAATTCCTCTCCCGATGCAGTCAACTCGATCCATCCATCCGAATCAAGGTCGACCAAGAGGTCGACCTGAGGTCGCATTTTTTGAAAACCAACTACAAGGACACTCCAAGTTTCAAGGCATATCGCAACTATCTGAATCCCACGATCTCCAGTCATCTCTTTCCGCTTCCTCCGGTATCGGTCGGTTCCGGCTCGGCGACGACCTTCTATACTGCTCCACTTGCGGCGACTTCCGCAGCTCAAGTCTCCTCCACTCCGTCGCGGTCTTCAGGTGCTTGCCTAGTCGATCTGACCATGTACGGTTCGCAGCACACCGAGAGACTTCCTCAGATCAAGAGCATCAATGGGACCATTGAGCTCAAGAATCTCAAGGAAGACGCCGTAGAGGGAACCCCTCTCGAGACGCCTCCTTTCAGTCCGGGGTCGACTGCATCGGCAATGCATAAGCCCGCAACGAAAGAACTATCCGGAAAGCTGCAGAGCTACGTCAAGGAAGGCGCAGCGCAGACGATTTGGTACGGAGCCCTAGAGCAGGAGATGATGGTGGACGGAGAGGACAGCCCGTTGCCCACGGTTATCATAGCGTACCAGGTGAACCAGTACTTTCTCAGGATCTTGCTGCTTGGCGAGTCGATCTTGGTGGAATCGGACGTCGCACATGTCGAGACAACCGTACATGTCGAGACGTGGTTGGAAGACTTCAAGGATGGGCGGAAGTTCCCACATCACCTCTCGACTTTGCAAGGTGCAAAGGCACTGTCTGACTTCTTGCTGGTCTCGCGCGAATTGATCCTACAGGTACGTCCCGCGCTCGAAAACAGGGGGGGGGGGGTCTAGCAAATCGCTCACCGCGCAAACCTCACTGTACAGAGCATGTCAAATCAAGATGCCGTCCCTGACGCCGTCAATGCAACGACGGGCACGACGAATCTCTTTCATGCATTCACCCACATCGAAAGGACACCAGAAGCCGTCCTCGAAGCCGGCCTTGGCCATGCGACCGGAATCAGGGCCGAACGCACAGCCAAGCTACAAACAGAGTCAGATCAGCCTTCGGAATCTTCTCGCAACAGGACTAGTACTGGCGGTACTGATGGAGGTCCAAGTGGTAGCGGAGGGGGCGGGAAAAGTATGCAGGGCGGCCTCCTACAGGGCGGCCTGCTTGGTCAAGGTCACCGAGGGGGGGATGCGGGCTCGGGAGTGGGTTCGACGGGGTTTTCGGGGGCTCCATTCAAGTCGTGCGCCGGATCTGGAGGGACCGGTCAGGAGTGGTTGCCCCCTTCTCCCGCCGGTTCAATGGATAGGATGCTCGGAGGCGATACGCAAAAGTTCCAACATGGACACCAGCGGCTACCACTTTCGCCGCCCCCATCGCCACCCCTCTCGCCGGCCCCGTCACCAATCTACCCTTCTGATGATGATGAACTTGGCTCTGCTACAAGCGCAGCCGAGTATTACCACACGAAGCCGCTCAAGGTACAATTGCAGACCCTGCGATCGCGCGGTGTCCGCTGCCTTCCGATTCACGAGTTTGAGCGATTGTTACAACAAATGTGAGCTTGCCGCCGCGTGAAATTTCGATCTCAATCACGACGCTGAGTGGCCTGTGACTCTGACGACGCTTTGTAGCTTGCCTTCTGTCGGGACCGGACCCGGACGACCTATGTGACTCGACATGAGTCGCTGTTACGGACGACCAAGAGGACGAGAGCGCCGATGAAAGAAAGCCAGAAGATCATCGTCATACATCAGTTGGACGACAAAGCATTAGACGACGACCCCGGAGGGATGAGAGGAATTTTCCTTCTTCACTCCCGAATGATTATCACGAGCCCTTAATGCGACCCGAGTACATGAACATCAGAATTCCTTTTGTATAGAGAACATACGAGCGAGCTCTGGCCTTTCGCTTATTGCAGAAAAGCCGATCTCTAATACATTTCCAAGCTCTATGAAACACGATTGCGGTTCGGAAAAATCGTCGGATGAGCTTCGCCCGTCACTAACGAGGGAAAGAGTGGGACGACTCACCATCCCATCGTGGATCTCATAATCCCTCAGCGTGATATGATCCTTGTACGTCGTGTACCTACAATCCCCACCCCCAACGATATCAAGTCAGTATCGTACCAGGTATCGTACGGTTGGTTTCGACTCCGAGGTCGATCAAAGGTCGAGGCATGTGAATGGAAGAAGGGTGGGAATGCAGGTGACGTACCACTTTTTCAACTGGATCTTGCTCGCGATCGTACCCGTCTGCGCCGCGATAAGCTTCTTCAGATCGCCCACCGTGTCCGAGGGGAGACATTTCACGCGGACTGTGTTCTCGACGCATAGAAAAGCAAAGAGAAAGGGAGATGGAAGTAAGGCAAAATCAGCTTTATAGCTAGTGTGGTGTGGACGAAGAAGGAAAGGGAAAGAAGAGAAAAGAAGAGGGATATAAAGAGGGAGAGAGAGAGAGAGGGGACTTGTTCTTGCCTTTACGTCCGAGACGATCGTTAGCAATGATCTCGATCATAGGCCCATAAGCCACCCTGCAGATTCCCGGCAAACCAACAAGGTATCGATATCAGTTTCGGTACGAGAGCCTCGCACCCCGATGTAAGTCTCGATCCCCGTGTATAACTCACGGAGGGGCCGCAGCAACAGGTCTCGCCGGAGGTTCATTCCTCGTCTCCACCCTCCTCAACTCCCCCCCACCACGATAAGCAGAATTGCCAGTCCCTTCGTCCCGTTCGTCTCGGGTAGACACTCTTCGAAGAGGTTCTCCGCCTGTATATTCTCCTGATCTTGGTTCGTCGAATTTACGATCGACACCTCGTTTTTGAAGAGAATCTCGATCACGATCATCTTCCCTCTTCGAACCATTTCCATTTCCATTTCCATAACCTCGGCTCGGGGCCTCCCTCCGTCGATCCCGATCCCGATCCTGGTAATCGTCCTCCCTCCTCCTCGAAGAAGAATAAGAAGAGGCAGAACCCCGATCCCGTCCATATTCTCCTCGACTACCTCCATACCGTCCCGGTACATCCTCCCCAGCCCCAGCCCCTGACCCGGCCCCAGCCCCAGCGGCCAACCCTCGTCGTTTATCGTCCAGTCTGTCCAGAGGGTCTCTTCTGCTGCTGAACGAGCCTACTGCACCCGCTCCTCCACCTCCACCACCTCCGGAGTAAGAAGAGGAGGAGTAGGAAGACTTTTTGTAAAAGGATAGTTCTTTGGGCCGACGTGGTTGAGCGGGTCGGCGGTCTGGCGAGGCTGAACGGCGGTTGGGGTCCATGTTGATGGGCTCGTTCGGATCAAATAGGATATGGTCGTTTAGGGAACTGCGTCAAATGGCTCTGCACCCTGTGGGTTTGATTAGGATGATGTGGGGGATTGTCAGTGCCAGTTGTTCGAAGACGAGCGATAATCCGACGTGATGTCCGTACTTCTTTTCAACGCTGTAAATCGATCGATTTGCTTTGAAGACTCCGGTCCACCTGGAAGTAGGATTTATACTCTTGCTGGGATACTTTGTAGCTTGATGACGTTACAGCTTGGGGTTGTAATCGATACGTAGGAGATAAAGAGGAAGAATAGAGGTACAAGTCAAGTTGGGATCCGGGGTCGGGCGAGGTCCGGACCTAGCGACCTAGGCCTAAGCCAGAAGACGCAACCAACGTCATTCCACCCGTTTCTACCATCGTCGACAACGACTGTTAAAGAGCGTCTACACCATTCATGCGAATAGCAACAGACTAGATACAGATATCGCAATAGAGTCTTTCCAAAAAAGCGACCGAAATTACGACACGTTTGGGCCATTGGAGGAGGGTTTATCTAGAGCTGTTCCTTCACCTAGAAAAGAGGTAAGCTCGTCGTGCTCATTGTACGCACCGTCTGAGGGTGTTGCTGACATATTCGATTCACCTGGTTCTGCTTCAAGCTTGATCACTTCGAAGGTCTTTCTTCAAGAAACGAGCGACACCGTACCCTTTGAAGCTGGACCGAAAGGGCGTACACGCAACGATCAAAGGCATAATTAATCAACGAACAGCTATTGCTCGTGTGCACTACCATCTGGGCTAGGCAAAACTACTGTCATTACCAACACCTAGACACTAGAATTCGCAAACAAGAGTGTAAAGGCAGGAGGATGGACGCCCCACCCCCAAGGAAACCCGGTATCAAGCTAAAGATCCCAGCGGGTAACGTCCGTAAGTCATCCCCTTGACCTTTTCGCTATCCTTTCCTCGTCCTTCTCCTTTTGCCGAAAGGGCTCTAGGCTCCCTTTCTCTCTCTCATACAACTCTGGTTCGGACAGCTGACGAAGTGAAAACATGTCCCTTTTTCTGTATTCCTTTGGGTTGATCGAACGGACCGTGCGGTATGATAGCGAGCAGCTATAACGCTTACCCTGGACAACCTCAAGACGAAGATGCAGGAGGGTGGAGTTTACGACCTCCTCCTATACCTCCCCGACCTGGTCAGAACCCCAGTACTTCGTCTTTATCTACCACGGACAGATCAGTGGCCCCTTCTACTCCATCCGCATCCTGCTCCTCATCGGCTTACCCAGCAGTGATGGCGACCCCCCCTCCCCGCCGCCCGATCCTCAACGCAAACTCGTCCAACGCATCATCGACGAGCGTACCCAAACTCTCACTCGTCACTTCCCGTTCTTCCCCTGCCCCACCCCTTTCACTGAACACCTCCTCGACATCAGCATCAACAACAGCATCAGGGTCGGCACTCAGGGCCGAGGCAGGGGCGGGAGCAACAGCGACCCCGGGCAAGAAACCCGGTCTGAGCCTGAGTCTGAGCATCCCCACGCCCGGTTCAAAACCAGGTTCTGCGGGTCCTAGTCATCCTTCCCCTGTATACGACGAATTCGGAGGGGTACAGACCGCTTATCACGGAGGTCTTCGGACGCCTACTACCACTCGCGCTCGGAATGGGGATGGTGGGTACGATACCACAGCGACGGGGCAGACGACTATCGGTCAGAGGACCGGTAATGAGTCTAGTTATGGTTATGGTTATGGGGAAGAAGATGAAGGGCAGAAGACGATCAAGGGGATGACGGCGGATCTGAAGAACGCGCTGAGTTTGATGAGGATCACGCCTACCCCTACTCCTGGAGGGTCGGCTAGAGGCAGTTTGGACGGTGGAGACGGTACCATAGACGGAGGGCAGGAAGGGTACGCAGGGTCTGAGGGGGGCAGCAGCGGAGTTGGAACTGGACCCGGGCTGGGGAGGAGTACGAGCCGCGGGTCCGCATCTGCGGGGAATGCGGGACTCGTCAAGGCGGGTAGGGACGCTGTCGAGGACGAGCTGGATCCGAGAAACTACGAGACCTTGATGAGACTCGGAGAGGGGGCAGGTGGAGCCGTTGAAAAGGTCAAAGATAAGAGGACGGGCAAGATCTTGGCCATGAAGGTAAGAGTCTCTGCTCGTGTGACTCGTTTCGGAAATCAGGCGTGCTGACTATATTACGTGTGGCAGGTTATTACGACCTCGCCCAATCCGGCCATCCACAAACAACTCTTGAGAGAGCTTCAATTCCTCAACGAATGTCAATCCCCTTACGTCGTCGAGCACTACGGCTCTTTCCTGACCAGCTCGGATACGTGTATCGGGATCCTGATGGAATTCTGCGAAGCCGGCTCGCTCGACACGCTCGTCCGTAAGATCACCCGCAGAGGGGGGCGGACGAGCGAAAAGGTCCTGGGCAAGATTGCCGAGGCCGTCTTGGGCGGGCTAGACTACTTGCACGAGAGGAGGATCATCCATCGGGATATCAAGCCGAGCAACATTCTGGTCACCAAGGCGGGGCAGGTCAAGTTGTGCGATTTCGGCGTGAGCGGAGAGTTGGTGGACAGTTTTGCCGGGACGTTTACGGGAACGTCATTTTATATGGCTGTGAGTGGGCTCTGTTGCAGTGTACGGATGGTCAACCTCGTCATCGTATTGATCGTTGCATTCGCGCTCCACAGCCCGAACGTATTCAGGGTCTCTCTTACTCGATCAAGTCGGACATCTGGTCGCTCGGTTTGACCTTGCACGAGGTCGCGCACAACCGGTTCCCCTTTCCTCCCGAGGGCGAGCCGCCGCTAGGTGGACCGATCGAGTTGTTGAATTTCATCGTCGCCCAGCCTGTGCCCCGGTTGATCGATTCGCCCGAGCAAAAGATCGTGTGGACCGACGGAGCGCAGGACTTTTTGGCTCAATGGTGGGTCTCTGTCGGGTATAATGCAACCGCGATTGAGGCTGACCTTTCTGTACCCCTTTATCAGCCTTATCCGATCGGCCAACGAGAGACCATACCCTCGAGATCTGCTGAAACACCCCTGGATCCTCGAGAGCTCGAAACGAAACGTCAACCTGGCCAAGTGGGTCACGGCGATCCACGGGTGGTGATCCTCTCGCCCCTTCTTGCACGATACCCTACCACGATTCCCGAACGCACCTGCATACATACATGATAGACGACGAACACTTAATTTATGACGATCGCGATACCGATACAACTATACTTAGATATACATGTCAACTTTGCCAACATTTTTCATCATAGAGACAAGTCGTTTTTTCCCTTGATCGCAAACAAACAGTGCCTACCAGTGATCTCTCTTTCTACTCAGCCATATCTTTCTCTTTCTGTCAATCTCCTTAGGACTTTGTTACATGTGGATCAGTTTGTGATTCTTGTGTTTCAGAAGATGTTTCGCCTGAAACCTCATTGATATAGGTTCATGGTGATAGGCAATCTCGGATGAGATTTCCTAATGTAAGTCAGGGATTGAAGGAGATATTTGAAGTTGATTGACCTCATACAATTCCAGCCCTTGTTGTTGTGGAGTACACAATCGAGAAATGGTGTAGTTTCCATGTTCTTGAATCCATACTCCTGCAGCAGTCGCACCTTCTGCCTTTGCTGAGACGCCTAATGCAAGACCGCAATCAGCAAGATGTCAACTGCATCAGCCACAATTGCGAGTATGTCTAGTCGAATCTATGACCGTGGATGCCCTTCTCGGTTCACAAACGTCGGGGTCATTCCTCTGTAGGTTGATGGGTGGCACCTACAGATGCCGTTAAGTTCAGTGACAATGCGGTACAGCGCCATGATCACCCGGCATCACTCTAAGCTATGTCCAAGCAGGCTCTTATCCCGATGTGACGTGCTAGGGCTAGCGGGCGTGGAGCCCAGGTGAGGCTGTCGTCGAAGGAAATTGTGCTACGGCGTAGGGCAAAGATGTAGTCGTACACAATCATGAAACACCTGGGCGTGACAACGGCTGTCCGAAGAGTATCCTTTAAAAAAATCATCATGAAGCATTGGTGGAGAGTTGTTCGCTCATGGTCATATGAGTTGTAGACAGAGGAATTGCAAGCGAGTTGAGTAGCTGCGGAACACACATCGAGGGGAATCTTTTTCAGATAAGACCGGTCTAAGCTTGATACAAGGGAGGCTCGATAGAATCGCAGCCATTGTCACCCTGCTCTCGATCCTGCTGGCGAGTTTCCGGGCCCGCTTGAGTCCGGCCACGAGCATAGATCTTCGGGACGATTGCGGACCTGGCTTGATCCTCACGATCGTGCTGCCACCATCTGAAAATGCCGGGTCCAACGCTTTTCAAGGCTGTACCTTGAACGCCCTTTACGTTGTGCCAAACCGTACCGCGCACCACTCTCTTTTTCTCAAGACTGATGTTCCATTTCGCCTCTGGTCCCCATCGCGAATCGGCAAGCGCAAAGGGTTCAGGCCCCGCTGGTCTGGTCCCTTGTGCGATTGCCTGTTGCCGAGCTAATCCCGTCGAGCCATTAATACAATGCGGTTTTACAGCACACGTATGCGAATTACATACCTTTTTCTCTGCCCCAGTCCCGCTTGACAAGTTCAACATCAAACTGGAAGATTGCGGTTGACTTCTTGCGGACGAACAGTATAGTTCTCTGGGTAAATTTGCATTCGACAGTGATGCTCAACCGCAAGCCTTCGACATCTGGCTCTAGGTTCAGATGGTCCTTGAACTGAATACCGGACCAGTGATTCCAGGCAGGTCTTCCTGGAATTTGGAGAGGATTGAATCGAGTAACCTTTTCTATGTGATTGTCAACCAGATTTTCGACCTGATCTACCGAATACGCCTGAGGTTGAGTTCGGGTACCCGTCACGACCTCGACAAGCTCTCTGCAGAGAATATGGCGGCATCTTCAGTATGCTTTGGTCATCAACTTGACAGATGAGTGACAGCCGTCTCAACTTACTGTTCCCATGTTTGGGTATAGAATCGACCAGGTCCCTCAAGTCGTACTGCGTAGACCATCGAGTCCAGCTGTGTCTTGCCAGTGACACACGCGGTCTTGATCTGCGTGTCAATCGCGAAAGCTCTACGTTCTACGTCTGTGCGCCCGGTATCGGAGACATCCAGAATCACTTGGAGCTCGAGGGGAGTTGAGTATTTATAGTCCCTGGAAAATTCTCTATGGTCCGATCCGTCGTCGTATGTATAATGACCACGGATGACTTCCTTCTCACCACCCCAAAAGCCATACTTGAAGGTCTTCCCCATAGCATAGCTGAAGCGAGCTCGCGTCTTGGTCGGTGGTTTCGGTGCTACAGACATCATCAGGTTGTTCTATAACTTGAAGGGAACGATCCGGATTTGGGAGGACGAAAGATAAAGTCGTGTCAAAATTGGATGAATGCGATCAGACCGAATCGGACGGAAAGGTTTGGCCAGCTGATTAGACTTATATTTGCCACCGAAAGTCGACGCACACGCGCTCATGTGATCGGATGCCGACACTTCGTATCTTCAGACTCTACGCTACCTCGGTTGTCGGCGTTACTATATACTCTGGTACATGCATGTCCACCAGGATTCGCCAGCTCGGGTCATCATCTGAGGCGGACTATGATCTACACTCGCTGATTGTCGAATCCTATTGTTCTCCCGCACGTCTATTGTTCTCCAAGAACAATAGACCGCATGGAACAATAAAGCACATCCACTCTTCGCACCTTTCCTTTTGTTCTCGCTTAGCAATCTGCGACTCGCTTAGCAATCTGCGACCACTGTCGCAAGTTGCGACCACAACCGCAAGTTGCGACCGCAAACCGCAACTTGCGACCGCAAACCGCAGACCGCAAACCGCAAACCGCAGCACCTTGCCACCTACCAGAATAATATATATAGCAGACCATTCTGGTCTGATTTCATGATCCCCTCTTGTATATTTTATCCTCATGCAAACTATACAGCGTTGATCAACTCGATATCCAACAGATTAAGAGTCGGCTGCTCTACCAACGGAGCTCAACGGGCCATCACCTTAGTTTACATCAACCAACCCTCTTCAACATCGACTTAGTTTCATCATGGCCGACAGTCTCGACCTCGACACTCTCAAGGTTACCAAGCGTACCTACCTTGAGGGTCCCGACAACTACGCGGAATGGTCCCGCTCGATTCAAAACACTTTGATCGATAAGGATCTTGACGACATTGTTGATGGAACTATTCCTCGACCTAATACCCTACCTATCTCTACCTTGGCTGCCACCGCCGGCACGGACAACGCTCCAACTACTACCACTACTACGGTCACTACTCCAGCTACAGCCGAGGAACTTGCAAAATGGATCAAGAAAGACAAGAAGGCCTTTGGAATCATCGACGGAAGCCTCAGTCAGCTTGTTCATCACAACCTCCCGTCTCACCTCTCAACCTGGCACGCTCTGGTCCAAAGGGACTCCGCTCACACCGATGAGTACAGAGCGACGCTTCCTTCTGCTTCTGAAAGATTACTTAAACATCTTCAGGAAACCTACTCGGCCGCAAGGGGATCCAGGCGGGCTGAACTTCTTGCGATCATCTGGCGATCCCAACTCGCGGAAGGAGAAGATCCGACTGTCCATACCGGAAAACTCAAGTCGGCCTACTCCGCTATCACCGTCTCTGGCCGATCCCGGATGGACGACAAGGACTTTGCCTTTGCCATCCTCATGTCGCTTCCTTCTTCCTACGAAACCCTCGTTCAGACCTATTATCTCAAGGAGGACTTTCACTCACAGGACGTCATCGACGCCGTCCGAGCTGAGTACAGGAGGAGGATTGTTCAGGAAGAAGGAATTGAGACTACGGCTCTCATTGCTGCCCGTCAACAAGCACGGAACAACAACAACAACAACAACATCGGCGGCACCGGAAACAAGAAGAAGTTCATTCCTCGATCTCCCTTTGACGAGAATGCCTTCTGCGAGTTCCATCAGAAGAATGGACACTCAACAGCAAACTGTTTCACCAAGCCCGCCAACTTCAGTACCGGCAACAACGCCAACAGGTACACAAACAACAGTGCCAACATCGCCGCACTCGTAAGCAACAGGAGTCAACATCATGGCATCAACGCCGGCTCTGCTTTCATGGCAAGCATCACCATCGATCACAATGCCCTTCTGGCCCACTCGTCTGCACTCGACATTGTCGTAGACTCTGGAGCTACTCATCACATGGTCCATGACAGGAACCTACTCACTGGAATCAAACAACTACCGATCCAGGCAAACATCACCATAGGCAACGGCGCCAACATCACCGCCAGAGAATGCGGTCAACTCAAACTACCTAACATCACACTACACGATGTTCTTCACGTACCCGAACTGGGACGGAACCTTCTGAGTGTTGGTGCCACACAGAGCACCGACGGACACTCTTGGACCTTTGCAAAAGACAAAGCGATCCTCAACACTACTGAAGATGGACCCAGCAAACCGGTCATCACAGCAACACGACAAGATGGTTTGTTTGTCCTCGATCCGGCAAGCACTCCTATTCGACACAAGGCCGCACTCATCACGGCCACCAATAACGTCACAGAGGACAACATCCTTTACCACTGGCATTGCAGACTTGGCCATCTCAATGTTCGCCCGGTGGTTCAGCTCGGCAAAGAAGGAAGACTTGACAAGACTGTGGATTGGGCCAAAGCCGGGAAAGACATCTACGGTTTCCAATGCTCAGCCTGCATCCAAGGCAAAGGATCTCGTCTTCCCGCTCCTGCTTCCAACATCCGAGCCAGCAAACCGCTCCAGTCTATCCACGTCAATCTCTGGGGACCAGCTCGAACCCCTTCAATTGGAGGATCCCTTTACTTCCTTACCTGTTACGACGATCACACTCGGAAGGTCAACCTCAGCTTTCTCAAGAAGAAGTCTGAGACTCGGCAGGCATTGATCGACTATATCAACTTAGTTGAGAATCAATTGGACTGCACGGTCAAAACCATCCGATCGGATCAAGGAGGAGAATTCGAGTCGCATGCTCTTCGCGACCACCTCAAAGCAAAGGGGATCGAGCATCACTTCGTTCCAACTGCCGCTCATGCTCAGAACGGTAGAGTTGAAAGGGCACACCTTACCATCCTCAATCAGGTAAGGACGCTCCTGATTGATAGCGGACTAGACGACAAGTTCTGGGCCGAAGCGGCAAACTACGCCATCTACACCAGGAACCGGGCTCCCACAGGATCCGACAAACATATCCCGGAGGATCTCTGGAGGCAACGTGAAGTCAACTCCCGGCACCTTCAACCCTTTGGCTGTCAGCTCTGGTTCCGTGACCACAACAACACCAACAAACTTCACCCTTGCTACAAAGAAGGGCAACTACTCTCTTACGTCGAGGGGACCGACAACTACAGGATTTGGGATCTACACACCGAAAAGGTCACCATCTCTCGTGATGTGGTCTTTGGCAAACAGCCAAAGATTTCCACCAACACCAAATCACTGGAAACCAAAGTCCAATCCACTCAGGTAGACATCGACATAGTCCCTGAACCAACATCAGACTCAGACTCTGAAACCGAAGAGGATCAATCGGCTGAAGACAATACCGATACTCTCGACTTACCTGATCAACCTGGTGATGACACGACCATCCCAAGTGATCAGGCTACACAGGCCACACAGGCCAAACACAAGCCATCCGGCATTTGGAGCAAAGGATGGGACGTAGCACCGGTACCGACACCGGAAAACTGTTATAGCCATCCGCGGTGCGACTATCACGTACATCCGAACGGGTGTTCCGCCAGCAACTCCGGCGGAGCAGGTACTTATATGATACAATAGGTAATGTCTAACTACTACGATCACTATTGTAATATGTAATTCATCTGCTATCACACTCATTTATCTACCTACTACTCTACGCAAGTCCCGGAGAACACACAGGTTGCTGGCAACCTAACAAAAACCCAGTCTTACCCGATGGCTCCCGACGAATCCGCAAACCACCTGCCAAATTTGGATACTCAGCAAACCTCGCTACCGCCGTCATCTGTGGCCATGCACTCATCTCCACGGCCATCCCTCAGACATTTCAGGAAGCCCACCGATCTCCAGAATGGGACAAATGGCAGGAGGCTATAAAAGCTGAACTCGACAAGATGGATCAGTACAAGGTCTGGTCTGTCATCGATAGGCAAGAAGCTACATCGAAACCTCTTCGAGCCAAATGGGTCTTCACCCGGAAGATCGACGGAGAGACCGGGAAGCCATCCGCCTACAAGGCTCGATGGGTAGCAAAAGGATTTCTGCAGAAGGAAGGAGTTGACTACAATGAACTCTACGCGGGAGTCGCTCACAAGGACACCATCCGAGTCTTCCTCGCTTTGGTCAACTACCTCGACATGGACTGCGACCAGGTCGACATCAAGGCCGCCTTCCTCAACGGAGAACTAGAGGAACTCGTCCATCTTGAACCTCCCAAGGGCAGCAATATCCCTGCCAACAAGGTTCTCCAACTTCAGAAATCACTTTACGGTCTCAAACAATCACCTCGCTGCTTCAACCAGGCTCTTGACAAGTTCCTTCGATCTCTCGGTCTCATTCCTTCTCCGGCCGACTCCTGTCTCTACATCCGATCAACCAAGGATACCCTTCTCATTCTCTCCGTCCATGTTGATGATCAACTCATTGCCTGCAACAATCGCCAGGAACTGGACAACTTCAAGACCAAACTCAACGACCGATTTGAGTGCTCCGACGGAGAAGCGGTCTCTTACTTTCTCGGGTTCAACGTCTTCCGAGACAGGCCCAACCGGAAACTCTACATCTCTCAAGAACACTACGTACAGGCAGTCCTGGAAAGGTTTGGCATGCTCGACTCCAAACCGGCAAAGACTCCCCTTCCTTCCGGCTTCCGATCTCTTCCCGCTACCGATGCTGAACATCAGGAAGCTGCTCATGAAGAATATCCCGCAATGGTCGGATCAATCATGTATGCGGCCACCATCACTAGACCCGACATCGCTCATGCTGCCGGAGTCTTAGCTCGGACCGTCAGCAAGTGGAACAAGCAACATGTCCATGCTGCTCGACACCTACTCCGATACCTCCAAGGTACCATCGAACTCTGCCTCACCTATGACACCGCCTCTGGCCAAAGGATCATCCTGGGTTATGCCGATGCCGACTGGGGTGGATGCTTGGACACTCGCCGATCTACTACTGGATACCTCTTCCGTGCTTTTGGAGGACCAGTAGCCTGGAAATCTCGACGACAACCAACCACAGCTCTCTCTACTGCCGAAGCTGAATACATGGCTTCCGCTGATGCCACCCGACAGGCCGTCTGGCTCCGCACTCTTCTTGAATCTCTCGGCCACCCGGTCTCTGGTCCCCTCGCCATTCTCAACGACAACAATGCTGCCATTCAACTATCCAAGAATCCTGTTGCTCATGATCGCACCAAACACATCGACATGAGACACCACTATCTTAGAGAGAAGGTACTCGACAACACCGTTGAGCTCTCCCATGTTCCAACTCAGGACAACCTTGCCGATGCTCTCACCAAAGGTCTCGCCCATCACCAATTCCAACACCTTGTCACCGGGATGGGTCTCAACGGAAAACCAACCTCTTTCGCAAAGGACGCTTGAGTGAGGGGGAGTGTCGAATCCTATTGTTCTCCCGCACGTCTATTGTTCTCCAAGAACAATAGACCGCATGGAACAATAAAGCACATCCACTCTTCGCACCTTTCCTTTTGTTCTCGCTTAGCAATCTGCGACTCGCTTAGCAATCTGCGACCACTGTCGCAAGTTGCGACCACAACCGCAAGTTGCGACCGCAAACCGCAACTTGCGACCGCAAACCGCAGACCGCAAACCGCAAAGCGCAGCACCTTGCCACCTACCAGAATAATATATATAGCAGACCATTCTGGTCTGATTTCATGATCCCCTCTTGTATATTTTATCCTCATGCAAACTATACAGCGTTGATCAACTCGATATCCAACACTGATGTCATTGCGCGCCACATCGTCGATCGACATCCAGATCGCGCCATGAAACCCTGGAAAGACTTTCCAAGCAAAATCTGACCTGAGTGCAGGCGTTCAGACCAGATGCGTTCTTGGAAGCGATACGTGAGGCTGGAGGAGTAAACGACGTCTATGCTAGTGTAGTATGAGATGTTTTCTCTGCGCAGGCTCAATGCATCGCTCACAGAATGCCGATTCGATGGCTACCAGGAGCGTTGTCCCGTGCTTGTGATCTACGGCCATTGCGGGTTTTGCACGAGCAGATTCATGTTTTGGATGGCAAATGAAGCTGGAACTCCCTTCATAACATGTTCGGAAGACAACACCCTCCCTGCCCTCGATGGTCAGGAGGTAGGGCCGGAAGGCGATAAGCGCATGAGCAGTAACTCCGCAGATCATTTCCCTCTCCTTATATAACGCAACGCATAAACGCACATCCGCTTTCTCCTCCCTCAGGTCTAAATGGATCGTTCGAAGAACACCATCCAGTTCCCACTCATCATCCCCTTCCGTTCTACCATCCGCCATCCGTTTTCCTCGGCGATTCGTTGGATGGAAGGGATCGTCCGGAGTCCGAAGGTCGGGTCGAGGGAGATGAAGCGTTCGTGGAACTGCGTGAGAGGATTCGGTTTGGGCATTAGCATGCTTGTGTGGGCGGGGTGAATCTCGTCATATAGTCTTGTGATTTTATCGCTCATGTATCGTTTGGAGTAATGATGTACAAACACCCCGCTGAACGGTGCTCCCGGTTTTCGCTCTCGCACCAACACCGGTACCATCGCATCCCATACGATCCCATCTCGGACTCCCACAACACCACCCCAGCGAAAAACAAACAACGCCCTGATCTTACGAGAACTCACCTTCCGATCACCCTCACTCTCAAACCCCCCATCGTCCCCCCTGAAAGCTCCATAGAAACTGATCCATCCAGCGGGTTTGAGCAGGGTTGTTGCGTGCCGGAAGATGGAAGAGGGGGTCACGGGGAAGGGGGCGCAGTGGAGGAGGTTGTCTGAAGGGTCGAGGGTTGGAGATGGCGGAGTGGCGGGTTGGGATGTTGTGGTTGTAGTTGTAGTAGAAGTTGCAGGTGAGGATCGGATCCCGTTGATCAGAGTCAGGTAGCAGGTGTGGTATCAGCTTATCCATCGACAACCACATCAAAACAGTCCGAATCCGAAGAACCAAAGGAACCGTTAGGGCAGGCTTACTGATGATCATCCCATCGAATCCTCCATGCTCCGCCTCTTGTGTATCTTCGCTCCCCCAACCACGGCCATACCGCCCCCGGACCCCTTCCCAATCCGCGTCGTTCAAGACGTCCAGCTGTACTGGGGGTAAGATGTTGTTCGTTTCGCTTGAGAGAGAATGGCGTATGGCTTGGAGGGGCGTGGTCGGGTTTGGGTTTGGGCTTGAGGAGGGGCTTGAAGTGGGACTGACCCATATGTCGGAGGTCGGAGAATGTCATGGGAAAGAACGCAAGATGAGAAATGGGATCAGCGAACGACCGTGAGAGCGTATCTACATCGCTGTGAACAGTACATCCCATCCGTGTGAGACTTGGAAACGTACCTCCTCTCCCTCTCACTCCCTACCCAGTCCACCCCGTCCCACTCGGTAGCGTAGGAGGCTAGGTGTTCGCCCGTCCCGCTAGCTAGTTCTAGGATCTTCGGTCTGATTTTATTTCCATGTCCTGTCTCTGGTCTTGTCGTCCAGTCCTCTTTGAATCCCAACCCCTGAGGACCCAGGCCCTGCGGATCCGATCCGTGCGGACCTGTTGCAGCCCGTTCATCTGGAACTGGAACTGTTGAAGTTAAAGACCTCTCGATGTATGGTCTTAGGGCGTCTATGATCGGTTGGGTGTTCTTCTTGGCCGATCCTATAATTTCCGTACGGGTAAGGGTGGTACCATCAGGTATCAGCAACAGCAAGTCGAAATTAGAGCCATAGGTCTAGAGGATGAGCTTGAGGGACGGTGGTAGTAGAGGCGCCTACAAGTAGAATAAGGAGTGGAGTAGGAGATGAGGACTGACCTGCTACGGAAGGGATGGACGGGTAGTCGGTGTTGTTATAGCTACGGGTGGGGTCGGTCATTTTAGTCCGTTGTTTCTTTGACGAGGTCTTGCAATGGTATACTACTCGTGTATTGTCCAGAAGGAGTAGGAAGAGGTCTGTGTAGGGGTTTGTATATACCATCGACCTCTTTCTCCCCATCGATGACGTAGTTGACGTCGACTTAGTCCGATCGATCGACGCGCTTCCCCAACTACAAAAAAGTCGTCAAAGAGGTCCTCTCTTTACAACTTCAGACTACCTTCCACTTCTTCACATCCTTCTCTACTTCTTACACCATTGATATCCTGGCATCTGGTATCATCCTCCATAGCACCAACCGGTAGCCATGCCCGATTTCACCAAAAACTCATCCTCGCATCCGTTGTTATCACGGCCGATCAACGTCTATTCGATCCCACCCGAGTTGCTGGACCTCTTGACCGTTCGGTCGGTGACGAACACCGGGGCGCTCCAGGTCATCTCTTCTGCCGAAGGTCAGGACCCCACTGCTGTTCATGAAGAGTCGGGTGAAAACTATATTAATACTAAAAAGACCGGAGAGGAGGAGGCCGTGATCGTGGAACCGGGCTCGAGCTCGAGCCTGACCTGCCAGACATGCCTATCAACGACCTTCCCGACGTTGGAAGAACAACGAGCGCATTTCAAGAGCGATTGGCATAGGTACAACGTCCGGGTGTCTATCAACCAGAAAGGAACTTTGAAGGGAAGTTTGCAGGGGAAAGGTGGGAGGGGGGTACCGAGAGGGGTGTTGACGGAGGAAGAGTTTGAGGAGGTGGATGATGGTACGTGTTTTTGAGGCTTGGGGAGTTTTTTTTGGAGGGAGTCGTGGGAGGGTTGGGAGCTGACTTTTCATCTTGATTGTCTCGTTATCATTCCATCTAATCAAATCAAAATCAAATCATCATCCTCTCATCACCGAATTCTCATCACCAACCTCTCATCGTCATCATCCTCGTCATCTCGCAAACCTGTCATTATCGAATCTCACAGGCGTATCATCCCTCTCAGGCTCAGCATCGGACACTTCCGCCTCTTCACATTCTCCGTCGACACCTGCATCTGCATCTGGAATCGGTTCGACGACGGACCGGATTACGAAGCTCGTCCGAAGGGCTCACCTTCAGCCCCTCTCCCGTTCGCAAACGCCCACGGGACAAATTGAAGGTGAAGGTGATGGTACTGCAGCGGGCGAGGCGGGGTTGGATTTGGATTCGGACGAAGAAGCTGAACAGAACGAGTATAGACGGAGGGCCGAGTTGAGGACTGCCGTGGTGTGGTACGGCGTGCGCAAGGACTCTCATCCCGATCCAGCTGCACAAGCACAAGCACAACAGCAAGGACAGAAGCAGCAACAGACGCTCGTCCCTGTTGATACGCAGCTGGGCGTACATAGAGCTCTGTTACCTCCGGGCTTGAGCGATCCGTCCACCTTCTTACCTGCGCTCCGGTCCATCCAATTACCCTACAAATCGAGTTCATCAGGGGCGGGACATGACTTCGATTTTGACCACGAGAACCCTAATACGGAACGTAAACTCACCCTCTTGATGGTTGCGGGGGGTCATTTTGCCGGGATGGTCGTCGCCCTCAAACCACTGAATTTGATCCAAGGTAAAGGGGTAAAGGCGGAGAGGCAGGATGTGAAGGGAGCAGCGGAGATTAGGGTTTTGAGGCATAAGACTTTTCATCGGTATACCAGTGAGTTTGAGGCAGGGTCCGAGGTTAAAGCAAGTGGTCGGCGTAAGGCTGACGCGAGACTTCGCCTTTGATGCATGATGATGTCTTTTCGGGTAGCACGTAAAAAGCAAGGAGGGTCTCAAGCGCTGAACGACAATGCCAAGTCCAAAGCCAACTCTGCTGGTGCGATGCTCCGTCGATACGGAGAACAGTCTTTGCAGGAAGAGATCCAGCGGCTGATGATCGAGTGGGCGGACGAGGTGAGGACGTCGGAAAAGATCTTTTTGAGGGCGAGTACGGCGGGGAAGAGGAGTTTCTGGGGGTACGAGGGGGCGATTTTGGAAAAGGGGGATGAGAGGGTGGTCACGTTTCCGTTCCCGACGAGGAGGCCGGTGAGTCCGAACGGCACCGAACATGCGCTGTCGTCGTAGTTGTGAGAGAGGTGCTTACATCGGGACATTTGTCGTTGTAGACCTTGGCGGAGCTCTTCCGGTGTTACCACGAGCTCACTCGGGTCAAGATCACCCACTTGTCGGACGAGGCCATTCTCGCGCTGGAACAAGCCTATATCGCCTCGCTTCAACCCAAGACTCGGCCGGTCCCCACGCAATCACACATTCCTCAGGTCAAGGAGAAGGAGACCAAACCCAAACTGAGCCCAGAGGAAGAGTCCTACCGTGAACGCCGGAACAGGCTGGTCGATATGGTCAGGAAAGGTCGGATGGAGCCCTTGCAGGCGTTCTGGGCGAAACATGGCGAGGCGTTTGGTGGAGTCGATGCGGTTGTCGAGGAGTGGGCAGAGGAGGGGAGCGGGATGACGTTGTTGATGATCGCCTCACAAGCGGGTCAAGAAGACGTGACCAGGTGGTTGCTCGAGGATCTTCGGGCGGACCCGACGTTGACGTTGGGTGGTGGGGGTGGTGAAGAGGTCAAAGAGGCCGACGAACAGGATCCTACCGCCGAGCCCCCGGCATCGACGACCACGCCAACCGCGAAAGGACGAGGTCGAACGGCATACGACCTGACCACCTCGAAACCCGTTCGAAACGTCTTTCGGAGACTCGCTCACGACCATCCGGAATGGCATGACTGGATCGGGGCGGCACACGTGCCTTCGGGCTTGAGCGAGGAAAAAGAACTCGAACAGGAGAAGAAAAAGGCAGACAGGCGCAAGGGGATGCGGGAAAAGGCCAAGGAGAGGGAGGCCAAGCGGCCCGTCGAGGTTGCCGCACCTGAACCCGTCGCGGCCGCGCCGATTCCGGCTAAACCCTTGACGGGACCTCAGAAGCTGGGTGGAGGACGACCTGGTGGGGATACGTCGAGCCTGGCTGGGCTCACCCCGGAGATGAGACAGAGGATCGAGCGAGAAAGACGGGCTCGAGCGGCCGAGGCCAGGTTGACGGGAAAATAGACGGATAGAGATCGGATTGCGATACGACGTATAGAAAGTCGAGTATAATGTATAGTGTTGGCAAAACTGAACGGCGTTCACTGAACGCCTACTGAACGCCGTTCTCACAGGGGTCCGAGTTCGTGAACGTGAACGTGAATGTGAACGGCTGATCGGTGAACGCCGTTCACCAAAAGTCTTGAGACGTTCTAGACGTTCAAACGTCTCATAGCAGTCACATCAGCGAACGTCTGAACGTCTCACATACATCATGACAACGATAGTTACAGAGCATAAAACGTTCGTTATACAGTACGTTATACAGTACAAAACGTCCATTATAAAGACCTCGACATTATACGACCCACGTTCACACATCAACGTCCATCTCCATCTGCTGTTCGTTCCCGTCGCCACCCATCACAACGTCCTCGTTCTCGTTCTCGTCCTCGTCGTTGTCGTCGTCGTGGTCGATCTCGATCACCGTTGCTCCGGAAGCCTCCTTGTTCGGCTTCGCAAACGACCCTCCGACAGAACGTTGAGTTCCCGTTTGCTTGGGGGGAGCGTTGAACGCCTCGATGAACGCCCTCTCCGACGCGTACCCGCCTTTCATCCAGTCACCGAGCAACATCTGCGAACGGGAGGTGGCAGGGTTGAGTCGAGTGCGACGTGTCGACATCATCAAGCCAGCCTTTGAGAAGGCCCGTTCGACCTCGACAGACGTGGCTGCAAAGGCAGACGTTCAGACGTTTAGACGTTTAGACGTTTAGACGTTCAAACGGCTTACCTGGCGTTCCGAGAACATCAATCGCCATCTGTCTCAGCCCACTCATCGACGGCTGATGAGCCCACCATGTCAACGCCTGACCGTTGAACGGTGCCACCGAGATGTCGATCTTAGGAGCGTTGACGTAGGTGTCGAACGCGTCGGCCTCCTCGTGACGTTGACTCTGTTGAGAATCAGCGGCCAACAACATGTCGAGGTCATCAGTGATCTGAACGTCGATAACGTTGAACGTTGTCAGTCTAATGAACGTTGTAACGTCTGTTCTTATATCGAGATACTCACCTCCCGCGCAACAACGTCACTCCCACTGCTCTCGATCACTCGATAGTGATCCTCCCACATCTCCCGACCCAGCCGTTTAGCCTCCTCGATCCATTCAGGCTTCCACTTCATGCGAGTCATGTAAGCGACTCGGTAGACGGGGTGAAGGACTGAACGTGTCCCAATGTTATGAACGTCAGAACGTGTAAACGGATGAACGGATGAACGGATGAACGGATGACACTCACGAAGGGCAACCCGGTAGAGAACGCTGTCGTCCGTTTTGCTGTAGTACTTGTCAAGCAGCTCTTGGCCTCGCTTGACGCCGTAAACTACAGCCTTCGTCTTGACGTTCGACCTCGCTGCGTCGAACTTGGCGGTGATGGCGTCCATGACCGGAATAACGCCAGCAATCGACGTGTTGTCGACCTTGATGTCCGTCGAGGTCGAGAACCTCTTGGTGGCAGCGTTCATCAACTGTAACACGTTCACATCAAAGGGGAAGTTTTCAGTTATTTGACGTTTTGACGTTTTGACGTTTTGACGTTTTGACGTTTTGACGTTTTGACGTTCAAACGGCTGGGTCAACTCACCTCCAACACCGGCTTCAGGTCCTTCAAGGCCTCGATCTCCCCACTCGTAATGACGTCGTCTTCGACGTTGTCCTTCTCGTCGAGGACGGTAAAGAACATCTTACTATACAACATAGCAGGTGTTAGACATCAAGTCAGTGACACATCGTTCAGACGTTTGACCGTTTGAACGAGCAAACGCATGAATGTGAGGGCTTACACAACGAGTTCGTTGTCGATACACGCCTTGACCGTCTCGAACGTCGAGTTCCATCGAGTGACGATGTCGACGGGGATGATATGGGCCCCGGGCCTGAGCTTGTTGGCCTCGACGAGCCTGTCGACACACTCTCCCCAGGTCTGTCGGAAAGTCGAACGGTATCTCAACCGTTTCGCCAGAGTTCGGACCTTGAAACGAGATGAACGTTGAACGTTTGTGTCAGCGTGGACGTTCAGACGTTCAAACGTTCGAACGCTGCCAGAGAACTCACCTTTCGCAGGGCCTCCCGCATCACGTCTTGACTCGCCCTCGTCGCAGACGCACTCTTGTCCTCCACCGTCACCACGGTCGACGCCTGAGATGCCGTCTCCTCCACGACCGGTCCTGCCGAACGAGTGCTTGCCGCGGGACCCGTTTGAGTCGGAGCAGCCGTTTGCTGAGTGAACGGCACTCGTGGCAAACGGAGTTCGTCGAGAATCGGCTGATCGACCACCCAATCAGCTTCCTCCGGCTCATCGACGTGCTCGACCTCGACATCAAGGTCGTCCCCAGGCATGAAGTCGTGAACGACTTCATCATCGTCGCTTGACCATCGAAGACCGGTAGCCCCTTCAATGACGGCCTGAAAAGTTTCAACGTTCAGACGTTTGTCAGTTGTGAACGTCGAACGGTTAAACGTCTGAACGTGCGTTTCACTCACACCAACGACCAAGTTCAAAACGTGGGCGAAACACCTCACCCGACCTCCCGCGTTCAACCGTTTGAACCCAAGGATCTCCAGCTTCTGCATCATAGCGTCGTTGTTTGACGCGTTGTCACAGATGATCGAGAGAACACGGTCCTCGATTCCCCAATCACGAAGGGACTTGGCGACCATGTTGGCGAGGAAGGTACCGGTATGCTTCGCGTTTGCCCTACGTTCGACGTTTACACGTTTAAACGTTCAACGGATCAGCATGTTACGTGCTGTGTAACCAGACAAACGGACTTACGGGATGAAGTCGATCAACAGCGACCGTGGTCGAACCTTCGCATCGGTCACCGGTGTATAGTGGGCGGTGAGGCCGATGAACTTGTTCCCCCGACGGTCGGTCCATCCGTCGGTGGCGATGTGGATCACACCGTTGTAGATTCGAAAGACCGTTTTCAGCCTTTTCGTGTTCACCGAGAACGCAGTCTCGATGTCTTGAACGACTTGACGACGGTTCGGGAGAATCTTCTCCATTGCCGGGAACGACCGAGTGAACATCTCTTCAAACTGAACGTGTACAAGACGTTCAGTAAAGAAACGTCTGAACGCATGAACGTGATATTGGAAAAACTCACCCCATCTTGCTCGACGATGCTGAACGGGTGGTTGTTCCTCGCGATCCAAACGGCTATCGCATGGCGAGTCGCAGCCGTTCTGAGCTCAGGACCAAGAGTCCCCGCCGACGTCAGGGTGGCTTGGTGGAGCCCGTCTTTATTGTTCTCCGGGTTCCGGAGACATTTACTTGGGTGTATGTTCACACCCGTACCGGATGAAGCAGCAGTCGCAAGCTTCAAACGGTACCAGACATCACAGTGGCTGAATGAAAGAACGATGAAACGAGGGAGTGGACGTTTAGACGTTTGGGCGTTTGCAAGTCCGAACGTTCAAACGGAAAGAACGGCTTACCGGCAGGTGAACTTCCACCAATGAAGATTCGGATCCTTCTTATCTTCCCGAATCTCCTTCTTTGTGGCCAACACCGGGCGGTAATAGTGCCGGTTGTTGCTGTTGGCCTTGCCCTCGTCGAAGTAGAGCCTACACCAGTCGTCGAGGTGTTGCTGGTGCTTCTCGACGGGATCCGTTTGCTCGGGAAACGGGAGGGACTTTTTAATATTTTTAGCTACAAGCAAACGTTGGAAGTGGTCAACGGGGTGCTAGTTTTGAACGGATGAACGGCTGAACGGCTTACGTGTGTCTGTCACCTTAGATTTTTTAGACTCGGACTTTAATGTCCGAGCGGGCTTCTTACCCCTCTTAGACGGGGTTTCTGTTGTGATACGCGAGGGTGGTAAGCAGCGTTCAACGTTGAACTGACAAAGCCGTTCGGAACGTACCAATAAAAACGTCGTCGACCTCGTCGGAGTCCCCTTCCGTCTCGCCAACCTCGCTGTTAAAGTCGATGGCGTCACGACTCCTCTTCTTCCCGCTTGAGCCTGGCGTTCCCTCAAAGGCGTTCCATGTAGGTCGTTCACGTGGGGAAGAACGGGGGGCCGTTCGAGAACTAGAGGCAGCCGCGTTTCCAGACATGGAACGTTCCGTACCCGTTGGAATTGTGAACTTCAAGCGAACGGGCTGATCGTTCATATATCAAACGTCGTCTATACGTTCATGGCGTGTTTGTATGCTATGTTTGATGGAGAGAACATTACTAGAACGACTAGAGAAGGTGTAGTAAGTTGTTTAGCGTTCGCAGTTCAGGTCGAGTATGCTTCTCGACGCGGAAGCAAGTTGTTGAAGATGACGTTTCTCACGCGTCGATTTGGGTAGAAATGTCAAACGTTCACTGTGGTGATGATTGAAACGTTCAGTCGCAATGGGAAACGCTCAAACGTAGTGTTATATGTAACTGGGACATGCGGTTATCATCGAAACAAGCAACTCTAGTTGACCTTGACGTTCAGGCCGTTCGTTCGCGGTTGAACGTGACTTTCCAAATTTTGAAAACGTGAACGGCCAAATGAACGGCGGAAGCAATAACGGCGTTCAAAAATGAACGCCGTTCATGCGAACGGCGTTTTGCGAGCCGTTCGTTTTTGGGCGTTCGCGCAAACGGCGTTCAGTCATGCCAACACTAATAATGTATCCATGGGTGTTTTTCTCCAACCTCGGCCGACTCGAGACAAAACACTGAGAATATGTCTTGAATAGGAGGCCGCATATAGCATTGACAGCGGTCTTTCCAGTCGAAACGGCCTCTTGGCTTGAATTTTCGTCTTTACGCTTACTCTCCGAAAAGAAATCGGTTCAGGTCCAACTCTCGACGGAACTGCAAGTATCGCGCTTTTTCGTCCGAGTTTGTTTCAGATGGTCATAAGCTCATAAGCCATACCATTGGCATCACTTCGCACCGAAAGCTCGTGGTTTATCCCAGACCAAATTTGTACATATCATCATTCTGAGGATAGCCTGCAAGAACCCAAACTTGAAAAATTGATGGTACAAGCGATGTAGATGACGATAACCAAGATTGACCAAGTTGTTTCTCATATCCATAAACAAAGCTCCTGCGAGCAGGAACCAGCGTCCTCCCTGAGCAGTTCCAAAGTGGCTTCCCCATGGATCGATGTAACTGTTTAAGGGTGTCTCAGATCAGATAGATATGACTTGTAAGATGCTGCAGTTTACTCACTACGGGTCAAACCACGGTAAGGAGAATTAATACCGCATGTATGGACCATACATCCTGCTGCGGACGATGATACCCGTGACTGCTATAGAGGCGGCAGCTGATCGCAGCGCTTACGACAGCCAAGTGAAACGGGCTTACACGGAGAAGCGTCAAAAGAAGTATATGCCTTTAAAACCCATCAAAGGATCGTCATGCTTCTCCGTGAAAGTCTTGGTTCTCAGTGAGCATCACTGGAACTCTTGCAGGCAGTTGGCACGATCGGAATTTGCGTATATATGTGCGACACATTCTAGCTGATCAAGACTCCATCCCCCATCAACTTTCATGTCTCACTTCTTCAATCCCGCCGATCCACCCTCAACAACCAGTTACGCCACATCTCATATCGATACTACTCAGGATGCCCTCAGACATTTCCGACGAGCAGAACCAGCATCGAAGCAAGTTTACCCTAGACGAGCTCGTATCTTCTGCTGCCGAACTACTTAACACCATGGTCGATCGTTCGGTCCAGACTGGAACTTTCTCTCCGAGCGAGGACGTGTCCTATGCAGAGTCTGTAAGGAGGTGGGAAGCTTTGGAGGAGTCATTGGACGAGGTTTGCGCGGGATACCGCTCAGGCGAGGAACCGCAAGAATTAGTTGATTGTTTCGACAGTGGTCAAATTGCCAAAATCATGGAAGCATACAGGACCAATAGAGACTGTGATCCTGATCCTGAGCGGGATGTAAGAATCCAGGAGGTCTTCGAATATCATGAGGCAGCCATCTCAGGAAAGGGTAATCCTTCCCGACTATCCTCCAACCAACTGGTACGACTGAACAAAGCATTTCAGGCAGCTTATCCCACTCACACTGGTCTGTCCGGAAAGGCCTACGGTGATGTGACCGCATGGATCCTCCGAAACGAGACCACCACTGCGAAGCCCAAAGCTCCCACACAAGAGCCTACGTTGGCTCCGGGAGGAGGCTCACCTGCAGCCTGACATGGATGGTACCAAGAGAAACCCGTCGAGCATAGAAGCGGCGGGATGTATGGTAGATAGACAGAGTTCTCGCAATTGTACCATCGGTTTTGACTGTAATCCTGATTATATGCGAAATACACGAGCATACGAAATTTCTTCTATATTCACCGAAACTAAGCGCCTTTCGGGTTCCCCGTTTAACTGATTATCTGTCAATCCTACTTCTAAGACTGATCATGCCTTCTTATCCCTGAACCCGCCCTTCAAACCGAAACAACTCGCATAATACGTCACCGTCGCCGGCCAATCGCTAAAGATCCCCAACACCCCAACCTTTTGCGCCAACGCGTCGACTACTTCCATCAACTGCCCGTCCGTCCGGATATAGCTGTAGAGGGTCGAATAGTAGTAATCCTCGTTTTTGGCGACGTTGGCTAGAGGGCCGGAACGTTCGAGCGACCAGGTGATCATGTCCAGCCCGGCGGCTTTGGCGTTGTTGGCGTAGGTAGAGGGGACGATGGTGTTGGTACTGTTGTCCACGGCGAGCAGGTAGGGGAAGGCAGGGGCGATGATCTTGACGCCCGACGAAGAGAGGTTGCGCATAGACTCTAGCGAAGAGACGGCAGTGTACACGTCGGGGGTTTCTACGCGCTCGTCCAGGAAGATGGCTTGTTGGCCGAATGCCGGGGCGGAGCGGATCCAGTACAAGATATCGCTGAGTTCGAACGACTGTAACCAGACCCGGGATGGGTGGATGGAGGATTCGTTGAACTCGCCCACGATCTGGTCGAGAAAGTCTTCTTGCGTGTAGTTGCCCTGGAAAGGCATCTCGACCGCGGGGAGCTTGGCCTCGCTGGTGAAACTCAGACCGAGCGAGTCGACGGTCTTGATGTATTCCCGGTGAGTAAAGACCGTACCGCACGTATCGTACAGTTCGGTCCTCCACCGAGGGGTCCCGTAGAGGCTATCCTCGACGGTCGTAGCGGAGGTATTGAACCCTTCTTGCTTCCCGCAGAGGGACTTGAACTCGGCGAGGGTGATGTCCGAGGTACAACAGGTCGCCGAGGCAGGGGCTGTCCCGTTGGCGGGGACGAACGGTTTGGTACACTTGCTCGCCAATTCGGGGTGGAGCAGGATGTTCGTCGTCGAATGCAAGTCGCACTGAGAATGCCTGCATACGAGCTCCCGGTCCGAGGTGAACGAGACGTCGCATTCGATCACCCCTGCTCCCTGTCTAGCGGCCGCGTAGACCCCTTCGATCGTGTGTTCGGGGAACTGTAAGGCGGCTCCTCGGTGGGAGATGGAGAACTGCGTCACGTCGATAGGCTTTTCGAAGCACGACTCGAGCTTTTGCTTGAGCGGCGAGTCGGTCATGTTCCTGACGAGGTAGTAAGGACGCACGCCGACCTGAACGTTCTTGACGATGGGGGTGATGTCATCGGCGTGCACGTTGTTGTTTCGGAGTTGAAGCTGAGAGGTAGTCGGAGCTGCCAACGCCAGCGGAAGGAGGAGCAAGGAGAGTGAGGCGAGCATCGTTAAAGGTTGGTTTGTGACGGGCTGGTTATAGTTCCCTATCGAGCTCGAATAGTTGCGAGTCGAGTCGTCACCCTAGATGGCGCGTTATATAAATCTCTGATACCCAACTCCGATCGAACGTGTTGACCCCACCGGTCATCTGCGAACATCCGGAAGCATTGAAGACTTGGAAGCAGATTACTCCGTATCGTTTCCTCCTCCCTCTAGCAGCTCGACTTCCGGGATCATACGGCGCAAGTCCATGCGCTTGGCGACTGTCCACGCCACTTCGATCCCGCACGTGCGCGCTAAAACATGAAGAGGTTAAACGTTCATATCGCAGGAACGTTCGATAGGAATAGGATCGATAGGAATCTGTACAGCGATTGAAGATCCTTCCAAGCCTCTTACCTACTCTGTCATATCGACCCACCACAAGCACAAGGTGTCAGAAACTTGGCTGGCTGTGTACTGGCAGGTTGCGGACTGTTCAATCTCTTATCACCGTGCTCATCTTCCGAGAGGACTGAGCGCAAATTCACGTTCGCCGGGCGGAACGACAACCAGACATGATTATAGATGTATGAGCGTGAGCCTTGGCTTGTAAATCTCGTAATGCTCCACATCATGAATTATAGGGGATATTCTTGCACAATTTTCATATTCCGTACGCGCCAGCGCATTTCGTTCAAGATCTCATTGAACGATGACCTTGTTCTCGAAGGCTTAATGCATTATCGTTATCGCTTTCTTTTCTTCTCAAGCTCTGTCGCATCTCCGATACAGCTCCAGCGATGGAGTTTGCCGCTCTATAACAGCTCCAGCTTCTCTGCTCCTCTCGAGCTTCGGGACAAGGTTGATTCGCCCCAGACCGAGATGGGGTGTCCGTCGATGTTGGAAGAAGAGTTCGTGAAACCATAGTAGGCAAGTAAGCCGAGGATAGCCGTCGTCTGTAGAGAATGATGAACAAAGAATGGGGTTGGGTCAACAGTCGAATATTTTAGCCATACGCTGGTGGAGCGTTGTAACTCCTTCATCTTCGAGGCATAGCGTTTCATGGAGTAGATTGGGTAAGGATCGATTGACTTACCACAGCGACCAAGAGCCAACCGAATGCCATCGTCGTCGTCGCGAACCTGTATAACCATAGTGCCCCCGGGAACAAAGAAGGAACACAAGATTTTAGTCTCTGTCTCTCTCGTGACAGGAAGAAAGGAGGAGGGTTCTCGACTGACCCGCAGAACCCATCGCCGACGCAAGATGTCCATCGGATGTTGCTGGTGAAGAGGGCCGAGCCGACTGCCATTTATAAGTAGGACCAGTTCATGACACGTCGATAATCGGTGGTGTCAGCTCATTTGCCCTGCGTACAAGCTATATCCACACAAAAGTATGAACTTGAAAGCATGATCTCTTCATCTTTCGCATCGGATGGGAGGAGGGGGGGGGGAAGGGCGAACGAGTACAACTCCACCCGACCCGGACTGGAACTCACCGATCGACAAGATCCATCCGACGCTAAAGAAGAATAGTTCTAAGGCCACACTGGTCGCTCGAGGGCTCTTTCCGAGCATGATGGAAGAGGTGTTCCCGATCAGGCTGTTGGTTGGATTTGTAAGACGTGCCGACGACACATATAGTCAGCGACCCAGAAGAGGACGTGTTGTGATCGGATCGAGAAACGATCTTAACGATCGACTATGTTCGCGGTGGAGGGCGTGGATGGGTGAGGTAGAGCGGGAAGCAACTTACAAGTACAGGGTCGTGAGGCATGTGATCAAACCTCCTGCTAAGGCGACTCCGTTGGCGTGAAAGTACTCCGCACCGATATAGCGGTGGTCGTTCTCGCTATACTTGGTGAAGTCTAGATAGAAGTGAATGAAGTCAGTCCGCAGATACGAACAAGACCCCTATCATATCTCTTCCTAGCTGTTCAGTAGCACGGTTACTCACCTGAAGCCGGGATCGTGACGTTGAGCGCATTCATGTATTCGATAAAGCCTGCGGTGATTCCGACCGTGGCTAGCGAGACGAGCAGGAGTGTGCTCAGTAAAGCGACGTGCGATTTGTGAGTGCTACGGGCGGTGGCGGTCATGATGGTGCTGCTGTAGTGGAATATGCTGTAGTGAGATTCGAGATGGATCAGTCTTCCAACAGAGCTCCTAACGAGTGACTGAGGTGTACTTGTATATATATATATATATACTGTCAATGCTTCGGTCGAAAGACGTTTGGAAACAGGGTTAGCGCGCTGCGTGGCGCTGCTTGACAGACTGAAAATAGATCTCGTCGCCCGACTGGATCACATGGTCATGATTCCTTGTAGCTCCTGCCGGAGCCGGATCCGGGCCCGGAGCTTGGAGATATCTTCACGGTCAACGAGGCAGAGAAAAGCTACACAGCATTGTCGTATTGCGTATCGTCAATCTAGTGCGGCATTCCTTGACATGTGCCCCAGGTACACTCGGCTGCAAGTTCTGCTCCGTTCGTCGACATGCGACATATCCCCGAGATACATGAAACACGAGGAGAGGCAGATCCACCTCACCTCGTGACCCACGACCCCCACCGATGTTGTATAGCACAGCACAGCGATCCTGTCAAGTCGCGCGTCGAGCGTCGCGCTTCGTGCGGTGCAAACCGATATGAGCCAAGGCTTCACCCTTGTTCGTCCCCGGTCATTGCCATCGCCATCGTCCGCTCTTAAGATGATTGCTCTAAGAGACCTTCCATGTTGCTGGGAGGAACTGCTTCGTCAAGACAATGTAGCATCACAAGCAGGTGGAGGCCAGAACCCACAGCTCGTCGTCTGGGCGCCCTTGCCTTGAGTTTCGAAACGACATCGGGATGAACGTGTGCCTGTACATCGAACCCAAGACCGATGTTCAGGTCGGTAAATGACAACATCCTCTCTCTGAACATCGTGCCAAGTATCGCGGCGAAGCAGGCCGAAACCGTAATGTTCGGGGGCTCACGTGACCTGCTGCGGAGGGATGCTGCGAGTCTTTGGTCTTTCGCGACTGGATCTACATCTGGACGCTTGCGGTGCCGCCCAACCCGATAGGCGATGCTCGGACGAGATTTAGGTACAATAGATCATGAGAACCGCTCCATCCACTGTGCAATCTGATAGGGTTCATGCGCCTCGGCATCCACCCAAAGACTGAGGAGAGCTTGCGGCCGGGATGATAACAAGCGATCACGCCCCGAGATTCCACGGCTGTGTATCGAATATCTTGGGATCCGAATCGACTATCAGCTGGCAGCTGGACAAAAGCCCAGCATTCAAGAGGCCCGGCAAAGCCAAAGTTCATGTGATCCGGCCGCTCGTTGGGAGCTAGTCGAATATTCCGTGGACGAGCCGGGCGTCCCTTTTGTGGAGTAGACGACGTGCCAAGCCAAAGATGACGCGCGCTAACCTCCTCGGGTTGAAGACGGTTTCACCAGACGTCATTCTGCCGAAGCGCAAAGAGGCAGCTTGGTCTTCTGCCTATATACAGGCCCAATACAGATAGCAGGATGGAGTATCGAGCATCGGTCGTGGAGTGGTCCGTTCTGCATCTCGAGTTTTTCCACCAAACAACACGAGCCCTGTTTAACCACGACTACCATACAATCGATCATGACCGCTCGCACCGTCCACAAATGGCACGTCGCTCTCTTGAGCGCCTTGCTGGTCGTCTCGTTGGCCAGCTTCGGACTCACCGCCGGGTTTATCGAATACACCAAGAGAGTTCCGATTAGAATTCAAGTGCCGGGTGAGTATGCAGCTTTGAAGCGATCTACTTTGATGTTACCTTGCTGACTTTCTCGTTGACCGATCCTCATACACCAGGCTCGAGATACAACCTAGGCGGCATTTACACCATATATGGCATTTACTTCCACGCCAACGGGTTGGTAGTTGCGGCAGGCGTTATCACGTTCTTGACTTCTCTCTACTTGTGAGTCTACTCACCTCTCGCAACATCTTCGCGCTGCTCACTTGATGGTACATTTATAGCTTGATCGCGAATACCTTCTCCATGTACGACGAAAGGCGAACGGCCACAAGCGTAGAGCTCGAGGTGTTCTTCTTGATCGTCGGATGGGTCTTGTCGATCGGTGAGCCCCCGCATCGCTTTGTTTTGCAAGCGTAAGAGGTCCAGAAACTAAGCTGATATACTCGGTCTTTTAGTCGGAGCGGCCCTGTTCACGAGTAATATTCGATGGACGTCGTGTAACGGGGACAAGTTCTGCAGGTGAGTTCATTCGAACCTTTGTGGTTCCGAAGGGTATGGATAGACCAGTCGAGTTGATATTGGTCTCGAATACCATAGCTTTGCCACGGCTACGATGGCTCTAGGTTGGGTGCTGTTCGCCGTCGTAAGCCCGTTCCATTCTTCCGAGCTCCAGTAGAGAAGCAATGACTGATAATCCTCGTCTCTCGTTTGTCTCTGTTCAGTCGACGGCCACCCTGGGATTGCTCATCTACCACGGATGCTCTAGCCCCAAGATCAACGGTGATAACGCCTGGCGCGAATCTACGCTTTACAGGAGTTCCCGCCAGACTGAAGGGAATGGGGTTGGTCGGCGGAGGGAGAGTGGCGATACGGCGGTTGAGCCGATGAGGAGTCGGGATGATGGGATTGTTGGAAAGGTTACCGTGTGATAGAGCCATCATTCAGATGAGCTCAGAGACACGAACACGATTTTCGCAAGTGATCCATTGTAAGCTGCCCTCATACCGTGTATGTGTTATATAATCTTGTATAGTCAGAACCAAGTGCCGGCTCGAAGCTCGTATACTACACCTCGAACATGCCCGGTCCTCTCGAGATGAGATGTCTGTTGACTTGAGCGATACATTGCATCAACTATATATATACCACCTCAAGCATCTCCTTTCTGTTCCTTCGACGGCGTGTACTTTTCCCAATCTTCTCTCCTGGTGGAAAGTAACCAGAATACTACGGCGATCGTGGCAAAAACATACCCGATAATGGTGCTATAGTACAGGGTAACGGGATGAGGAGACCATATTTAGCATAATATCGAAACCCAAGTCATCATACGCGCGACATCGCTCACCAATACGTGCCCAGCCCGACCGAAATCAGCTCGGAATCGTTTGCCGCAGGGACAACGATAGCGGGGATACCGATCGTCGCCACCAATCCGAAAGCGGTCAATAGTCCTGCGATCACGTACGCGCCATACGCCTTGACTATGTTGGCCACGGCCGGCCAGAGCACGAGGATCGTGAATGCGACGACCGACGTGATGGCCGATAGGAACTCGAAGAATGCCATGATGGATAACGTATGGGCGATCGAGCTGGAGTAGCGAAACACATCAGCATGAGTAAAAGAGGCAATCTTTCGACCACATCCTTACTCGGTAATTTCGTTCGGTAGCTGCTGTGGCGAATTGTCCGTCGTCCAGAACCACTTGTAGACGCATCTGTCTCATACGAAACTCAGCACTCGATCGACCTGCTGTGGGAGTCGTTTGCTCACGTATTAGGCGTCCCATAGATCTGCGCGTCCGTCTGCGCACACCAACCCGTCAGACCGAAACGCCACTCGATCCCGTTTCCCGAATTCTTAGGTTCAGCAGCGATCGAGTCTCTGATATTGACGAAGGTATGTATCCCGTCCCGAGCGTTCGGCTCTCCAGATAGTGGCGTGCCGTTGAGTACAGGTAACATATAGGCGACCACGGCTACCAAGGCTGCGATTCTGGCGACGTTGATTTTCCACCCACCGAGGATGTCGAAAGCGCGTTTTCCGCGGTCCGATTTGTAGTCGACCGTTTCGACCCGGCCGTTGACGCGGTTCTTTTCCTGCATGCGCCTGTGTCTTTTAAATGGCCCATCCTGAGCGGCAGCATCGTCGATACCGGGAAGTCTTTTCGATTTCGATTGGGAATTTCCCATGTTGCGTTGATTGAGCGGATGGTATGATATGGAAAGGGAATGTGGAGACCTCGTTAAATGCTTTGGTCCTATTCATGCTTGGTTATGGAGCTTTGTCAGGTAGTCTGGTGGTTCATTCTTATAGTCTGGCTCGTTTCTGATACGCATCCTTGCAGCGTCAAAGGAACGTCCTCGGGGTCGACTTGATATGAAACGCAAAGTCAACGACCTGAATCATGTATGCCTTTGAGGAAGATCTTCACGTCAAGGGCTGGCGAATCGTATCGCCCGGGGTTTATCAGCAATCATCAATGTGCGAATAAGAGATCTTTTCGCGAAATTTTCGTGTAGAACCGACAAAGATCCCAGGGCTGTCGCAATAGCCGTCCGTCTCGCTCTGGTCAGCAGGTGATTATATTCTTATTCTATGACGATCTCTGACTACCGCCATCTCACTGATACAACACCATTTCATCCACCCTACCGAAGACCCAACAAACTAAACTTACATCACCTCACTCTACAAGGTCTCGGCATCATCCTCAATATCCCCCATATAATCCGGCCTCCCATCCTCGATCACCTCAAGGGTAGCTTGTTCCATGATCGTATGCCTCTCCTTGGGCCCGCCGATCTTGGCGAGTCCTCTCCAGCGGTCAAAGTCGGAGGGGTTGCGTTTGTCGCCGTGGGCTTCTTCGGCTTTTTCCCCTGGTGAAGATAAAGAGAACGAGGAGGGAGAGGTTTCGAGGGAGTTGTTCTTCATGTCAGTGTGATATTATTCCCTTTACTTTACGACACCCTGGATCGGATACTGTAGAGGTTTGAAGGAGGGTACATCAGGCGTCACTCACAGTGGCCCTGAGAAAAGGTCATGAACGTAAAGATCCGCTTGTTCGGTAGGTCGACGTTGATGGAGACGACGGTACCTGTCTCTTCGACCCAGGAGATCTGCGAGCCAAAACCCCAGTGTTTCATAATTTCATATGGTCAGCTCTATCAGGCCGAGGTGAGGTTTCGTTTCATCGCGTAAGGAGACTTTTTTGATGGGGGGGGGGGGGGGGGGGACTGACCTGGTAGATCTCGTCCGCCCGGATCTGATCGTTATTGTTATCAAGACGAAACCCATTGAATTACGTTGCCATCAGCACAGCACGGGGTCGAGCGGGGAGGTTCGATTCGAGGGTGTCGACTCACCTCCTGTACCCAACTGGTCTGGTAGTTATACCTCCCTGCCATAGGTCCACCGTGGATCTCTACAAAACCAGTCTATCATCGATTCAATTTACCCTTCGGATCAATTCCATTGCGTTTGCAAGCGGAGACTCACCGTAGACGATCCTCTTCTCGGACTTTAACCAGAACTCGTACCTCCACCCGTTATCGTAAGTGTACTTGAGGTGCTTGTTGATGATCGTTTCGAGGCCCATGGTTATAGTTATAGAGTTGTAGGTATAGGTATCGTGGTGTGGGGTATGGTTTGGATATTTGGATAGAGATTGGGATGGTAAGGAGGAGACGCTAGCTGATCCGTATGCTACTTTTTAGATTGCTTTGGTCTTAGCGGTTCAGTACGTCGATGCGTCGATAGCGGTTCGGTGCGTCGGTCTCTTCGTCTTTTATATCCACTCAGGCGCTCAGGGTTACGAGGGAGCCTTTTAATGGAGAGACGTGATAATAGGAGAACGTCATGGGCAACGAGCGATCTAAACCTGGACCACGGACCATGGACCATGGCCATCTCGTCGAGAACTGCAACTGCAGCGCCAGTAACGAACAAGCAGACGTCATCAAAGCGGAAGTAATTTCGAGCCATAGGTTAGGTGGGTCGAGGCGGATGATGATCCCCGAGCGCGGATTGGACTGAGATGGCGTGCGAGGTCAGGCGGTTGTTGGAAGCTGTTTCGACGTCCACTTGGGACGTCCAGCTTACACCTTGAGGAATTTGAAGCAAGGAGACGAGGAGATGATATGATCACAATGCTCAGGATGTTCAAGATGTTTATGAATGTGAAAAGTGCGCGAAATTGGAGACGATGAGATGAAGTCCGAAACCCCAGATCACGCTTCGACTAGAAGTCCAGGGTCTCATCGTTTTGCATCCGGATTACATCCGACCATCAGCTCCAAGCGAGATGTTGCCAAATTCCCCGATCAAGACGAGGAGCAGGCAGCCTACAAGTCGCAAGTCGAAATTGGGAATGTTAATGCGATAATGGGACGAAGGAGACAGTCATTCTAGGCGCTGTAATGTGATATGAAGTTGTAAACCGAGTGCATGTTTTGCGGATCAGACATTCGGCGATCAGATCAAGTGGTGATGCGCTTGGCGGGTCATTGTCCGCATGTCCGTGGGAAGCGCGTCGCCTTCGAGGTCGGTCTCGGTCTTCAGCAGAGTCCAATCGTCGGCGTTGCCATTGGCCCATAACTTCTTACCCAGGAAGAAGACGTACTGTAGGAAGTCCGAGGTTTCGAGGTTTCCAACACGCACGATATGCCGTATACAGAGTGAGGTGCATTCGGCGTTGCAATGCAAAACGAAAATGTACACAACCTCTGTTGGATGAGCGCGGAGGTTCCTCGGAGTTTGCTCTTTTGGCTGTTGGAGGGTCGGGGACGACGGGGCGGAGGACATCCCGCCCCGAGGGTACGAGGGTCTGCACGTGGGGTTCGTCCGCAGGCGACCGAGCGAGTATTGTGTTCTTCTTCTCTTGGGATCTTGCTCGGGGCTTGGGGGGGCGGTGTTCGGCGTTGGGAAATGAGCACAGGGTCGGGAAGAGTATGGATATAAATATAGGAGGTTCGAGGTCGTTCGTCCTCACTGTGGTATTCTCGGGAGATAGCTTTGCACGCAATTCCCTCATCCTACCATCCATTACGAACACCGTCCATCCATCTACCTTCAACATCCAACATCCATATAACCCTTTAACGATGCCTATCGCCACCCAAACCCAAACCACCACCCTCCCCACCTCTTCCCCCTCTGTGCTGAAGCTCCGAGCACCCAACGCGCAAGAACCCGCACACGTAAAACAACTCCGGGAAAACGGGTTCGCCGTCGTACCCAACGTCTTAGGAAAGGAACGCGCTGAGGAGTATGTGAGGAGGGCGAATGAGTGGTTGAAGGCTTTTGGGAAGGGGTTTGATGTGGAGGATAGGAGTACTTGGTGAGTCGGCGTGGGGTTTTGGTTGTGGATTTGGGGTTGTGTGCTTTGTGGTCTTGAGCTTGATATGGTCGTGGGGAAAAAGATAGGGGCCCATGCTGATATGTTCGATCCGGTGGTATGTTGTTATCGTAGGCACGTCCAAAACCTCCCTCCTCATCACCGGGGAGGACTCTACAACGACCTGGCTGTCGGGCATGAAGATCTCCTCTGGTCCATCCGGGCCGAACCCGAGTTGATCAAGATCTTTGCCGAGTTGTGGGGGACGGACGAGTTGTTGGTCTCTTTCGGTGAGCCAGCGTCCCGGGTTTGAAGTCGGGTCATAAGTTGAAGTGAGAGCTGATATGGATATGGTGTGGACATGGTCCTACGACGTAGACGGCGCCAACTTTTCCATCCCCCTACCTAAAGAAGAGATCCAGAACGGAGGCGCTCCTTGGCCGCACGTCGACCAATCCCCACTCAAACGCGAGCTCAACTGCGTTCAGGGGATAATGAACCTAGCCCCGAACGGACCTACCGACGGTGGCCTCATGGTCCTCAGCGGGTCTTTCCCCCTGTACAAGCAGTTCTTCGAGGAACATGCACACGAGGAACCTGAGGGGGGTTGGCCGAAGATCGATTCGTACCACCATACCCCTAGCCAGTTGCAGTGGTTTTATGATAGGGGGTGTGAGTGGAAACATGTGGATGCGGGGGCGGGGGATGTGATCCTCTGGGATTCGAGGTGTATCCATTACGGGGCTGCGCCGACGGGGGATAATGCGCGGTATGCGACTTGTGAGTTGGGCGTGGTTCCGGCTTGGGAAGTCGAGACGGGATCTTCATTGGCTGATGGACGATCACCTTTGTAGACGTCTGTTACAAGCCCGCCGATATGTGTTCGCCTGAACATCTGGAAGAGCGTAAACAGGCCGCCGCCAAGTACTACAACATGGTCAGTCCCTCCATCTCCTACTCTTTCCGTCAGATCGTTCTCTCATCTGACATTTCTTCTCATTGTGCTTATGTATTGGTAGTCTCACGACCCTACCTGCGCTCGGGTTGTCACCAACCGTCAAGCTGCCGTCAGGTCCGAACCTTCGAAACCTTTCCAGCATACCGAGAGGACGAAGCGGTTGGCCGGGATCGAGGCTTACTAGACGGGTATGATGCGGTCGATGCGGACGATCGCAGGTGTCGAAAGGGACCTTTTGTATTTCGATTTCATTCTGGCTGGAATACGTGTATGGTGTTGTGTAATATGTACAAAGGAAATATCATCGATGATTCGGAGAGGTTAGGAGAGGTAGGCCTGGGGTAACGTCTCTATGGGAAGACAACCAGGCTCGATCCGGAATCGCTGTCCGTCATACCCAGGTCTGACCCAGAACCTCTCGGCCATGCACTTTTCCCAAAGCCCAGGTTCTTTCGAACACAACGCTTTGGCCTTTTGTATGAACTCTTCGTGTTGGCCCTTGGATCTGCGACCTTGGATCTCGAGACCTAGGGCGAAGAGCTCGCCGTAACTCATACGGTGCTCGATCTGGACGAGGACCATCTTGTCGGCTTGAAGGCGAAGGCCAGTGCTCATCCATTCGGGGATCCCAAAGTGGGTTCGAGTACCCTCCAGATTGGTACCGTCCATGATGACTAGCTTGTAGTGGTCGGCGGTTGAGGAGACACCCAACGGGGAGATCGATGGTACGTCATCAGAGTCTCGAGCTGGAGACTTGACGATCTGGGTGGTGACTTGAACGTCGTCGGTATCATCGTCGAGACCGGAGTCGTATTCGCCCTCGTCCGTGACCTTGATCTTGCGCTCGATCTGTCGCTTAGCCACCGCTCCCGGCTCTGACTTCCACTTAGGTTGTACTTGTTGTTGTTGAGGATACTTCAACATCTCCCAAGTTGGATCCGTAATCTCATTGACGTCGCTCATCCACAACAGCTGGTCGTCGTCAAACTCGAAAGCCGCCGCGACCATCTTCTCGGTGACGACCGTAGGAGGCATGTCGGGATCGTCCGAGATGATGGTCTTGGAGGCAGATCCGTGGAAGACTGGTAAGGGTCGAATTTTCTGTGACAAGTAACTTTCAGCGAAGTTATCAATTCAGGCATAAGGAAACGCGCTTGTCGCTTACCATTCCCGCGATCTCGAGCGTTTCACCGTACTCGAATACATGAAACGTCAAGGATGACTGTTGGCCCGCGCTTCGCGTATTGCCATCACCCATCAGGTACCTGTGAAAAGTAAATTCATAGCTCTCAGTTACAGCGGTACTCGCGTCAGACGGCTTCGTGGACTCACGGAAATCGGGTCGCAAAGATGTCATAAGTCGCTCGATCGAGCCAGATGGGTACGGACTCTTGGATCTCTCCATAAAGCGTAAAGTGACGCAAGTCGCCCACTCCCAGAATAGCTGCGGCGAGGGATGCAAATCAGCTTGAACAGCGGAAGGAGCGGAAATGGTCTCACCATCGGCATGTTCGTGGGTCAAGAGTACAGCTTTCAAAGACAGACCCATCAGCAGGCTGAACGGGCATAGACCGAATCGCTTGCTCACCATCAATCTTCCGCAGTCCATTTTCGGGGAAGACCAGGGCAATGCGTTCGTGCCAGGTTTTGCCACAATCAATCACGATGGTACTGTGGCCGGAACGGTCGATTCATCATTCATTGAAGTCAAAACGATGGAAGCTGGGTCTAGTCTTACCTCTTGCGACCATCAGGCCAAGTCTTGACGACCACCCCACTGGTGTTGGAGCGATAGTTTCTGAGCCCACCGTGTCCGAGCTTGTCTTGAGGATCTGCCGTGGCCATACAGCAGTTGCAAGGGGGTTGAAAAGTGGATTCTTTGGGCCGGGTCAAGCATCGAACGCTTGGAGTACCTCCAGATGGCCCACAGCCGGTGATGATGACGTCGTAAGTGGGATCTGACATGGGGAGTGGAGAGATCTGGTGTTATTTCCGGAAAAGCAGCAATACGCTCCAGTATCGCTGACATTTGAATAGCAGTAGCATATATACGCAAGCGGTACACTCAGATGTTACCGTGGTGAAACTCAGGGGTAAGCATTCCTTTCATGATCAGGTCGTCCTTTGATGGCCTGTGACGAGCGAGCGGTAGCTCAAACGCGGCTCCTAGCGGAGAAGCGCGAAGACGGCGTCTGAAAGGACGATCAAACGCTTTGCTCACCGCAGGATAGACTCTCCAGCGCTATTTCGCATATCTGGGAGCTTACGCTCAGTACAGTTGAGGCCCTACAAATGGCTGTATGCAGTCAAGCGCAAGAATATAGCCATTGGTAAGTATAATTGACCAAACAGGACTTTCCGGAGACATGGCTAAGACATCATTTGCGCCACATAAAAGCTACAAACGCTCAGGCGGTTCTACCGTCGGTATCTACAATATCTTTGTCCTGCAGCTTTGACCGCTGCTCCTTGAGCCATGATGCCAGCTGTTGACCTCCCACAGCGAAGCTTATGATGAGACCGACTATCACGGAATAGATCTGATCAGTGACAAGCTTGAGGGCTGATTTTTTTCGATCCGCCTCAACTTACTGCTCACGATCAAGAAGATGCGCCACTTTCGACGCTTGTACCAGCGTTCAGTCGGCTTGAAAGACGATTCGCCCTTTGACAATACCACAGGTCCGATCGACGTGGCAGAGTTCTTGTCCTCCACTGGCGAAAATCCCTCGCGAAATCTCGCTTTGTGACCGTGGTCTATGGCGACCATGTTGGGATGATTTAGATGCCTATTGATTCAGTTCACATTTTATGCTTAGCATGAAGCCTGCTCTCATCCTGCCGCAATGAGCTAGTATAAGGTTCCCCGATGTATCCCTGTTTAGAAACAGCACAAGATCTCCCCGTCCTCGGTGAGAGGATGCATTGGAGGGACGGAAACACCCCCTTAGTGCACCTTTGTGAATGCGAGAAGGTATTTTGTCTAATGAAGTCTGATCAACTCCCGTTCGATCGCCATGTCAACCGGTGAGTCTCTTCATAGCCACCGACTTCCAACCTTTCTGCCTAGACTAGACTTCTTCTGCTTGCTTGGAATCTGACCTTGTTCTTCTGCGTATGATTACAAACAGGTCTATGACTGGACTCGAAAATTTGACCTGTTTGTCGCAATCCCTGCTACGCACCCGCGTTTGGGCTTCAACATTCCGCTTGTATTCACGGACAAGGAAGGAGACACCTTCAAGATCTTTGGAGCTAAACTCATCAACCCGATTCTTGTACAATTGAATGAGGTGGTATTTGTAGAGAAGTTCACGGTGATTCGCATCAGAAAATTAAGTTTCAGGCGACGTTATGATATGACGGTACGGAAAGTGAAGCTTTGCCGGCTCAGCGACATGCTCATCGCATTCGATCGGGCTCAACCTCTGCTGAGCTGAAACGCCGTGGGTAATGACCTGATGTTCATGAACAGAAAGTTGACGACGCTCTGAGCATGTACGGGAATAAAAACGATCTCTCATGCTTCATGCCTTGTTATTGTTTGGTGTTACCAGTATGCCCTAACATCGATGCTACGCTTTGAGCATATTCCAGCTCCACGAGACTATATGTGATGCACGGAGATATTACACTAGACGGACGATGCCGACGCTCCCTCTGGCGAGTCACCATCGAACCAGCCACGCATGGTCCCTACGGTGAAGACGACCGCAACCACGATGGCCACACCTATGCCTGGTTCGTCGAGTATATCAGCTCTGTTTCTGCGCTGGCATATGATAGGTGACTTACATCCAAAGATGATGTACTTCTTGGTTTTGCTCTTATCGCCGGTTCCTCCACGCTCCGAAGCGTTTGATCCCTCGAAGGAGTCTCTATAGTTTTTGTCGCGGGACATTGTTTCAGAATTAGGAACGTTTGGCTATACCCCGGGATGGATGTCCGTTCAAGTCGAGGAAGGAGGCGGGCTCAAAAAATTCTTGATGAAATAACGAGACTCTCTTCTTCCGGCTCAGTAGCTAGAAGAATCGGTCGATCGCTATTTATGCCTCAACGGTGTGCACTTTGAAACACCGAAGTCTGAAACGCGTTTGCGCGAGCCCCCCTCTGCATGAACGGAAGAGAAATGCGTGTCAACGCGAAACAAGGGCCCCCATCAGTGGAGATTGAGTCGATATTTTGTTGTCTCACACAGCCCGAATATCAGCATTTACCTGATCAGCGTCTGGACTGGCTGTTTCTCGAAAACTATCATTTCGAAGCGCATTGCGCACTAGTCACGGACAGGGACAGACCACATATTCAGCGAGGGCATAGATTTCACGAAAAGTCCTCACACAAACTATACATCATTGTCGCGATGAATACAGAAACCTGAGGGTGTATTTCACCGGTCGCAACAGTATCTACAGCATTCTGCCTCGAGCTGTGTAAGCGAAATGTGCCATGCATGGGCTCCGAGCCACGAATCGCTAAGTTGAAAGGTAATTTGAGATCTGGACAACAACACGTCTCATTCAACAGAGGATGTTTCATGGCACGCAGACAAGTTGATTCTTCAGGATCAACGCTGGTTTTGGTCTCGAAGATTGAAAAACGTGATGCGTCGATACATGGAGCATTTCAATGATAGACAATCTGGTTCTACGCAGTCGCCGTATTCCTGAGCGTTTCACTCTCGGTCGCCGAAAGCGAAGACTCGGCGGTCTCTGTGAGAGATGGTCGAGCCGGACTGAGATCCGTGCTTGGTCGGGCGATGGACGCTGTAGCAGTCCTCTCGATCGATCCGCCCGAATAAGTCGACGTTCTGGAAAACGCGTCGGTGGATGTAGAATTATCGGAGTCCCACTTCAGCATCTTTTCGGTTTCGTCCATCATGTTCGCGTAATTCTTCTCTAGACCGGCTCGGTCGAGTCTCCACCAGACTATGATGCCGACAAACGCAACTACGGTCGCCGCACCGGCCGCTAGATACCCCAACCTGAGTCAGTAAATGTGTCGTTTGGAACGTAAATGCGAGACTTACTCCAGAGAAACCACGTTTGTTTGTAAATGGGTTTCTTCCGCAAATCACCCATCTTGCCATCTGCTCGTTCCTCGTCAAACGATTCACGTTCTGAAACGACGAAATCTTTGTTGGAGCCCATGTCTAGTACTATATGTCAAAGGGAGGTAAGGAAAGGGTTTGTTGGTACGGAATAGAAAGTAGGCAGCTGTCTCCTAAAATTCCAAGGTTCAAGCTCGAACGATAGAGAAGCTTAAATACAGTAACCGGAACCTCTATATTCCTGGTAGTCCTCCTGTTCGACCGGGTGAAGCATGAAAGGATGTCGGTTTCCAGCCTCGAGGATGAAACGAGGGGTGAAACATCCTGGTGCATGATGAAACACGACTCGAGGCATCCAGTCGTCCGTTCTGGGCTGTGTCAGGTTCAGTGACCGATTCGCAGCAGCCAGTCGACTAGCCAGAGAACATGATCTGGACTACGAGCGGAAGCTGCGAAGCGTTCAAGGTAGAGGTTTCCTTTCGAATGTCCCTGAGTCGAGGCCTCCTGCGCGCAAGTCGCATGAGGAACGCCAGCTGCTAATCGTCGGGCACACAAGGAAAGCATTTGATATAACACATACATCGGAGCTTTGAAATATATGAACTTAATAATGTCAACCTTGTCAACTCGCTGCAATCCACGTCACTTCTGGAGAAGACGTAGACGTCAAATGCACGCCGCGTCTGTATCCATATCCAGACTTTGAATACCTTTTTGGGTGACGTCTTTGTAGCAGGCGCCACCACATGTGATATCAATCTTCTGTATGCCGTTACAGACTTTCAACACAGACTCCGACCTCCGAAGCTGTTTCTCCTCGGACCAAGGCTGTCGACCGCCACACCCTTACACGCTGAGAAAGGCAGAAAAGCGAATCGAATACCCACTCCCGGGTCGATCTGATTGACCCTGCTTCGATGACCTCGCTGAGGACGCGTCGTATACACTTCACCGTCAAGAGACGATCGACCGCGTAAGCCTGGACCGGGGAACCTTTGGAGAGTTCCAAGTTGTATATATATACTGTAGCGTGGCCAGGTCGATCGAGCTGGGAGGCGGGCAAAAGTGCAAGCAAGTCCGAGACGTGTTTTATTCTGCTCGTCTCGTGTGACGAACATTCCATCTTTTTAGCTTTGACACGACTCAGTGTCCCCGAGATGCGGCCCGCTACCAACAGGTGCAAGGCTCAAATACGCCTCACTTCGCACTGCAGGGTGGTTAAGGTTCAAGAACGGACATCCCAGACTCTACCAACTCCGTTGAACAGCTCTTACACCCGGCTATCTCGGCATGCGATGGATGACGAATCGAGTCTCGGTAGCAATTCAACACACGTCATCATCGCCTGATCGGGGGGATTTTGTTCGGCACATGGCGCGCTCGGCAATCAACACCAGCCCGTTGCTACCAAACCTTCGAGATGGTTCTCGCTGATCGCTGATCCAGCCACAAAAGTGGAGGCAGAGAGCGATCGAACCGGTTACTAATCCACGTTGGTCAGCTAGGTAGAGGAAAAAAATTGTCAATACGTCACTTCTCTCTTCTTGTCGCTACCTCGTGCGGTTTCGTCCGTCGCAAAAGCAAAAAGATCGCCGTTCAACATCTTTCGGTTTCGATAAGAAAGGATAAATATCGACCTCCTATCCGCACAACTTTTCCTCCTCAACCCTCGCCTCCCTCTTTCAAGACATTCGCACTCTATACTCACAAACCTTTACACCCAACGCATAATCATCCCCTACACCAACAATGCCTTCTTTCACCGTATTCAAGGGATCCAAGGACGGCTCGGTTGTCAAGAGCACCACCACCAAGTCGGATGAGCTCACCGGAGATTTCGTCCGACTGAGGGTCACCGCCTCTGGGATCTGCGGTACCGACTTGCACTACGTGAGTCATCACACGCAGCTCAATCGACGTTAGCCCTTTTTGCTTACTTACTCTTCTCAATCGCTTGCAGCTCAAGCAAGACATGGTCCTCGGCCACGAAGGAGTCGGTATCGTCGAGGAGACTGGACCCGACGTCAAGTTCCTGAAGAAGGGCGACCGCGTCGGATGGGGCTACGAGACCGACGCATGCGGGCACTGCCTCGAATGCCTCAAGGGCGAGGAGATCTTTTGCCCTGAACGTGCCATGTACGGGTACGCCAACCCCGACCAGGGTTCGTTCGCCGAGGGAGCTGTTTGGAGGGAAGCTTTCCTCCACCCCATCCCTGATGGTGTTTCTGACGTTGACGGTGCGCCCCTCCAGTGCGGGGGTGCTACGGTCTTTACTGCGGTTCACACCGCTGCGGCTACCGAGGTGATCGGGGTGATGGGTATGGGAGGTCTCGGACACCTGGCCATCCAGTTCGCAGCCAAGATGGGATGCAGGGTCGTCGTCCTCTCCGGTACCGACTCTAAGAAGTCCGAAGCCGAACGACTGGGGGCCCACGACTTTATCGCCATGAAAGACAAGAAGGCCGAGGACCTCCAGAACGTCGGGTTCAAGCTCGACCGTCTCCTGGTAACCACCTCCGCTCAACCCGACTGGTCCCTCATCCTCCCCCTTATGGCCACCCGTTCAAAGATCTACCCCCTCTCCGTCTCCGAAGGAAACTTTTCCATCCCCTACATGCCCCTGCTGGCGAACGGGATCACCATCCAAGGTTCCCTCGTCGCCACCCGATCGGTCCATAGGGAGATGCTGGCCTTTGCCGCTTTACACCAGATCAAGCCGGTAGTCGAGACCTTCCCCATGACCGAAGCTGGGATCAAGGAGGCGCTCGAGAAGTTGGAGAGTGGGAAGATCCACTTTAGGGCTGTGCTCGTCCCCGAGTCCAAGTAAGGGGTCGGGCGACGGTGTCGACTCTTGACTCGAGAGAATCAAGAGAATAGATGCCGGTGGTGTGTAAACGCATAGAAATAGATGCCAGATATACCGGTCCCATGTAGCCAAAACAATATCGAATCATAGTATAAAAGCGATCGTCCAGCACAATCGCGTCCCCGGATGGTATGCCTCGGTCCTCCGCTTTGCGTTCAGCTCGTTTCCATTCACTTTGGGATCCTTGGACCGGGTCGTCGAAAGGCTACGATTGACATGTTGTATCGATAGCGGCGACATCGTTCGACGTTGTATCGTATCAAAATATGTTCGCATCGTAACCAAGTCCTGCTTTATAATTCTACGCACGAGCCGCTTGTCAAGGACGAAAAAGCCAGGCATATTATGCATATGGGCATCATATCTCATCTTGGTCTCGAGAGTACAGGTGTGATTCTGATCTACTGTGAAAAGAAACGATCTGAAAAGGCGGCAAGACCCTACTCTACTCCATAGCCGGAGTATCGGCGTAAAGATTCGCGCCAACCCCCTGAGGGTACCTGTCGCCTCCTACTTCAGCAGCTTTGATGACCGTCTGCAATTGGTCGATCTCGTTTTGTTCGAGGTGAACCTGTCCGGTGGCGACGTTCTCCTCCAGAGACTTGATTTTGGTCGTCCTGTAGCAGAAATTGACCGTATATATGTGATCAGATTTCTCGCGCGCTGTGCCCGTCCACATATTATTGTACATCGTGTAAATCACTCACCCAGGGATTGCGAAGACCATGTCTCCTCGCGTGAGAAGCCAAGCCAGAGTAAGTTGACCGGCCGTACATCCCTTGGCTTGAGCAATCTCGGTAAACTTGTCGACCACCTTGAGACTCTTGGGGAAGTTCTGGCGAGCGAGACAAAGGGTCGATGCAATGCGAGGATCCGAAAAGTTGTCAGTATAAATATAGCTAGACATACAGTAAGTAGAGGAGACTGGGAAAACGCGTTCTTTCTCACCTCCTCGCTGAATCTGGGGAACCACCTTCGTCCGTCATCCGGCGCCAAGTCGTTCGGCGACCTGTATTTACCGGTCATCATACCTCGACCTGAGCAATCGGCGATGGCGATGCATATCGAAAAGCGACACGGTTCAGTTATCGTTGACCCTTTTCTTGGTTTATCTCTGTGAGCCATTTCCACTCGACTGACCAAGCGGACTGTAGGCTACCAAAGCGACGCCCAATTCTTCACAGGCCTTCTTGACCCCGTACCGTTCATCGTCATCCTGTTCGCACTCGAGCGAGAACGGCGAGTATTCGAGCTGAACGGCGTCGACGTGTTCAACCTTGACGGCACGGTAAAGGGTCCTTGCCGATACCTCGGACAGCCCGATATACTTGATCTTGCCTTGTCTATATCATTGCGTTTGCGTTGTACCATAAGTCTCAGTGTTCGCTATAGTATGATCCAGATTTCGACCCGTGACGCTCACTGCTTGAGCTCCTTCAAGGCTTCCATGGTCTTTTCGATCGGAGTGACGCCGTCTACACGGTGGCTACAGTATACCATGGCAATCGGATTTCAGCGTAAGCGAACATGATCGACTGAAGCTCTGATAGTGTCTCATAGCAGTGCAGACAAGCTCACCAGTAGTAAAGATCGACGTAATTCAAGCCGAGCTTGCTCAAGCTCTGATCGATCGCCCACTTGATGTACTCGGGAGACGAATCGTTCTCGGTGTTGTTGTTCTTGAAAGAGAACTTGGTCGCCAGGAATACTTTGGCACGGGCATCAGGTCGGCTCTTGAAGTAACGTCCGAGCATCTCTTCGTTATCACCGTACATGTCGGCAGCTATCGTAGAGATGAACGGTACAGTACGTTTCAGTTCGTCGTGCGAGACACAGCGCGATGCGATGCGGTAACATTGGCGCTTAGGAAGACTTACTGTCCCAGAAGGTCTCGCCGATCTCGATGGCCCGATCGAGAATCTTGAACCTATCCTCGTCAGAGCCTGCAGCTCCGTAGAAGACGCTCATTCCCATCAGGCCGAGACCGAGACGGGGTACCAAGGGACCTTGAGATCCTAGTCGTGCGGTAGGAAGCGTGCTTTGAGTCGATGACATAGTAAGAGAGAATCGAGATTTAGAGTTGAATTATCGATTGGAGATGCTCTAAGGTTGTTTGTAATGATGTCCTTCCTCGTCGAAGTGAGATCAGCCAGGTGTCACACCGACCCTGTTGAACCCTTTATATACAACTGCTCACCCGCCATTCCCTGTTGGGCCAGCTCGCAACCGGGTGCGCTTACTCACCTTTTTCGGATCTCCTGTAGCTCCGGGACCTCCGTGATCTGCGTGACCACGCGACGCCACCTCCGCTTGTGATCGGTCATCGATACGGGAGTAGATTCGGGGCGGGGACTATCAGTGATCACGGTACGGAAATACAATTCCTCACATGTCGGGCTACGGGAGGTTTTGCGCTTAGATAGGATGCTTGAACCGTACAGTATATAATGCTGCTCGAATCGAGACTGATCGCAGCGGCAGAATCAGTCGAGGCGCTTATACCCATCCGCATCGACATCCGTACGGACCTACGCCTTCAATCATCGTCTACCGCCTCTTTCTCCAATCGAATCCATAGTCATCATGGCCATCTTCAGCTCGCTCATCAACCCAACTGAAGGCACTTCGCGCTTCATGTGCACTGTCGCTTTCAAGTGAGTCGACGGCGTTGCCCATTTCCAATCCTATACCTGATTGACCACTCGCCTTTCCGTCTCCCGACCGTCAGCTACCTATTCCAAGCCCTAGGCGCTTCCGTCGCCATCCCGCTCAAGACGACCTTTTTCTATGACCTCGCCGCGGCAAGCGGTTTCATCTCCACCACCATCTTCTCCTTATTTTACCCCAGCTTCAAACTCTTCGCCAAGGACGCTTGGAAACGGGGATTGACGGACCGCGCCACTCTAGCCAGTTTCCAAACCGACCTCGTTCGCTCGTTCGGCGATCTTAGCACCAGACAGGTCGTCATGGGAGGAATGATCGTAATCTGGGCCGTCCGCCTGGGTTTCTTTCTTTTCCACGTATGTCCCTACTGTGTACCAGTTGCTATCCCCACATTACATTCGCCGTCTTTGCCTGATCGCGGTAAGACCTTCATCTACATCCATTTATACCGTACAGCGAGTCTTGACGCACGGCGAAGACTCTCGTTTTGATGCCATAAAATCCAACCCTCGAGTCTTTGCTGGGGCATGGACGGGCCAAGCTACATGGGTGTTTATGAGCAGCATGCCCCTCTGGATCGTCAACACCATCCCCAACATGGGCTCCAACATTCCTCGATTCGGCTCGATCTTCGATTGGGCTGGGGTGATCACCTGGTTGACGGGTTTTGGGTTGGAGGTACTTGCCGATCATCGTACGTCGGCGTCAGCATTATCAAATACTGAGCACTGCTGAGCTCATTTCCCTACCCTCTTATATTTTGTTTCATCGTATCGCTCTCGTACCGCACCTCAGAGAAATCGGTCTGGAGACGAGCCAAAGATTCCAAGAAACACGACGAACGGTTCATCACCTCTGGCCTTTGGAGCTGGTCACGTCATCCCAAGTAAGCCAGCATTCCCTCTCTGTCCTCTCGAATCTCCTCTGCCCTGATTCTGGAAATCAACTCGCTGCGTTCTTATGGCGTGAGGATTTCTCATCCGGATACTGACGTACCGGTTCTTTCCTTTGATCGCTGCGCGCACCGCAACGCTCGCTCTAATGTAGCTACGTAGGCGAGATCATCCTCTGGACCGGCCCATCCCTCCTGTCCCTCTCGCCTCTCCTCTCCAACCTCCCTTCTCACCCTCACTCCAATTATAGTCTCACCAACTACATCCCCCTGCTCGCTGCGTTCACCCCGGCAATATTCGAATACCTCGCGCTGAAATATGCGACGGGCGTACCTCCCCTGGAACAGATCGCGCTAGACAAGTTTGGGGACGATCGAGCGTGGAGCGAGTATAGGGAGAAGGTACCTGTTTTGTTCGCTTGGCCTGGATCAAAGATTTAAGATCTGAGATCCGAGATTCGAGACCAGAGCTAGGCTCGATCCAAGTCGAGGATAAATAGTATAGGTCTCGTTGACGGAGACGAAGATTAAAGCTCGTGATAGAGGCGACCTTCCCACGGGTTTTGAGCGGCAAATTGTGCGAGACGCGATATGCCTTGAGCTTTCGCTTTGGCGATTCCGCTGTCACGCGATATCATTGCATGAAATTTTCGTAGGCATGTGACCTGTGTTCTCTGGTATCGAGCTCACATCCAAGCGTAAAGATCGTCCTCGATGCCATCTGTTTGTAGATAGAGCCTGTTTGCACAGGTTATGCGGTGACATCTGCGTAAGCGCGATTATGTCCCAAAACCTGAAAAGGATTATGCTCACCAGAGAGGATCCGTCGGATCAAACCGTTCAGGCGAAGCATCGAATGGCGCAACATTCTCCATACGAGAAGCATGCTGGGTTAAAAGTAGTGTAAGCAAAAACCAGCCTGGCGCGGGGGTAAACGCGTAAAGTGAGAGCGATCGCCCGTACCATTTCATCGCCTGTCATCTCTCGAGTCGACTCTGCTGTGTCGTTCATGCTCTCGAGGTGTTGATACACATAGGCGCGCAGGCGACTGTAGTATACCAGCAAGGTACTCCAGGTATCCCCTACAGAGATATGCTTATTCGAAGCTCCCGCTTGACACATGGCGTCGATGAGCTCGATGGTCCGTGTCGATTGTTGGCGATCGCAGAACGGCACGGCCTGATATTAACAAGTCGGTTGTAAGCCTCCGATCGTGTAAATCGGTAACGGTTCTGGGCGACGTACCGCGTAGATCATAGTCCCGAATCTAGAGATATGGGTAAAGGCGGAAACGCACCAGTATTCCAGGTCATTCTTCTCCGAGAGCTCGGCAACGTTCGACAAGGCCAGCAGACACGCATCGATCCAGTCGTCCTTCGAAGCATCGCTACCTTCCTGAACATGTCGAGCGTAACTGTTATCGCAGTTCAAGATCGCACTATGTGTCGAGAGGAGTCGAAATGAGCCCGGCGCAAACTTGTGGGCGTGGTCGACTAGCCAGTATTGGCGATAGGCTTCATGTATCCTGGTCATCTCCGCTACTTGCAAGAGCCTTAGCGGGTCAGACGGTATGGGGCCGGATCGCGTCAAGTCTTCGTGGGCTTTCAGCAGGGGGGCTAGGCTGCAGTGCGAAGGGTCCAGACCAAGGGATTCAGCGTTTGCTTGGCCCGTGCTTGGAGGCGCAGACTCACTCCAAAGAACAGGCGAGATGATTATCGATTGCCACGGTGGAAGGTAAAGCGGCTTCCGCCCATTCTCGCAAGCCAGTCAGGTCGCTAGCAATGGCAGACGACATCTTGAAGATGTGACTGCTCGGACTTCAGCGATCGACATGCAGTAGAATTGGCCGCATTACGATCTCACCTGTAGCTATGAACAGGTGTAAGTCATCCGACTCTCCAGATGTCGTGAAGGCTGACTTACTACCGATCGACGCCTGTCAGCGACATACGAGGTTCAGTACCATGTCCTCTGAGATTCTGGACGCTTGCTGATTTGACTCACAAATCAAACCTGGAGCGAGTGTGAGCCGCGAAGGCTAATAACATCAGCTGGCGATATGACTCGGATGGGCCGTAGGTTCGACTTGCAGTACCATGTCCGTTGCCCGTTCTGCAAACACGGGCAAGGGACACGAGTGTCGGTTCACGGACTGTAGCATCGCCCTGATCCTAAACGAGCTTACTCTCAATCGCCGAATATCCGAAATGCTCCTATTCAACGTCGACATCCCCGGCGTCCTGTTTAACCCAGCTTGATACGCCATCCGGATTGCCAACCCGGACTTTAACCAGACCGACCGATCTTTAGGTTCTTGCCAAAAGACCAAGATGATGATAGCCTGGATGGTGGCGATGTGGCAGTTCCCGGTCTTGGTCGATTCGGAGATCTTGGTCTCGAGGAGTTGTTTGATAAGAGGATGGGCTGTTGGGTGGAAGAACCTGGTTGCGGCGAACATTATGGCGAGGAAGAGGGTTGGTTGTTCTTCCCTTACGAAGGCGAGGGTATGTACTGTAATGCGGGACAAGGTTCAGCTTCCTTTCCTTGTTAAAGAACATTGGCCTCGACAAGACGATCCGAACGCACGTTCAGGATCCAGGAGAACGATTAACGGACTGAGAAGTCGAGTGAATCTGTTTTACGGCAAAGCGATCCATCTTAGCTACCCATCTCATCAAAGGTCGTCTTCCCGACTTTGTAATCGATCGACTCTCTCTCACTTACTGGTCGAATAACCATCTTATCTCGACCTCCTCAAGAATCCCTAACACCTCCGGGTCATACCTCATCGCCCGCTGATTCTCAGACAAGAGAAACCCATCACCCGCAAAAGTCTTTATAGCTAGGTTTGAGTTGTTGTTGTTGTTATTGTGATCAGATTCGGGGGGATGAGCTCCAGGGTCAAGATGAGCATCGATATCCAGTTGATGTAGGTGAGGTTGTTCGTAAGGCCGGTAGTCCGAGTCGGTATGATTTTGGCTTTGTGATCGACCTGAGGATGTGTTTATCGTTTTTGTAGAGGAAGGACGAGAATCGAAAGCCTGGATGTGCGGGACGTTATCTATACCTTCTCGCAGCCTTTCTACGCTGCTTTTGATGTAAAACCGATTGTGATCAGTAGCGAAGACAGATTTGACCCCTATCTCACAAACTTACCGAGATTCACGAGCGATGCTAGACGTATTCGATACCGGTGCTCGTCTCGCACGGCTACCCTGGGAGACGATGCAGGCGGTTCCCATACGGAGGCAGCGATTACAAGCAGGTCTTGTCGCTCCAATGTTGCTGGGACCGGCGGTGGGAGTCCTGACGCATCGTCCCTGTTGTATCGTAAAGATGATGATTAGAGGATTCAGTATGCCATGATGGGGTACCGAACTTGTGAGCAGGTTGATGGACTCGCCTTGATAGCCCTGCATTCGTCGCATCTGCATGAAAAACGATTATGTATCGAGCCAGACTTCTTTCAGCGTTATAGCTCGAGGGATCCGCTGTCCAACCTTTGCAGGGGATCGCAAAGAAGGGGTAGACTCACGCTTGACCTGGTCGAAGCATCAACCCTCTCGACGGATGATTGTACATCTTGGGTGTTGCCGACATGGCCCCCTGAAACTGTATCCGCTTAGTGTCTGTGGACGATGTCTATGCTTGTCCGAGAGTATGTATGAGCCAGGGTCTGGGTATGAGTGAATGACAGATATCGAGATTGAGCGAGCTCGAGGTGATCAGATGAGAAACAATCTCGCGACCCCTATTCGTTCTGACGACGAAGACCGAGCCTGACTCGATCGAAACCCGATTCATCACGTCGATCATCGATCAGACAAGTGTCACCATCATGTCTAACTCTCAACCATAAAAATCGCCCCGGAACAATGATGAATACTTTTTCCCATTCTAGTTGTATATACTACAAAGCCCATCTGACATCAGAAACACGAAAATATTTAATGCTCGAACCTGAAGTTCAGCTTCTTGTTCCCCTTATCCTCCGTTGTAGCAAGATAATGCGCCTTTTCTTCATGAGTCCAAGCGTCCCAAATCCTCGCCCTCGAACGGTTCTTGTATATGTAATAACCTTTGGCGAACCCGAAGAGGACGAGGTTTCCGGCGACGATACCGAGGAGGACCTTGTTCCCGCGTTTATAGTAGGGAGCGTCGTTGGTCCGGTAGACGTTGGAAGCGACTAGGGAACAGGCTTGGACGAACATGTTGTATACCGAGCTGGCGACTGTACGGGTTCGGACCGATCCGGCATTCTATCGTGGTCCACCAGAAGGGTTTCGTCAGGCCCGTTCGATGCTCCCATCTGCTTTGGAACGCCATCCGCGAAGACTCACCGAACTCTGCATGGAGACGAGGATAGGATGAGCGTACGGGTACGCCAAGAGTAACGAGAGGATGGCCCATTTCGCCCACTTGTCGGTCGAATCGGGGATGACGACGAGTACGAGTAGTAAGATGAGTTGCCACCAGCTTCCGATGGAGGCGATCCCGAGCCGGTCTTTGAACCGTTTGCTGGAAAAGGAGAGGGCTAGGTTGTTGAGGATGAAGAGGACCGAGCTGGGGATGGTAAGGAGGTTGGTATGGAAGGTGTTGAAGCCGCTGAAATTATCGTGTTGGTATCAGCTTCGGGACATCATCGTGGAAACGGGACAGTAGCAGACTTACAGGCTTCGTAAAGTCAAGGTAAAGTAGGCGCCAACAGTCGCAGGTGCGAGATAGGTCGTCAATCCGAGCTGCAATCCGGGCGTTGAATCAGTACCGTGACATGGGCTCTGATGAACCTTCGGCACGCACCAGGTAGACAGGCCACATGTCGAAATCCAAGAGCGAACGCTTCAAATCGGTCAACGACAACCCCTCGCGGTTGTGCATGTCGGACTTGGTAGGATCATCACGCAGTACCCTGTTGACGATGATCGTCTCTTCTCGAGCGTTGAACCAGGGTTTCTTGCGCCATCGGGTTACTGTCTGGGTCGGAGAGGCTGGAAGGTAGAAGAATGCGAATAGGCCGACGAAGAAGGTGAGGATACCTTCGAGCATGAAAAGCCAGCTATGGTACAGGGAATGAGGCGATGGCGATATTAGCGTTGCACTCCCGCTGATGTCGATGAGTGTACTTGAGTCGAACTTACGCCCAACCGGGAAGACCGGCGATACCTCTCATCTTGAGTAGACCGGCTGCGAGGAGTGCTCCGATGATGTTCGTCGCGGTCAACGAGACCCAGAAGAAACTCAACCGAATAGTAAGCTCAGCAGAGGCTACGAGAAAAAGGCTTGTTAAAATCTACGTCACGAACGATTCTTTGTGCAACTCACTGTAGTAGTAGCTCAGGTAGAGGATGGTATCGGCAATGAACCCGCCCTCGATCAGACCGAGCAGAGCCCTCGTCACGTAGAATCCGGTCTTGTTCTTCAGAGCGAACTGGGCCATGGCGACGATGGACCAGCTCATCATCTGGATGGGGATCCAAACGTCCGAGCCAAGTTTCTTGGAAACTGAGAGAAGGGAGGAGTTGTGATGAGATGCGAAGAGGAGGTTGCCGGACAGAAGAGGCACTCACTCAGTTGAGAGGGAAGCTCGGCAGCCAGGAAACAGACGTAGAAGATCGTCATTCCCGTGTTGTCTGCACACAATCAAATCACATCAGTAACGTGTTGCGGCAGCTCCGGACGTAAAGGACTGACAATCGTTGGTGGTCATGTGGATGTCCTTGATGAAATTGTCGGACAAGGCGTTTGAGATCTGGTAGCATCGGTCGAGACGACCGTAATCAGAACAGAGGGAAGAAGCGACGGATGAATCGGGTTCCACTCACGTTACCCCTATCCAGTTGCAACGCGGCGAAGCAGACACAGGCGACAAAGGCCACCTTGAAGTCTAGCCGTGTGTAAAGAGGTAACGATACCCGCGGTCAGTCCGATGAAGGCGGGGGAGCGAGAATGCCTCGGCCTACCTAACGTGCGCCGGATCTTGGTTTCCTCTTCCTTGGTCCAGGTCGCTTTGGGATCCCATCGATGTTTCGACTCGTACGAATCGGGAGGTTCGAAAAATCTGTACAACAGAACGAAGATCCACGTCAACGAAAGTCATAGGGCGAATATTAACCTATGACGACACGGTACTGACTTGTTGATAAGATCGTCCTCTGAACTATATGCGGACGAGCTCTGATAACCGACAACGTCATGCTTGTTCAATTCGGTGTCGGGAGAGAGACCAAGGCTCTTTTCGTCGTCCGATTCGCGAGGTGAGCTGGGAGAGGCCGATCGTATCTGTACGTTGATCGGATCTCGGACTGTGACCGCATGAGTGTCGACGACGTGGGGAGCCGGGATCGACATGGCGACTGCCAGAGTGTGGATTTGCTAGCTTGCGATCCATCTTTCGTGAATGCTCGGAATCCTGGGAATGTGGCCAACTTTTCGTTATATATCCCTTGGTTCAATTTGCAGGTGCTCCCTCGACATCCTTGAAAGCACGTTTTCATCGGGATTGTTGGTGTGATCGATGTTGTGCCCGTCGAATGCATTCCAGGATTGGAGAATTGCGGAATGTCTGATACGCCGTACATCCGGGCTGGTTTGTGTGTGTGCGATAAGTGCTATCTCTGATCGAGGAGTGTTGCCATCGGATCGAGCGAAGACGACATCGATACGGGATTGCAGAACAGGGAAGTTCAGAAGGAGAGGGTCGAACAGATTCGGCTCCGAGAATGACGCGACCTCGAATAGCGCCATCGTCTTCCAAGCGCGATAGGGGTCGATGGCGTGATCCGGCGTACTGGTCTCGATGGTTATGTCGTTTCAGCGATATGTCCGAGCGTTGCACACATCGAAATGGGATGACCAAGCCATAGAGAGTGCTTATCGCTGACGCCTTATCCACTGATGATCATCTCATCGCATGATCCGGCGATGCCGACTCTCGAGCACGACGTTCGGCGATGTTGCCATCTCGGCATTGCAGAAGGGATTATCGAGCAGCGCCGTATGTTGATTCAGACAATACGTCTGGAGGACATGGAATGGAATGATATAAGAGCTTGAGTATTTCCTCGGGAGGGTTATCGATTGTCAACAGGAAAGCAACCCAAAACATCTTCTCACATCCTTTCGCGCCACCATGCCCATCGCCACTCAACAACAACCTAAGTCGACCATCGACAGCCTCAAGTCGGCGCTCAAGGAGACGGTCATATCTGATACCTCCTCCGCGATCACTTCGCAAGCCGCGGATTCATCCGAGCTGACCGACAAGTATTCGAACTTTGCCGCTACTCCCGCCACGGGGACCGAGTTCCGAGCTTTCTCGACCGATGGCAAGCCCACGTTGAGCATCCGGGAGGTTTTGGAGGACGAACAGAAGTTGGCGCAGCTCGGCAAGCTTGTGTGAGTGACTTCAGTCAGCGCCGAGAGGGTTACCATACCGACAAGTACTTCCATTCTGCAGCTCGGAGCGCGGCGTCGTCTTCTTCCGTGACGCCGTCATCTCCCCTGAAGAGCAGATCTCCCTCGTCGACAAGCTGGGCAAATTGGGTGGCAAACCCGCCGACAGCGGCCTGCACATCCATCCTCTCACGCTCGAGGGTGGAAAGTATGGGGACGAGATCTCGGTCATCTCCAACGAGTTTGTCTTCGATAGCAAGTTTGAGAGGCCCAAGAGGTTGAGGGTCAAGGGGGACACTCTTTGGGTACGTAGTCGTGCGTGATTGCAAGATGAGTGGATGATGCTGATGCGTGCGGGTATTGTCTTCGTAGCACTCGGATGTTACTTTCGAGACCAAGCCTTCGGACTATGCAACACTTCAGATCAGGACTTTCCCGGCGGTGGGGGGTGATACCTTGTGGGCGTGAGTGCGGTTAGAATGTTATACCAGACGTTCTGAAGCTGATCCCTTTCCGGGTTGGATGGCATCGCAGTTCGGCTTACGAGGCATACGATCGACTCTCGCCTTACTACCAAAAGTTCCTCGAAGGTCTCACGGCTTTCCATTCGGCGCCCTTCTTTGTCGAACAAGCCAAGAACAAGGGTGTACCCGTCCGCGAAAACAGAGGATCGCCGGATAATAAGGGGCAGCACTTGACCAACTCGCACCCCGTCATCAGGACCAACCCGGTCACTGGATGGAAGGGTCTGTTCGTCAACCGCGGTTTCACCAAGAAGATCAACGAGCTCAACCAGGACGAGTCGGACCATTTGTTGGAGTTCTTGTTTGCTCACGTCGCATCGGTGAGTCAGGCCGATCGTGTACTTTCGTTCTCACGAACAAGACTGAATTTGTTTCGCCCATGCAGAACCACGACCTTCAAGCCAGGTTCCGATGGGAGCCCAACAACCTCGCCATCTGGGACAACAGGAGCGCTTTCCGTGAGTCTTCACACCTGGCTATGAATTTTTGATGACTGCTGATATATCGACCGGGTGTATCGTAGACGCCGCCACTTACGATCTCGGCGACGATGTGCGTATTGGAACCCGTTCCGTCTCGGTCGGCGAAAAGCCGTACTTCGACCCCGAGTCCAAGAGTAGGCGGGAGGATCTGGATTCGAGGAACAAGGTTTAGATTCGAGCTTAGGCGATATGTGATCAAATCGAAGTTGTATAAAATGAAATTAGACAGTATCGAGGCGCATCTTAGGGTGCCCTTGTATATACGTTGATTAATGAAATAGATATGAGTTGAGACACGTATTCCTGCGGGGAACTTGTTGGAGCATCAACACTGCACCGGCTCAGGCTTGAGACTACGAAAGGCTATGTTTCGGGTTTCGCATTGCCCTATACACACTCTCCTGCTCTGGTCAGTCGTTCTTCGTGCCCGACCATGCCGTCGTGAACACAATAATATATCAGCGTGCGTGAAGACTGCACAGATGCAAATCGTGCCCTGATCTCAGTCTCCCTGTGAGGACCGTAGGCTAGGGAACCGAACGTCTGGTCTGCCCGCCAACGTTTGTACCCTATACTGTACAGTCTATTTGTCTCTGTAAATGATTATGGCCAGTACCTCGTGTCGAGGTGGACATCTTCTGCCGGGCGGCCATTGAGCGGTATACTATATCCAGGGATTATGCTCAGCTTCTTATATCCCACGCGCCCAAAACTTGAGCATGAGCGACGGGGGTCTCAGCGACTTCACGTGAACAAGACAAGCGTTCATACTTTCGACCCGCCAATCTGCATCCCGGTCGACAGTGGATAGTTTCAGGGAAAGCAAATGGTGCTCCACTAAATACAATACACCTGCTATACCGGTAGCAAGCCTTGTTTCACACCACAAGATGCAGTTCTGTGACAACATCAAGCGCTCAAGGATCTTTCATTGAGACGACCGGAAAATCAAGCGTTCCTCTAGGGCACCGAAATCTGGAATGGTTTACACTTGTTTGTGTATTGCTTTCACAGGGGTCACACTTGTTTGTTATTCGATCTGACACCCAGTACGTTCCGTTGATTCACAGCCTGTCCTCTTCTAATCCTGTTTATCGTTCCCTCGGCGCTATGCGGATGTGCGACCGATTGCTATTGCTTTCCTGAAACAAACCTCATACACGCAACGGCAGCGACTTGAGTCAGTATGCCATCAGCAAGGACACACGGCAGGATCAAGAGGAGACGGACCAAATCTGGAACGATTGGAAAGGATTCTCCGGCGTCCCAGCGACCTGTACCGGGTAAGCTAGAGGACGATCAACCGGATTCCGCGTGTACGTCTTCTTGATTGTCCCTCTTTTGACGAGGAGGCGCGGCGAAACCCGAATGGTGAAACCTTCTCGGATAGTTTCCCATGGAAAGTCGGTCGTCGTGCCCCCCCGGGCCGGGCAGCTCCGTGTCCGAGAGGCTGGCAGCTGATGATCCTTTGGCGCAACAGCGTGTGATCTTTCGATTGCCCCCGATCCCGTCCACTGTCCGAAGCACGTGTCGCGCTTACGTCTCGATGCACATGGAGAGATGTCCGCATGTTCCCTGGCTGAAAGAGGAGCGCTAGGCTGATATTCGGTCGACCGGAGTATGGAACAAGCAAGCAGGCCAGAGGTGGATGTCGCTCTTTTTGTCCCGACTACTATCCGTTCGTCCTCGATCCTTGATGGCATCGCCATCCCATTCCGGGGCAAACACTTTTGGATATATACAGGGGCCAGGAGATAGGGGGGCCCTCGACCTTCGACATGCGGGGGTCCATCCTGATCGCCTTCAAACGACTTTGCCCGACAACGACACCTTGCCATACATCGAGGATCTTGTCGACAACATGGTGCTCTCACCCAAGACCTATACTTTCCTCTGTGGTTGCTTTGCAGCCCTAGGTTCGATTCTTTTCGGTTATGTGAGCTCGGGCTTCTTGTCTTTCCACTTTCCTTACTCGACGAGCCAGACGACTGACGTGCTCTCTCGACCTCGACATCGATTTGTATTTGTAGGATCTCGGAGTCATCGCGGGAGTGCTCCCCGCTCCCGACTTTTTGCGGGTCATGGACCTCGAAGACGACCCCAACGGGAACTGGATCGGGTTCATCTCCAGTTCACTCTTGTTGGGAGCGTTTTGCGGTTGTATCCCGGCCTCGTTGGCTGCTGATATGCTCAGCCGAAGGACTGCCAGTGAGTTGTTATTGTTACCTTTGCCTGACCTTAAGCCGCGGGGAAAGAGCCGGAATTTGACATTGACGGGAATGTTTCTCTTCCTTCGTAGTCTTTATCGGAGCTCTCTGGTTCATTCTCGGTGGTGTTCTGCAGACCGCGGCCATGAACCGAGGGATGATGCTGGCTGGTCGATTTATCGGGGGGTTCGCCATCGGACAACTCAGTTTCCTCGCCCCGTTGTACCAGACCGAGATCGGTGAGCAGCGCCCGTTCTTTCCATACAATTCCGAGATCTTCCCTCTGATACTCTGTCCTCTATCCTTGCTCGCCCACAGCCCACCCTTCCAACCGAGGTCGACTGGCGACGCTACAACAATTCTTCCTAGGGATCGGCGCCCTGATCGCATCCTTCATCGTCTACGCCCTCGAAGTCACCCAACCCGGCACCGTCATGCAATGGCGTCTCCCCCTCGGCCTTCAGCTCTTCCCCTGTATCCCGCTGGCTTCGATGATCTTCCTCTTCCCTGAATCTCCTAGGTGGTTGATGAGCGTCGGAAGGGAGGAGGATGCCATTGCCAGTTTGGCACGGTTGCATGCGCATGGAGATATTCACGATCCGTTCGTTGTTAATGAGGCGGCTGAGATCAAGGCTGGGGTCATGTACGACAAGCAGGCCGAGCAAGGTTGGAAGAAGGTAGGTCGTGCCATGCATTCCATCGAATCCTTTTTCTCGGTTGCTGATTTTCAACCCCCTGTTGTTCGCCCTGCCATTGTAGGTCCTCGGAGACAAGTCCAACCTCCGTCGAGTCTTTATCGGAGTCATGCTCCAGTTCTCGGTCCAGATGACCGGTGTCTCCTGTATCCAGTACTATTCTCCCCAGATCTTTGCCGCCATCGGATTCGCCAAGGAGAAGACCTTCTTGTTCCAGGTGAGCAGAGAAAGCCGTTGGTTGGCAGTATGGACAAAGCTTACTCGGTTGCCTTTTGACTCGGAATTGTTATGGGGTAGAGTATCAACTCGATTATTGCGCTCATCGCTCAGGCTATCTGCGTGTTCTTCTGCGACCGAGTGAGTCTAGAGTCCTATTATAGCCTAAGAAGCGCCCGATGCACCCCGCTGAACGGTCTCGTCATCGCAGATCGGTTTCCGACCCCTCTTGATCTACTGTAACTTGGTATCATCTGCCACATTCGCCGTGGGAACGTGAGTCCACCTCCCCTTCTCTCTTGACCATCTACGACAGGAGACTCACTCCTTCCCCCTTCTTTTGCCCACTATATCGACCTGCAGTGCCCTCCAAGCCGAATTCCCTGCCGATCCCAACAACCCGGACGCTACGAACACTTCTGCCAGTTACGCTTTCGTGATGATGACCTGGATCTTCAACTTTGCGTTTTCCCTGGGAATCGGACCTATCAGTTGGGCCGTTCCTCCGGCGATCTTTACTACGGGGATCAGGTCGAAGGGGACGGCGCTCTCGTCGATGTCTGCTTGGATTGCCAGTGAGTCCCCACAGACCCTATCAGGGGATGTGCGGTGCGATACGTGGGAGGATTGTGACTGAACCTTGGAATTCCTTTTCGCCCGCTCCTTTAGACTTTATGATCGGTCAAGTCAGCCCGAAAGCCTTCGAGTCCATCGGTTGGAGGTACTACGTCGTCTTCTGCATCCTCTCGTTCACCAACGCTATCGCCATGTGGGCCCTCATTCCCGAGGTCGTCGGTAAGTTGTCGTCCTGACAAGAAACGTTATGCCATCATGGTAAACAGCCGCTTACTTTCTCGCCCATCATTTTTATTCTACAGGTCGAGATCTGGAATCCATCGACGAACTCCTGCGGGAAGAACCTTGGTTCATCCCCCGTTCGGCCGCGCTCAGGAAGAAGGTCAAGGGGACCGACGTCGAGGACAAGATCAGGAATGGAGAACATCCTGCACCGGCAGCCAAGCTGGATGGGCTGGAGTATGATGAGAAGAAGGAGGGGACGACTACTATGGTCGAGCATATCTAGTTGGTCGCTTAAAGGGACGGCAGTCAATAGGACGCGGACGACTTTGTGCGTCGGCTAGTAGGCACGTCTCGAGGTGTCAAACGGAATGTATTTGTAGTACCAGTACCAAGGAAGGGACACCGAGGATCGGTCATCATCGCTTTCTACATCAATCATGACTTTATACGATAATTCTACATCAATCATGACTTTCTACGATGACAATCGATGTCGAGAACCACTCGATCTCACCGATGATGATCAGGCAGGCGGAGATCACAAGCCATGAACCCCTTCTATCTAGAACAGCTTCATGATATGCGATGTCAATCACGGTACAGGGAAACGAGTTCGATGACCAAAAAGCAGGACGATATGCTACATTATACATGGAAAAAATTGCAGATAGCGGGCAATAATGGGGCCTTGATATGACGGATTATTTTGCCGGTGACTTGAAGATGTGGATTTTGGTCTCATACCGAAAAGGGCGGCATCGCACAGAGTCTGAAAACAAGATTGCTGTAAGAACAAAGCTATCAGAATGAGAGCTAACTCGATGAACAAGAGCAAGATCGAGATAAAAAAGCAAGCAGTTTTAGCATCCCTGCTCAAGTCATTCCGCACTATTCGAGACTCCCACCAACATGATCTGATTGAGCAAAAGTTTGGTCCGATGTGATCGGATGGCAGACGCTTCTTCGACACGATTTCGGAATAGTGAAACTCAAGGTTCCATGGCCCCTTGATCGCTTGCGAAGCGGAAAAAGTACGGGGCGCCAATTGGACCACTTCCGTTTGCTAGTAGTCGTTTAGTCAGCAACGTTTAGTACACAACGTATACTCGTTACTCGACAGCGTTTAGTCCTTTACTCGACATCGTTTAGTCCTCTACACTACAACGTTTACCTGATACCCAATATCGTTTACTCCCTGATACTGTTTTCATACATATACCATACGTCACATACTCAAGTCGGCCGACCGGACCCAACATGAACGATACTATGCAGATTCACTCCACTTTCTCCGTACTAGTCTTTCTCCTTCACCACCACCCCGTATTCCCACCATAGCTATGTCTACTCAAGAAGCACGACTCCTGTTCTTGGCTGATATCGCCTATACTACCCACCACCCTGCTGTCGAATACCTCCTCTCGCCACCTCATCAAAGGGACCCATTACGCATATCGCCTCTGATCTCCTCTCTCGACGAGTTCCTACACTTCCTTACCCTCCACGTCTACAGCAAGATCTCCAAACAGCTCTACGCACACTATTATCAGACTACCTCACACCTTCGAGAACAGCTGATCTCGGTCGAGACTTCCCTGGCTGCGCGAACGTCTCGAGCTTCCCAACCGACAGGCGGCCGACCTGTCGGTGGTCGTTCGCATGCAACCCCTATCGATCCTGTCAACCTTGAGCAGATGGTACGCCTCGGATTTACGGACAAGCAGCTCGGCTTGATGTTCGACTGTCATTCCTCGACTATCAAGCGTCGGCGTCGCACTCTTGGACTCATGAAGCAGGAACCCAAGCACCGATTGTCTCGGGCAGAGGTGGAGCAAGCTATTCTACAAGCGATTGGGGGCCAGGACGAGACTACGGTAGGAGCAGTGACTGTTTGGGGCCAGCTCAAAGCCTGGGGTCTCTCGGTAACACGAGCCGAGGTAAGGAGCACCTTGCAGCAGTTGGAGCCAGCAAATCTTGCCAGTCGTACCACGCATACAGTACAACGACGAAGGTACCACGTACCGTTTGTGAACTCAGTCTGGCACATCGATGGTCAGCACAAGCTTATCAACTGGAAGTTTGTGATACACGGTGCCATCGATGGCAAGTCACACCTTATTACCTGGCTTCATGCTAGTCCGAACAACTTTGCCGAAACGGTTGAAGGGCTGTTTCTGGAAGCCGTAGATCAGTGGGGCTGGCCTAGCCGTATTCGAGCGGACTACGGGGGAGAGAATCTTGGGGTGAAAGCGCATATGGAGAGGGTACAAGGTACGTTTTGTGCATGCCACTTGATACCAGACTTCACTGAGCCTAACTTATCGCCGACTGTTGGCCGACAGGTCGTACAAGAGGTTCATTCATGCAGGGTCGCTCTGTACACAATGTACGCATCGAACGCCTCTGGAGGGATGTCGGCCTGAAGGTGACCAGGAAGTACGCACGCACCTTCGAGCTCTTGGAGAAGTCAGGCGTCCTTGACCGCAACGACCCAATACATCTATTCTGCCTCCACTACGTCTATCTTCCACAAATCAACTACTCTCTCGATCTATTCCGAGATAGTTGGAATTACCACGGGATGAGCTCAAAGGGACTGGGCGGTGCTAGTCCTATTCAGCAATGGGTGGGAGGTATGTTTCTATCTCCCTGCGACGAACCTCCGAAACTTATTAATCAAACAGTACTGATTTGATAAATTTAAATGTATTTCGTCCCGAGCAGGCCTACTAGACGCGAAAGCGGCCGGCTTTCACATCGAGCTGTCACCGGATCTACGTTACAATGAGGACGAGGACGAAGCATTCGCTCTAGGGGTAGAGGACGATGTTGTCGAGCTACCACCTCGACCGGAACATTTGCAGCGCGACCAAAATACCCATTGCCGTTCATCAGCAATCGACGCCTCCCTATTCCTGGACGACACTCCTGTGGTCGAGCAAAGACGTCAGCCTCACTACGAAGACCCTCACGTTGTGGTCCCGCAGTTTGGGCGGCACGTTCCTCAACAACTGTTCGACAGGGAATTTCAAGACGAACTCCAAGCCAAATTCCCGTTTGTCGCGCCAATTCTCGGGGAATTTGGCGAAGAACGTTACATAGCGGTGCTAGACTTCGTAGAGACCTTCTTACAACTGCTCACCGAACCTGCTACCGTGTGAAAACCATACATGGCCCTGCAATGAATAGGTATTTTCGAGTTTGATGATGTCATTGATGACGATAACGCGTTGTTTGTTGTTGTGTTTCACGTTTCAGGTTGATCGCTTAGGCAAACTAGGTTCTCAAAGGACCCTTTCGTTGCTGTTGTTCTGTTCCTGTCGCTTACATCAAAGAACAACAAAGAGAGAAAAAAACTGCTGACGTTCTAGTCGATTCCCTTATAGGTAAATACCCCTGCCGTCGCTTTCAAAACTCCGACGCCTTCAACTCCCCGTATTGCCCACCTATACGAACCTACTACCCTTCATACAATCCTGAAAGTTCTCCAAGAATCGCCATGTCAGACAAGGAAAACGAGCTTCCGAGCAACAGCGCTCGAGGGGAGGGGAGTTCGAGAAGGGCGGGTCGGCCGACTGGCGGTCGTGAGTCGGCCTTGGGTTGTGAGTGCAAATTTGACATCCTTTGAGCTGTTCTGGTTCGTTTTTGGGTGTGACATCAAGCTTCTACACATCGAGGAAGTCGGGTGATGATGCGTAGGGGTGTAGGACGTCCTGCTACGGCGGCAGAGTCATCTCCCGAGCGAATAAGAGGAAGAGGAAGAGGTAGCGGAGGTCGGGGTGAAAGAGGAAGTAGAGGGACTCGTGGGAGGGGTCGAGGTCGACGTGGAGGCGTCCCCCATCGATACGCCAACCTGGATCCCGAGCAGTTCGGTAGCGATGATGATCCTGATCTCCTACAAATCGACGTAGAATCTGAGGATGGATATGGACGGTCTCCTACCTTTCGGAGACAGATGTTTGGGTCGGTCTCTCCCATACGGAGAGAACCTAGCGAGGAAGTCGATGAGGGACGTGCTCGAGCGGGCCAGGAGATCGCGGCTGCTGTGGCCGATGGGCAGATCAGTGACGAGGAAGCTGGTCTGATGAGCTTAGCGACTCGGGCGCTCTCGATCGGGACGAGTTCGGCGGGTGTGTTTGGTTCTGTTTATTCGCTGTTGTATATGTCACTGATTCAAATGATTGTGTCATTGCTTCTTTGCTATATAGAGAGTAATGGGCAAGAACAGGCGGAGCCCGTTGTCGAAAGGGACCCCGAAGATGTAGGGATGGAGGGTCCTCAACAGGACATCGAACAGGACGTCGATGTGCCGATGGAGGAGGAGGTTGTTCTGGCCGTCAGGACGCCAACGCCAGGCGGGGTGGGGCATGATGATGGAGGGGTGATGGACGAGATGGAGTTGGCTGGGGACGATGGTATGTTCATGTTTCACTTGCTTGCGCTTGTTCATTCCGGCTCGTTTTACTAATGAATAGGATGATTGTGTCACGTAGCCGTAAGCGAGGCGGAAGAGGTGGCGGCCCCGGCCATCTCGCCGGAAAGGAAGGCTGCGTGGCAGAAGAAGTTCGCGGAGCTTCAGGGTTCCCAGCGCCCTCGCTCTCGGTCTCCCGAGAGTCCTTCCCCCTCCGGCACCCGGCCGATCGCCCCTCTTGGGTCGGCGACATCTCCTCGAGCCAGACGTGGAGCTCGACAAGGGTCGGACGATCCCGACCAACGGGAGGAAGGGCAGATTTGGGCGGGGTATCCGGAGACCCGGTCCCAGAGACGACGGGCGAGAATGGAGGAGGAGGATGAGCTTGAGTGGGTTCAAGGGTGTAAGTTAGGACTCATCACATGGCTTTCACCGTTCATGTTGCTTATGATTCCTATTTATTCCTCTATCTACCTAGCTTCGGATCGGGCGAGGCCAACGCCGACGAAGAGGATCAGGAGGGTCCCCGCCCGGAACCCTCTCAGCCCTACCAAGCAGGGCACCCGGGCTGGCCCCGACAACAACACCCAGGCTGGTCCTGGACCTCAAACTCGCGCCAACCGCGCTGCCACCTTGGCCGCCTCGTCCCCGGCCAAGTCTCCTCGCAGGAAGCCCAAGCCTGCCACCTCGTCCCCTGCCGCGACGCCCACCAAGGGTAAAGGTAGGGCGACATCCACCAAGGGTGGTAGGGGCCAGGCCAAGGCTGAGATCAAGCCCGAGGTCAAGCAGGAGCCGAGTGCGGGGACGCTCCTCAACCACGCGGTAAGTGACCGATCCTCCCCGACTGGTCGGTCAAGAGTCGGCGGAGCTGATCTTTGTTGTATGACTTCTCTCAGAAGGCGAAACGGCGCCAAGAAGATCCCGGTGCGGTCGAGTTTCTCGGAGACGAGAGGTGCGACACCTGTCGTAGCCTCGGAGCCTCGAAGGGTGGGGACGAACCGTGGTGGGGTTGCTGGAGAAACCCGAACTCCAAGAAGGAGCGCTCCTGCTCCCACTGCGTGGCGGTTCGTGCGAAGTGCTCGTTCAACGACGAGCCCAGGCACGTCAACCCGCCCGCGGCAGGTCCCAGTACAACTGGGCTGAGCCAGGAGTGGGTGAACGGTTTGGCTGCCCGGCTCGACCGAGCGATCGGAGGGATGGAGGTGGGTCTCGGAGTCCTGAACTCGATGGCCGCCACTGCTCTTGGAGAGCCGGCCAACAACATGTTGGCCGAGCGGATTCAGGAGTTTTCGGCCGTGAGCGCGGACCTCCGCCGTGGTCCCTCTGGGTCGACCGCTGCCGCCGCCATCGAGGTTGAGGCCGACGACGAGGACGACGAGGACGAGGAGGAGGAGGAGGAGGAGGAGGAGGGGGAGGACGAACAGTAGGACCTTGAAGGTCTACGCCTCCGGTTCTTGTTCTTATAGGATAGGTTGTATTCTACCCCGAGAGGGTTTAAGACTCAGATTCTTTCTATTTATTTCATTTTAGATCAAGGATCCTTCGAAAGATATTCATCATCGTCAGCGAGACCCTCGTAGGGGTGGTGGGGGTCCGCTACCATAGTAACGAACGCTCCTGGGGTGGGTGGATGATTGACCCGACCACCGAATGGTGGCGATCGCCGAGAACTTGGAAGGTCGCCAAGAGGGCACGATCGACATCGACATCGACGAGCAAGAAGCATTGCGGGTCGAAGCCGTCGGTGTAGTTTGGCGGCGGTCGTTGAGGGAGTGAACTGCGGGGTGGGTGGAACGGACTCGACTCAGACGACGGGCGTTGGTGAAGACGGCACGAAAGAACCTTCGGTGTCAAGTCCTGGACATCAACAAGAGGTACTTCTTCATATTCACCATATCCCCTAAATCCTCTGTTCGCTCGTTCGACCAGGGCGCATTCTACCTCAGGGCAACACCGACGGCAACACCAACGGTTTCGCGAGCCTGCACCCCAATGTCACCGACCATTGTCTTTCGCTCGGAACCCCTCGCCCAAATCCCCGGCTTACAAGGGCAGTACTTCTTCCAGGGTTCGCCTAATCTCTCATCATCTGTTCTGCATACCCACTTGCGCACGCTCAAGCACATAAACCGATTGCGATTGGTCACGGACACCTATCTGACTGCCGCTTGGACATGATCGGCGCACCGACCCAACGTGACCAAGCGCTACGACACTGAAGAACAAGCACATGGTCGGCCAAGACGTTCCCCTGCGCTGCAGGATGATGAACTTCGCATGGGACGATCAAGGGGCAACTATACAGGCGGCAACGTATGAGTACAACATCCTCGAACGACCCTCAACGTTCGACAACACCCTCGAACGACCCTCAACGTTCGACAACATCCTCGAACGACCCTCAACGTTCGACAACATCCTCGAACGACTCCCTTCCGTTCCCATGTCGACATCAGCATACACACTGAACGTCCGACAACATCCCAGAACTACCCGCCCATGTCGACATCGGCATACACCCTCAACGCCCGACAGCATCCTCGGACCACCCTCACCCTCAACGCCCTAACCCAACGCCCGACAGCATCCTCGAACGACCCTCTTCTCCAGCACGATTCCCTCTCCCCCTCTCAGACGGTCCACTCCGACCCCTACGAATGTTGTTCTGTGAGAAGGAAAGCCCGATTCAGCTCTCGCATGGGTTTCACCGACCCTCGGCCGACTGGCGGGCAAACTGGGGGGGTAGACTCACTATCGCAGCTGCACCTTGGGCGGTAACACCGATTGCCAGTGTCACGGCGCTCACGCCTGTTCGCCAATGTGGCTGTTAGGTTGCCAGCAACCTGTGTGTTCTCCGGGACTTGCGTAGGGTAGTAGGTAGATAAATGAGTGTGATAACAGATGAATTACATATTACAATAGTGATCGTAGTAGTTAGGTATTACCTATAGTATCATATAAGTACCTGCTCCGCCGGAGCAGCTGGCGGAACACCCGTTCGGATGTACGTGATAGTCGTACCGCGGATGGCTATAACAGGATCCCCCCGTTAGGACGAGATTCCAGATCGTCTCGTGTCGTGTTTCACCGTACGTATGGTTCACCTCGTTCCGATAGGTAACCACCTGGCGTCGACTAGTGTTCTTTTGTTCGCTACGTTTCGAGCGTCGCTCGCCAGCACCTTTGTGTGCCCGTACCGTCAATCCGTTTCATCTTAAAACGATTGCGTAGGCATCCTTCTTTCGCTTGTTCCGAGTAGTGTTTCAGCGTAGCTCGCCAGCCCTAATGCTTCCGTACGGTCGATCCGCCCTGTTCCTTCGAGTAATCGCCTGGCTAGCCCTTGTTCATGTTCCCTAACCCGCCATTGTGTACCGCTTCGAGGTAACTCTCCATGACGTAGCGTTGTTCCAAGTATTGTTGCGATTGTTCTCTAACCGAGTGTATGTTTCTCACGCGTCGAGGGTCTCCGGGGCGACGCGTATTCTTTTGTTCCGAAAGAGTAAACAAAGACGTCATCAAGGGGTCCTTTGAATATCTTCTTCGTCGATAACCAAGTTTGTCGATGTTGCTAAGTAACACCCATCCTCCTATTGTCGGGAGGTCTGTCGACCATGTTCTCTATTGTTCTCCTGTTCGTGGTGACTACTCGCATGAGGGGGTATATAGCAGCTGAGTAGAGAGTGGTGCTTCGATTCCCCCCTTGCGTGTTTGCTAACTCCAATTCGAACTCGTTTCTTCACTCGTCCGTAACTTTTACCTTCTCCGTACACTCTTACTCTCTCTATCGCTCAACATGTCCGCCCAAGGTTCTCCCTCGAAGAAGGCCGAGCCCTTTGAGCAGCAACAGCTCAAGGGGTGGCGATACCTCAAGAAGATGCCCGTCGCGACTAGTGAGTTGTGTTGTTTTTCGTTATGTCGGAGTCGATCCTATGTCTCGATATCTCCGTACGTTTGTGATAGAGTCGACCCTTCTTCAGGCCGAAAAGGTCAAGCCCAAGATCGTCGACGTGGACCAGGAGGAGCTGGACAACGCCTTTAGGCGTAACCAAGTTACTGCGGTCAACGCGTTGGTCGTGAGTCATTCCGCTTCGTAGCTCCGCCGGAGTTCCTTTTTGACACGTCCGTATCTCTCTCCTCCAGGCTCAGTACCAGGGGGGTTGGAAGTTCGCCTGCCAGCCCTGCTTCGAATTGGCGACTACCGGGGACCACCGCGCCCGAGTCGACGGCGAATGGGTCGACTGCATCCGTGTCAGCCAAACTTGGTTGTGCAGGCACGTCCTCGCCACTCCGGGAGAGACCTCCCGCGCCACCTCCTGCTACCTTTGCAGGACTATCGCAGCTCGGTCCTGCACCCCCATGAACCCCAACGTCGTCACGGCTTTCCGACACGACCTCGGAGTTTGACACCGGGTCCGCGCCGGACTGCGGTACATCCAGGACCCTGCGGTCTCGCGAAGGAGTGTGGGCATGGTTGCCCAAGAGTTGGAGCGATTGTCGGACAGGATGGCGAGTACTTTCCTTCTTCTTCTCTTTTTCCTCTTCCGATAACCTTCTCCGTACTCTTCTCCGAGGGAGCTAATATTTCGTTCGTGTCCTTGTCTTCTTCATATTGCAGCTTTTCCCTCACGTCCCCGCTCCCGCCGTCTACCATGTGGAGCACCAGCTCACCGCCCGGCTGGCCGCCCAGCACGCCCCGAACGCCGTTCCCGCCGGATCGGTCGCTACCGACGTCAACGTCGACGTCCAAATCGCCGGCTCCGACGTCGTTACTCCCGGATCGCCCGCGCCGACCGTCATCGAGGGGGAGGACATGGAGGACCTCGAGCTCGAGGACGACCGTTCGGACGACGAAGACACCGAGATGACTTCGTCCTCGGGTTCTTCTTCTTCGGGATCGGGTTCGGGTTCGGATGAGGAGTAATGGCTAGTGGCTTTTTCTTTTTGTAACGTCGATCCTCATAGCCGAGTACGTAGTACTCGGGATATCAAATTTTTATGCCTTGCGGAATTCCTCTTTTCTTGTTCCGCCGGAGTCGTCTTTACCTATTGTCGTTTCTCTCTCTCGCTGACAATATCTTGGAGTATTTGCAAAACGTTATTGCTTGTAGTCGTGTTGTACGTGTGGGTGCAAGGTTTTGCTCGGTAGTAGCAGTGAATGGTGAATAAAAAATAAAACATCAAGGGACCTGCCCTTGGTAAATACATGATCGTCGCGCACAAAAACCCTTACGTAGACCAAACTCGATACCCTGTTCCCTCGTTGGCGGCACTGTCCTTGTCGAACTGCTCGTCTGTCGGAGCAGTGTGGGCGGAGTAGGCAGCCGCAACCCGAAGATCTCGTTGCTTCTTCATCCGGTCCACGTACCACTGCGGTTTGGGTACCAACGCAGGGTTGGTGCACTCCCGAATAACGTGTCCCTTCTGGAAACAGTTATAACAAGTGACGTCCCTGTACTTGGCTGCATCTACCTCCATGGGAACGGCTCCCGAAGAAGGTGCCACGGGGGCTTGTACGGGGGCGGCGACTGGCACTACCGCAGGGGCAGTGTATCGAGGGGTGTAATTGTTGTTTCGCGACGTGGTGTTGCGATGTTGTGTTTGGGTGTGCCCAACCTTCTCCTCATACTTTGCGCATTCCGTTTGGAACTCGTAGAGGGAGCACGTCTCCTGATTGGGGATAGGGACGATGGCATCCCTCCACGCTTGGTTCAAGTGCGCTCGGAAGAGGAACCTCTTGCAGAAGTCGGTCAATTCCGGGATGAGGTTGGCCAACGCGTTGAATTTGGTAATGTAGTCGGAGATCGACAGGTTCCCTTGTCGAAAGTCCGCGAACTCTCTCTCCGTTGCGGCTCTCCTTACCGCAACTCCGAAACGAGCTAGCAACCCGGCTTCGAACTGCGCCCATGTGGTCCAGGCAGTTCCGAAAAGCCAGGGGCGAGCCCATTCCCTCGCAGCGTCCCGCAAGTAACTCCCCGCAAACACGATCTTCAACTTGTCATCGTGATATGCGAGGGGTTCCGCCATGAAGCGTAGGTTACAAGCATCCAAGAATGCTTGTACCTCCTCCTTCTTCGACCCGTCGAAAGGCTCGGGATCGCTCACTCGGATAGCCTTGGTGTAAGGCTGTACGGGGACAGAGGGGCGAGAAAACGCCGGAGGAGAAGGCGGGGGGACTGCGTTGACGTTAACCAATCCATCCACCTTTGCCATCAACCTTTCCAAGGTTGAGTTCATCCTCCCGACGTCATTCGAGAGGGAGATGGTGCTGACAGCTGGTCGGTCGGCACTCAAGAAGGAGGAGAACACCTCGTCTCCTTCGCCGGTATTACGGACCCATAGGAATCCGCCGGCACTGTCTCGATCTTGAGCACCACCCGTGCCCCGCACCGGTTCCTTGTAGCCGGCTACCGTGATAGGGTTACCAGCTACGTCGTACACTACCCTGTCCGGAATCTCTGCCCGTTCGGTGGCTTCGGTTTCCATAGTTGCAAGTCGGGGAAAAGGAGATGATCTGTTATTCTGTTAGGTTGCCAGCAACCTGTGTGTTCTCCGGGACTTGCGTAGGGTAGTAGGTAGATAAATGAGTGTGATAACAGATGAATTACATATTACAATAGTGATCGTAGTAGTTAGGTATTACCTATAGTATCATATAAGTACCTGCTCCGCCGGAGCAGCTGGCGGAACACCCGTTCGGATGTACGTGATAGTCGTACCGCGGATGGCTATAACAGTGGCAGGCTCAGTGGCAGGCTCAGGACGAGGGCGACCCTCCTGAGGTCTGGGCGATCGTCGTCGGCGATAGCCTCGTCCCCTTGCAGGGAGAGAGGGAGGAGGAGGTTGATCGACCGAAGGCTCAACTGCAGGCCTGACTGGAGGCGGCAACGGAGGAACCGGACCACTGCGGTCTGAGTACGCAGCTGGACGTTCTTCCTGCGGGGGAGGAACGCCCGGGCCAGAGACAGGCTCGACTTGGTGCGGGATCTCCCTCGGAGGCGTCATCCCGGCTTCTGCTGCAAGACCGAATCCCTCGGGAGGCCCTGCTTGCATAAGGACTTCCCCAATACGGACCTCTCTTGCATAGGGCGGTACAGGATCATTGACATCTCCTTCTGGGTTGTCCAGATTGCCCGACCGGAACCGATTACGGATGTGACGTGAAGCCAGCAGAGGATCACCCTGCTGGATGGCCGATAACGCCCTAGCGCGACTTCCCTCATCAAGACCTTGCAACAGTGCTTGCATATCTCTCAGGGTGGCTTCTATGGCACGTCGTCTACCCCCCAGAGGTTGTGGTCGGGCGGGATTTGCCGCTATCGGCCGACCTGTCTCTCCCGCGTATTGGATTTCGGGAGTCACGGAACGTTCTTGAGGTTGCGCAATTGTCCTGCCAGAGGCGTTCTGAATACTCCTCTGCGCAGGGGTGGCGGGTCCGGGAGAGGGACTATCCCTGACAGTCCGTTGGCTCTCCTCAATCGGACTTGGCAAACGATCTGGACGGCTATGTTTGGTTCGAGCGACCTCACCGACGACCTCACCGACCGGTCGGTCATCTGGTCGGTCTCTTGCGCTTTGGACAGCCTGCCTGTCCTCGGGGGTGTGAGCTCGAGGCTGGCTACCTCTGGGCGGCTCATCCTGGGACAGGTTGATCAAACCTAAGACGTCAGCGTCGATCGACTGCTCTCGTTCGAGAGATGCCTGACGTCCGTCAAGGTCGAATCCACTCCAACCTTCGTCAGCTTGATCATTCCATCGGTTCTGCCGCACTGCGGCGAGATCCTCTTGTAGGGGACCGGCTAGATCCTCCATGCTAGGAGTCTGGAGTGTAGCTGTAGACGCCAGGGGAGATGGAGCTGGTGTAGCCTGGTCAGTGAAGAACAGTGGCTCAGCGCGATCAACGAAACCGGCAGTCTCGAGGGACATGTCCGCCATCCCTGAAGTTCGACCAGTGCTGCTGGATGTAGAGGGACCCGATTGATGAGCCCTGGGGACCGGCATAGCATCTGGAAAGGCATCGACAAGACGAGGGGTCGGTACCAGCCGGGGAGTGGATGCTTCAGTGCAAACGGACGGTGTTGGTGATTCTCGACCGTCTCGACCGTTCCGTTCAGTGCGGTAAATCTTGTAACGTTGACAGTGACCCGTATGACGACGTTTGGAGATCATCTTGACAGACTTGCCACAGGCGATGCAGGTCCACATATCGTCATCATCCTCAACGTCTTCGTCCTCATCGTCCTTGCCCGATGCAGTGTTTTGGAGGTTTCGGATGGTCGTGTAGAACTGCCGGGAGGCTACTTCCTCCTGGTGGGTATAGTCCGGGGCGGTGTAGGTGAAATCTCGATCGTTGACATGTCCATCGACGATGTAGGCGCAGCCAGAACGTTCAAACAGGGCCTTTACCTGGTTGAACGAGCTCGACGATGGTCGGCATGTGGCAGGCTCGAACCGATGGCTGTGAGGATTGGTCTTGGCCCAACACCACTGTTCATTGATACCCTCACGCCGGAAGAGCTCCTGAACCGTTGCGGCGATAGCGGAGGCATGTGCGTTTGCAGATATCCAGAGAGGTTTCCCAAAACCCTCAGCAGCCAACCACTCCTTGACCGCCTCTGCACCCTTGCGAAGTGTCAGCCGGTCCGAAATAACAGCCGACGATTTGAGGTAGTACACCTAGATGCAAAGATCGGTCAGTCGATTTGGAAAGGGAAAGTCAAGTTGACCGACAGTCGGCCGACTCCGGCCGACTCAGGTAACACTGACAATTGTCTCCTTCTCTTTGCAAATTGAGACGGGAGGACCAGGTGTAATCTGTGTTTGGCGGGCCGGAGCTTTCCCTTTGCGGCCACTGGTGAGATAGGAAGCGAAAGGAGAGCCCGGTCGGATGTTCTGGGACGAAGACGAAGCGGAGGAGGGGTTGATTGAATTAAAGTTCTGGATGGTGTTTCGACTAATTCCTGGGGGGGTATGCCCTGGCATGTTGCGGAGCGTTTGCAGAGCAGAAATGGTGCTATGTTGGGGTAGCTGACCATAGCTATGCGGGCTGTGGGTAATGGAAGGAGCGGGAGGAAATCGATTATGAAAAGGACCTGTATTATCATTATTTGCGGTATTATGGGTCGTGCCGGGTATCATGGGGCTATACGACCCTTGGCCTGGTGTAGATGGTAGCTGAGGCGGTCCAGCTTGTCGTAAAGCTGTCTGTACAGCCTGCTGTATAGCAGCGGCCAGGTCGGCCTGACTTATGGTGATTTGTTGGTGTGAATCGTTGTGCTGAGGCATGGTAAGGGGGAGCGAATAGAATAGGTACTGAATGGCAGAGTACGTGTGAAGAATCTAGATGTGACTATTGATATGTAACAAGGTCATGAACTGGAGTTGGCCGATGGAACGGCCGAAACGATTGACCCTACATGTCGAGAGGTAGATTGTTGGCTGATGGATGTAGCGTACGTAAAGTTCGATGAAGACGATGTAGAGTAAAGGATTAAACGATGTCGAGCTTGATACTAAACGTTGTCGAGTAAACGAATAAACGTTGTGGGTTAAACGTTGCTGACTAAACGATTACGAGATTTACTAAGTCACGTGTAAAGTGGTCTTTTTGGCGCCTCATAAAAAAGGGGCGATCGAATAGAACATCTACGCCACCTTGAAACGCTAACCGGTCCGGGTAAAGAGCCCGGATGCCGGCATATCGTACGGAGTTCGGGGTAATACCGGCAGCTTTGTAGCCCTTTTCGGATGTTTATCGGTGTTCGGCGTATAGAAGTGATGCGGCGCGCTTGGATGAATAGGGGCAGGGGAATAGGGGATCTTGTGCGTGATTGTCCACAACACACACCTCTCCTGGATCTCTTGCCAGCTTTTATTAGAGGATCGATCGCTCGATACTATCACCCATCTTAACATTCCCTGCCCTTCCAAAGACCTACACATTTCCTAGAGAACAAACCGCAAGCCGAACAGATATCACAAACAAACATGGCTGGAATCGACCCTTACGCCGCAGCTCCCCCAAAGAACCTCAACACGACCGAACGAGTCACCTTTGACCACCCAAAGACCCTCTCCAATACCACCCTGAGCATCAGCCCCCGTTCCTTAGTCTACCCAGCTGGGAGTGAAGTCGTCTCGGACAAGCTTTACTCGGGATTCATCGAACATCTAGGGAGGGGGATTTATGGAGGGATCGTCGATGATGATAAGAACCCGAGTGACGAGAAGTTGTTGGTCAAGCAGGACGATGGGACCGAGTTGACCAAGGGGAGGTTGGGGTGGAGGAAGGATGTTATGGATGTGATCGGGAAGGAGGGGGAGTTGGAGATGCCTATGCTGAGGTGGCCCGGTGGTGAGTCCCCATCCCAATCCCTGTCGTTCTTGCCTTGTAGCTCAGTTCTGCTTTTCTTTCAACCGCTGATTGTTACACTCTACCCAACAACCTTTTATCCCATCTCCGTCTCCCTGCCTTCCGCCATCCTCACCTTCAAACTCCCCACCTCACCTTCAAACTCCCCTCCTCACCTTCCCACCCCCCCACCTCCACCCACCTCCTCCCATAACAAAGGAAACTACGTATCCAACTGGCACTGGCAAGACTGCGTAGGACCCATCCAGGACCGTCCCAAACGTATCGAACTCGCCTGGTTGTCAGAGGAATCGAATCATTTTGGATTGAACGAGTTTGTTGATTATGCACGGGGGTTGGGGGTTGAGCCGTGAGTCCTTCTTCTTTCTTCTTCCTTTTTCCTAAACACGAGTTCCTACGGGTGCGAGAGTGCGGTGGAGACCCGATAGCTGACCACACCACCACGGACGACCTGACCTGCGACACCCCGATTTGATGTATATCGTACAGGTACTTGTGTCTGAACATGGGGACGGGAACGTTTGAAGAAGCGCTCAGTCTGTTGGAATATTGTAACGGGAAGGGCAACACCCAGTGAGTACACGCACGAACGTTATCCCTTGTCATCTCCAGGTCGGATCAGCTTCAGCTGGCGAGAATGCCGGCTCTGGCTCTGGCTCCAGCCGGAAGGATCAATTTTGCGGGTTCTACTTGGACTCGGATGTTGATGCTAATACTGGTTCGCCCTGCGTTACGTTGCATTTGTGTGGTGTGCAGCTGGGCTAATTTGAGGCGAAAGCATACGGGAAGGGACGAGCCCCATGATATCAAGCTCTGGGGTCTCGGTAACGAGAGTGAGTCCGAACAGGCTTCTCGGATCCATGCGTAGTTTTCGCTGACACTGGGAATCCTTCTTCTCGACAGTGCACGGACCTTGGCAAGTCGGCCACCTCTCCGCCGCCGACTACACCAAACAAGCCGCCCGGTGGGCCCACGCGCTGCGTCTGGTCGACCCGTCCATCAAGCTCGTCTCGTGTGGCAACCAGGGCAACTCGGAGTGGGACCGTGAAGTCCTCCAGGGGTTGATCGGGGTGTGTGATTATCATTCGATCCACTTTTATTCGATGTTGGGTCACGAGAGGTTTGCGGGGCCTCCGGGGTTGGAGTATGAGAAGAACGTGTTTGGGCCGATCGTGAGTCGCAGAGGCGTCTCTTTGACATACCAGAACTACATCTGGAATTCTGGGTCGCAAAATGCTGATAAACTTTTCTCCATTGTCCTGCGACACGACACCCCGCAGGCCGCCGAGAGGGGTATCGAGATCTGTTCCTCCCTCATCGACCTGGCCAAGATTCACCATTCCCTCAACCCGGATCAGTACAAGTTCGGTCTTCCGGACAGTATGAGCATCAACAGTGGGATCTTGAAGCGGGAGATGAAGATCTGTTACGACGAGTGGAACGTGTGAGTTCCGCGGCCCTCACCCCTCTTTCCCCTTGCTTCTCCTTCGTTTTCGACACTCCGTGTGTTTCGGTATCCCAACCTCGACTTCCTTCTCGAACATCGTACTGACGACATGCCGTATTGGGACTCGACTGCGCGCTACAGATGGGACGAGACCAAAGCCCCCGGCTCCGTCGGTCTCGAACAATCGTACGAATACGTCGACATGCTCGGCGTCTGCGCCTGGTTGAACATCTTGGTCAGGAAGTCCAAGGATGTGGGGATCGCTTGTATCGCCCAGAGCGTCAATGTCGTGAGTATTCGAGCCACACTGGCTTTCGTTTTCCCTCTTGGTGGCAATGTCTGGCTTTCTAGGATGTCGCGTGATGTGTTGTGGTGCGGGCTGGGCTGTGGAAGCTTACTTGTGAACTGGTTCTGTGTAGATCTCACCGGTGATGACCAGCCCTACCGGATTGCTCTTCCAGACGACCTACTACCCGTGAGTCTTTCCCCCTCGCCTCTTCTTCTTCTTCTTTTTCTTTTTTCTTCTTCTTGAAGCGAATACGATGCGCGTGACGCTCATAAATGTTTCTTGCATGGGGTACACCTGCAGCTTGCGACTGTTCGCCAAGTACATGAAGGGCGGTGAATTGCTCAACCTCGGGTTTACGCCTGATGCCTAGTCAGTTATAATCCCAGTTTCCCACGTCCTTCACAAGCACCATTCGAGGCTCTTTTGCTAACCGTGACCGAAATAATGACGAAATACGATCCGATCGGATTGCATAGCACCGGACCCACCTACCCAGTCTGGATCCAACACCTAACGAAACCCGCTTACGTCGACGTCGTAGCGATCATCGTTCATAAACCCTACAACGAAAACAGCAACAGCAAGAAGGCTAGGGCTAGTATCCGATTGAGCGTTCTGAATAGGCACCCGGAGGCTGCTTGGGAGGGGGTTTTGAGGTTTGATCATTTCGGTGAGTGCAGCGGAGGTCGCGTGGTATTGATTGAGGAAATGGAGGGGAGGATATAGAAGCTGATGATGTGAATGGGGAATGGGGGATGTGGTCTGGTCGTAGATGTGGAGGGCGTCGAGGTCCACTCGATGTACCATGACGACATGTCCGCCGTGGTGAGTCGCTTGTTGATCAAGAAATGTTTCCTATCTCAGAACCGCACACTGATCGCGATCTTCCGTTTGCTGTTTCTCGTGCCTATGTAGAACACGTTTGAGAAGCCCAACGAGGTCGTACCTACCGTTGAAAAGCTGGAGGGCAAGCAATGGAAGGGGACCTACACCGTCAAGAAGCACTCGTGGAGCTTCTTCATCTTCGAGGGAACCGTTCAGGAGTGAGCCTGGAACAGACATATAGGATATCAGGGGATTCGAGCTTGTACAATTTTGGGAATTGAGAGAGCAATCAGATTGACAAAATGGTTGGCTGCGGCGGACGAACGTTCATACAGAAGAGACGATCGTTGTTTGCCGTCTGTCATGATCATGTCCGTATGTGTGTTTCATCATCAACGCCGACTATGGCCAGCTAGCGCGCGAGATCGGCCAGTCCCGGACCGGAGCGTGCTAGTTGACTGACGATTCGACGTTCAAATGTTCAAACTTATAATCACTTCGGACAGCATCGAGTTAAGAGCACAGGGTGCATTGGGCACAGTCATCATCCATTATCGATCCACTCAATCTGAACTCGACTCGCCAGTTTAATCGACCATGTACGAACGTCTCTTGACCGACTTCGAGCTGTCCCCAGGGGAAGACGGCGAGAACGTAATCCGCCTAGTCAATCCGCAAGGATACACCTGGACCCTGAGCCTGGTCACCGAGCTCGCTTTCCGGATCACCTTGGAAGGACCTGACAGGAGACTCCCCCCACACGATAATTTCGTTAGACCTCTTCCTCTTCCCTTGCCGTTCACGAACCTCAAATACGGAAGTGAACATGGGGACGGGAAGAAGGAGATCTCCTTTGATTTCGTGTCCGGGCAACAACTCGTCATCGACTATACCTACGATATCATCCTGGCCGTCTACGAAACCTTACATGACTTGCCCGAAGATGATAAGAGGAGGAAGAGGCTCGTCTATCAGACTTTGCCTAATAGGGGATTCTGTCTGAGCGAACATGGAGTGGTGAGGTATAACCGCGTTTTGGAAGGGAGTCTGCATATGGGCTTGGGGGAGAAGGCTGCACCGATAGGTGAGCACCACGATATTTTTTCTTTTTAGCAGATCGGGCCTCGGTGTTAGAGTGAAGCTTTACTGAGCGAGGTTCGGTTGGACGTGTTTGTTCAGATTTGACGGGAAGGGATTTCAAGCTCACGGGGACCGATGCTGCCGCTTACGATGCTTACCAGACGGACCCGGTATGTCAAGCCATTCCTGCGATTCTCACTTCACCCCGAACCATCAACCTCCTAGCTGTTCAAGTCCAGTTGAGCTGAACGCCTCATCTTCCGTCTCGCAGCTATACAAACACACTCCTTTCCTGATCACCCTCCCCCGCCCGATCCCTATCCACCCAACCCCCTCACCCACCTCAAACCTCCTAAACAACTACTGGGCATCAATCGACCTTTCCGACCCAGTCTCAGGGGAAATAACCAAACACCTAGAACCGGGAGAATGGATCCAACCGGCGCCCTATGCGACGTGGTGGACGAGCAATTCCGATGGGGTGGTCGATATCAGGAGGGGGACGAACGATCCGAATGGCGTTTTTAAGCGGTATGAACAGGGGTGGGGAGGGTTGGAAGAGGTTGTTTTTCTCGGGCATGCCGAGTTGCACTTAGGGGAAGGAGGAGAGGGGAAGTATGAGCTGGAGAAGAAGGTACTGGCGGAGGGTCTCGAATTGAATTTGAAGGGTGATAGACGAGCGAGGAAGGTGGTTGGACTGCGTGAACTCGTCAGGGCGTTTGCGGATCTGGTGGGGTCGCCAAAGTTGGTCCCAAGAGATTGGCTCGGGTACTTGGCAAGCGGTAAGCACCACGTCTCCTCCTCTTCACTCCAGATCTTGGTCTGACGAATCGAATCACCCCGACAATGACGATGGTGGATAGGTATGGGGATCGGCGAATCCGACTCGCCACCAGCCCAAGAACTCTTGGAAAATTGGCCTGACGAATGCGCCAAGTACGATATCCCCTGTTCGGGGATGCACCTCTCTTCGGGATATACGGTCGGGGAGGATGGGAACCGTTATGTCTTTGGGATGAATAAGAAACGGTACCCCGATTTCAAGGCGATGGTCACCAAGTTTCATCAGAGGGGGATCAGGGTCGTCCCGAACATCAAACCTTGTGAGCGGAGAGACTCTCGACGAGCTATGCTTCTATCGGGTCTGACGGTGCTGTTATACGAAGATGTCTTGAACACCCACCCAGATTACGAAAACCTCAGGGAAGCAGGAGCTCTCTTCCATAACCCGTGGACGGGGAAACAGGTCATGGCGCCCATCTGGAGCGCCGGGGTCGGCGACACTCAGCTAGGCAGTTGGGTAGATATGACGCACCCTCAAGGTCGACAATGGTGGTACGACGGAGTCAAGGGGTTGGTCGAGCTCGGGTGTGATGGGATGTGGAAGTGAGTCTCCGTCTGTTGGTTATTTCGTTGCTGTTGAGGCGAAGGCGGTACTAATCCGAAGGTGATGGGTCATTTGTAGCGACAACAACGAGTACCTCTTGCACAATGACGATTATGTGCCTCGATGGGACGATGCGACTAGGAAGACCAACTCGTTTGACGGCAAGATCAACGTCGGCACGCTCGGCAGGATGTACAACGTGAGCAGCGCGATCCCCCAATTCCTCTCTAAACATCTCACAAGGAAGACTGAATCGACCCCATCGGGACCTTCCTTGCAGACCCAACTGATGGCCAAGACCAGCCACGATGCCTGTCTCGATGCCAACCCCGACCGCAGGACGTTCGTACTCACCCGGTCGGGCAATGTGGGAACTTTTCGATATGCGAGTTCGACATGGTCGGGCGATAACGTCAGTTCAGTTTTTCCCAGTGACATCTATAAGATTCCTTGTCTGATGCGGCCGAACGCTTTTTTAGTATACGAACTGGAAGACCCTTCGAGGAAGCGTAGCGATGGGCCTCAATGCAGGACTATCTTTGATGCAGGTAAGCTCCCATGGCAAACCACTCGTGCAGTATCAGCGCGACTAGACCCAGACCTGATCTCGTTTCTAATTACAGTCATACGGCACGGACGTAGGAGGATTCGCCGGCCCCCTACCTTCGCAGGAACTATTCGTCCGATGGGTACAGTTTGGGTGTACGAATTCGAGGTTCTGCATCCATAGTTTCAAGCCGAACAAGGGTGATCTGAGTGGGGCGCTTACGAATAATTTGCCTTGGATGGTATGTCGTTCGGGGGCGCATGTCATGGCCCGGGCATTGGCCTTGTGACTGATGTACTATGCGGCTCGTTTGAACAGTATCCCGAGGTACTACCCATCATCCGCCAGGCGATCAAGCGGAGATACCAGCTTCTGCCCTACTTGTGAGCCATCAGACGACATCCATCTCGAACAGAAACTGACGCGGTATACCATAGCAACTCTCTGAACTGGGAATCTCACCTACTATCAGAACCTCCCAACTCGTACCTCGGCAGCGGTCCATTCGCTCAAGACCCCAACCTCTACTCGGCCGAAATTCTGGAAGGGTTCGACTATTGGTTAGGAACCGGTCGACTGCTCGTGGCTGGCGCTTTCCAAGAAGGACAGACGAGGAAGAGGGTTTATTTCCCTCAAGCTTATCCGGGGGATAGGACACCGTACATCAGGGTCACTGAGGGGGATATCGAGTATGAGTCGCACGAGGCGGGGACTTGGGCAGAGGTGAACATTCCCCTGGTGCAAACTGCGATCTTTGCCCGTGCTGGTTCGGTGATCCCTGTGGGGAAAGACCATGTCACCGTCACAGCCGAGACGGGCTTACCGAGGGCCTGCGTAGGCGGCGCAGAGATCGAGCTGGGTGTTACTTCTGGTTCGGAAAGCGCTAGTGGCGTGAGTCTCGATGATTATCGAGGAGTGGAGATCTTCCCGCCCCTTGCCGATCAAGCGGAGGGCTTCAAGGGCGAGGGCGTCTGGGTTGAGGATGATGGCGTTTCTCGTGAACCCAAATCCACGGTGGTCAAGGTCAGCTACCAGGTGGAAGGCGATGAGATCGCCGTCAAGGCCGAATGGCTGCAGCGCGACTTTGATGTGGCCTGGGGTAGCGAGTTGCTGGTCTATCTGCCTAGGGGAGACGATCGATCGGTCAAAGGCGCGTCGGGGGAGAAGATCGGGGGACGCACTGCTTTCCGTGTGGCCGTGGTCTAGGAAAAATCTTCATATGGGGAGGATGGATATAGTAGGATGAACTCTTTGTAGAAAGTCGCAAGCTGGTAGAATATGCATCGATGAAACGCCTAGTCACTTCGAGGCGGAACTCAAACCGCACCTGGGCGCCTCTCTCTCGCTTACGTAACAACATCTCGCTCGTCTGACCCGTCGCTCGTATGGGAAAATGAACATCTCATCATCGATTACCCCTATCTTTCGCATCGACCGACCTAGTCCCATCGTCGCCAAGTCAATAATGCCATCGATATAATCTTTCACATCTCCTCGCTCGTCTCCCTCATGCTCGGTGGTTGATCCGAGGATGATCCTCACGAACGACTCGAAATTATTATAATAACACTGTATCGACTGTTATCAAACATCAGGATACCTCGCCTTTCGACATCTTTGCTTCTCGTCATAATACAAACAACTCGATCTAGGATCTCTCTCGAACATATACCTCGACATATCGACATCGATATCAATTGTCACTCGGCCAAATACTCGAATCAAGATATTCACCATGTCCGACTCACTAGCCACCACCTCGGCAACCTTCCCCCACACTTCAGACCTCTCACCAATTTCGTTAGAAAAGGTCGAAGATCTCGACGAAGGACCACCGCCGCTCTCGAAAGCGAGACGAATCGGACTCCTATCCATCGTACGTACCTAGGCCCTTCTCTCTGATCCAGTTGACCCCTACAGTACCATCTATCTCTTCATCGTGTCATCATGTTCACGGAGACTAATTCAACCTGATCCTTTTGCAGTTCTGTTGTGCCCAATTCGTAGATGTATATAATGCCAGCGCTGTCGTCCTAGCCACCGCACCCATCGCACAAGACCTGAGTATGGGCGCGGGGGAGAGCGTATGGACGTTGAGCGCGTATGTGTTGGTGTTCGCTTCGTTCATGTTGCCGGTGAGTCCGTTAAGGGTCGTGGCGTGTCCTTCAAGTGGATGATGGTGTTGCCTAGTCGATTTGAATCGGGAGGCTGATAAGATTGTGTTGTGGTTCCCTTTTAATCCTCTCCCCTCGCTGTTCGATATAAACGAACATTCGAGGAGTACAGATGGGCAAGCTCGCGGATATCTGGTCTGCCAAAGCGGTCTTCACGATCGGGCTCGTCTGGGTCGGAGCGTTTTCTATTGGGATCGCGGTGGCGCAGGACAAGATCGTCTTGTTCGTCCTCAGAGCTTTTGCTGGGTTAGGGTGGGTCGTCTGGAAGGTTGCGGGTCTTGATTAATGAAAAGGCAATAGCTGATGACGACAGATCCGTCGACATTGCAGTGCCGCCGCCTCGATCCCAGCCGCCCTCAACCTGATCGTCCACATCTTCCCAGGAGAGATCGAACAACACGTCGCACTCGCCTGTTTCGGCGGGGCCGGCGAACTAGCCAACGTCTCCGGTTTCATCCTCGGTGGTGTCCTCCTCCTGGCAAGCTGGCGTTGGGTCTTTTGGTTACTCCCCATTGTGTGTTTCCCTATGGCGTTGGGTACGTTCTTCTTGATCCCTTCGAGGAAACATTTGAAGATGTACCAGCTCGCCGGGCTGAGAAGGGAGATTTTGGAAGGGTCGGAGAGGGCGGAAAAGATCTTGAAAGCGCTGGAGGCGTCGGAGATGAGCAACAAGTTTGATTACGTGGGGACGTTCTTGATCGTCGCTGCGGCCGTGCTGTCGATCTTTGGGTTGACGGATGGTGGCGAGAGCGCCGGATGGCAAGTCGACCTTTCGCCCATACTATTTCTATGAGCGATTCGAGCTGATACGAAGCTTTTCTTGGGCATTTTACAGGGCCCGAGCTCAACCGATCGTCTGCCTCGTCATCGGGCTCATCCTCTTTCCCCTGTTCTTCCTATGGGAACGTAGAGTCGATCAACGGGTCGCCCTGATCCCCAGCTCGATCTGGCGTATTCAGAACGTGACCATCTTGGTCGTCGTCAGCTTGGTCCCTTACTTTTGGTGGTACGGCATACAATACAACTTTGCCAACATTATGCAGGAGGATTGGGGCGTTTCACCGATCATGACCGCTGTTCGATTGTGGGTCGCGATTGCCGGCCTGCTTTCTATCAGTTTTGCAAGCTCATCGATTCACAATCGAACTTTCTCGATCTGACCTCGCAGCCTTCCAATCAGTATCGGCGGAGGGATCATGTTCATCGCCATAGGCTACCTCCCCCCATCGTTTGTCCCGCTCAAGATCAGGATGATCGTCGGCGCCCTCATTGCGGCCGTCGGGACTCTCTTGTTCGTTTTCGCCGAGGGGTCGAGTTGGTACTGGAAGTTGGTCGCCCCTGGGATGTTTATCGGCAGTTTCGGTGAGTCGTCTTGATTCCCACCGACCTGATCCCACGCGCATACGAGACTAACGGCTACTTCATTCGGTGCGACCAGGTATGGCAATCGTCTTCCTCACCGCAAACAACAGCATCCTCATGTCCGTCCCTCCCGAATACGCCGGCGTGGTCGGAGGGATCTTCAACGCCTGCCTCCAGTTCGGCGCCTGTACCGGTCTAGCCATTCTCGGGAGCATCAAGTCGCAGTTCGAGGATCATTCGCCGTCGTCGTCGTCTTCCGGGGGCAGCGCTCACGGTGCCATTCTCTGGGAAGGGTACAGGGCGTCGTTCATCTTCATGACGGTTCTGTGCGTGGTCTTGGCGGGGATCTCGGCGGTCTGGTTCAAGAACCCGCTGGTCCGTGTGGACGCGAAGGAGAAGGGCGATGTGGCGGATGTGGAGGGACCGAGGTCGTGACAGTAGACACATTATAGAGATGGCCGCGAAGGATAGCACAAGCAGATGACGGGGAATAACGACGAACGGCTTAGATTACAATTCCAGTCTACTGTATCTATACATTGTACTATACCTCACTCCCTCACATTTCGATTTATAATGATCAAATAGGAACCATATCGGTCCTAAGGGAACTTTCCCGCCTCCTCCCTCCTCCCCGGCTCGATCCTCTCCCAGATGGCCTTTCCCATACCGACGGGAATGTCTTCCTTGCCAGCGCTCAATCCGGCCCAGAGCTCGTCGGTGAATTCGTCGAGAGGCATGCCCATCTGACGGCCGTTCTCGATATCGGGTTGGTGTTTCTTGTCGTGCAGCTCGGCTGAGTTGGAGGGATGTCGGATAGGTAGAGGTTATAAGGGAGAACGATAGGGTCCGATAGTGTTAGCGTGCAATAAGAGGAACAAGAACAGGGAACAGGTCATTATCGATTAGCTCAAACCCAGCATCGAAACCCCAACGCTCCCTAGAGAACCGATCGGTGGACTTCTGGACGTACTCTGCACACTAGGAGGAAAGACCTCGACGATCTTGACGTTCCCAGGCCCGTCGGACATTTGTTTTCGGAGCGGGAGGATCAGTTGATGGAGCGCGGCCTGTTTTTTTCCGGGTCCGGGTCGCGAATCAAGATTGGTATGGTTGTGGGTGGGGGTGTGATTGTGGGTGTGGGTTTATTCGGGATCGGCCGGCGAAGTAAAGCGAGGTCGAGATTGGATCAGGCAAGAAGAAGTTTTTATGACGACGTCAGCTAGCCCTTATAAGACGAGAGATGAGAAATACTGAGAGGATGGGCTATGAGACGAAAGAGGGACTCACCTTGCTAGCGCAGTAATTCGGACACCTCGTCATAGGTACCAGCCCCAATACGCTTCCTACCATGACCACCGCCGTCTCTCCGTCCTGTCCATCTTGTTTATACTGCTGGAAGTGCGGCAAGAACCACTTCAAGAACCCCACATAGCTGAAATAATTCGTAGTAAATTCCTCAGAGATAGAGTCAAGGGAGATCGAAGCGGGGTCAGTGAAGTCGAGGGGGCGTTGGATGCCGGAGTTTAGGATTAGGCAGGAGAGGTCTGGGTTGGTGGAGAGGATCCTGCCGGGCGAAAGTTGGAGGGTTGAGAGGGATACAATACGATACGATAGGGGTAGTCAGGAGTGAGCGGGTAGAGGACAGGGAAGATGAAGCAGCGGATGAGCAGATCGAACCGAATTTTCGATCGAATATACGAGAACAGGGAATGATGATGATGATGATGAAGATCATCATCCATCTCGACGACCAACTCAAACTCACTTTTTAGCAAACCCCTCAATCCCCCCCAAATCAGTCACATCAAAAACAACCCCTTCAACCCTCTCTTTCCCCCACTTTTGAACGATTTCGTCCAGCTTTTCTTGTCGACGCCCGACCACGATCAATTTGGCGGAAGGACGTGAGAGGAGGATCTTTTCGGCCAAGGCGTGACCTATGCCGGAGGTCCCGCCGATGAGGAGGATCTTGGTGTAGTTGAATTCGGACATCTCTTTGCTTTTCTTGGCGAAGGGCAGAGATCTTGGGGTATGTGATGTTGAGGAGGTGATGTAAAGTGGGGCGGAGAAGTGGGGTTGGACGGTTTATATTCGTACAAGCCGACAGCTATATAGCCTGGATAGGTCTGCGTCGCTGCCTCTCTCTCTCTCCCTCTTTCTCTATATATAACAACTCACTCGAGCGCGGCGACTGAAACCTCCACTTTCGATGCAAACGTCATCACACGAAATAGTGTATATACTTCCGGGTAACGTTAGATATACTTCCAATCTTGATAAGCTATCATCGGCTCAAGAGATGACGTGTTAATTCTGTAAACCCCCGCGTGTAGACGAAATCGAGTGACCCGCCCGATGATCGTCCGTGGCCCGCGATTTGCTTCCCATCCCTTGCTCTCGTAGCTGGGACAGACCCATTCCCAATACGTGAGCAGCTGACTCAGCCAGACGATCAAGCGTCGCACCGCCCACCTCGTCGACGGGGCACCTTGAGACGAACGACACATCATCCATCACCCCGACTGATCCCGACCTCCTCAAGCCCGTCAACTCCGGCCCTCCGCGCCTCTGCACTCTGCGCAACACCGTACGAGTCGATGGCTGACTTGATGCCAAGAGATGTTCGGTGCCTTTTTACCCCACGCGGCTACTTGACTGCGGGGGGATGCGGGGGAAATCGTGGCTTGGCATAGAAGAGGACGTTGTTCCTGTCTCAAGGCAAGAGGAGGAGGGAGAACCCGGTTACAAACGAACTCGTTCGATCACTCGCACTCGACCTGAATCTGGGGTCAGCATGCGGGGTCTCCGGGTATCAGAGCGACCCATCCTTCGAGCCATTAACCTTCTGCGAACCGGGTAACTTGACGCTGCGTTCGGGTTAGGGGGAGGTCTATATAACTCGCCGTCCGTCATTCATTCGGAAAGGGGGAAAAGGGGATCATCGAGTCGTTTCCTCGACCCTTCTCGAATCACATCACATTCTTCTATATCACTCGACGCCAGACAAGCAAATCGACTCGGACTCGACGAAACTATACTATGGACCACACGGAAGATAAACCCATCTCCTCCCACATCGAACACAAGACCGGCTCCGGTGAGGTCGCCCATCTCGACGACTATGAACGGCATTCGACCGAGCATGAATACGATCCGGCGTTCGTCAAGCGGACCATCAGGAAGCTGGACATCCGCCTGTTGATTATATTGGGGGCGATGTATTCGATCGCGCTTATTGATAGGACGAATTTGTCTTCGGCACGGGTCGCGGGGATGAATGTGGAGTTGGATCTGTGAGTGTACAGTAGTGACGAGGTGCGCTGGTGGGACGAACGTAGGGCTGACCCGGTTCGTACCGTAATATCGTTCTTGCTCTTTGTTACGCTTTGTTACGCTTTGCGATGTGAACGATTAGGAACGTCGGAGAACGATACTCGATCGCCACCTTGGTCTTCTTCGTCCCTTGTAAGTCCCCCTCCCCTCCCCTCCCCTCCCCTCCCCTCCTGCCGTCCGCTGTTTCACTCGATCCCCCCGACACTCACTCTACCATCCACAATGCAATGCAATGTAGACATCATCTTCGAATTCCCCTCCAACATCCTCCTCAGAAAAATAGGCGCGCGAAACCTTCTGTCGTCGATCACCATCCTCTGGGGAGCAGCTACCCTAGCTATCGCGTTTGTGAAGAATTGGCAGAGCCTAGTAGGACTCAGGGTCGTACTGGGGTTCTTTGAGGCGGGGTTTTTCCCCGGGTGTGTTTATTTGTTGAGTAGTTGGTATACTCGGTGGAGGACGCAGGTGAGAATTCCGATCTTCTGGGGTCGCTTCTCGTCTTTTTGAGGGAATATGAAGCTGATCCTGTACCTCTGTCCCGACCCTGCGCTTTTTCGTCTGCGCTCTTGTGCTATTTCCCACGCGCACAGACTAGGATCTCGTTGTTCTACCTGATGAGCATGTTCATCAGCGGGCTCTCGCAGATATTGGCCTATGGCTTGATTCAGATCCCGAGGGCGGGCATGGTTCATACGTGGAGGTGGATCTTTTTGGTACTCGGTGAGTCGCCTGTCTTCCCTAAAGCGATAGAGGTTGAAAGTCGGGCAGGTTGCTGACATCGAACTCGCTATCCTTGACAAATCGTTGTCGCCACCATTCTCATACGACGGTTTCGGACTCGCGCAGGCGCCTTCACCATGGCCCTGGGTGTCCTCTCCATCTTCCTCATCATCGACTTCCCGGACAAGAACACGTTCCTCACGGCCGAGGAGACCGAGATGGTCATGACCATGCTCGACAAGGACAGGGGGGACGCTACACCGGACGTCATGACCAGGGGCAAGGTGATCAAGCACATGACGTGTTGGAGGACGTGGTGTTATGGACTGTGTTTCATGAATTCGACGTTGCCTGTGAGTCGGCCGTGTCGAAGGAGATGAGCAGACAAGATGTTGACAAGCTTGTGTGACTTGCGGGTGGAGTTAGTCTTATGCGTTTGCCTACTTTTTGCCTGTCGTGAGTCGGGCGATCTCTACGTTGCGGTCTATCGGATGAGCCATTCAGCTGACGTGTTGCTATTTGCTCTCGTCCTCAGATTCTCGCCGGTCAAGGATACTCTCAAGTCGCCGCCCTCTGCCTGTCCGCCCCTCCCTACGCAGCCGCCGCCATCTACACCTTTTGTATCGCCATCTCCTCTGACAAGCTGAGGAAACGAGGACTCTTCGTCTGCGTCAACGCCGTGGTGACCGTCGTCGGGTGTTCGATCATCGGGTATGCGAAGAACAAGGACGTCAGGTATTTCGGTTGCTTCTTGGCCATCATGGGAGCTCAAGGTCAGTCCAGTCGTCTTGGCAGGTGTTTGCTTTCAAAGGCAACTATGCATCGATGCTGACGATCTCGTACGCACGATATTGTTTTTGCGACCCCACAGCCAACGTCCCCTCGGTGCTGGCCTTCCAAGCCAACAACACTGTCACGCACACCAAGAAGTCGGTCTCCTCCGCCATCGTCATCGGTATGGGAGGAGTCGGTGGAATCATGGCTTCTACCGTGTACCGTCAAGCCGATTTCCCTCGTTACATGTGAGTGTTTCTCCGCGCGAGCCTTCCAATTCTGAGTGTCACCGCTGACCAGATTCGATGTTCTGTGTGTTTTCGATGCGCTTTTCGCAGTCCTGGGTTATGGGCGACCATCGGTGCGCAACTCTTTACGATCGTCCTGGTCGGCATCTTGACCGTATTCAACGGCCGTTTCAACCGGAGACTCGACAAGGGCGAGGTCCCGCCCATCCAGGGGATCGAGGGGTTCAGATACTCTATCTGAGCGCGCTATCCGTCTAGACCTCCTGTCGATACAAGACGAGGCAGGGTAGGCGCATTTTCTTTTTGGGATCCACGTTGCCAGTCGACGTTGTGCCACGATAAGATGTTGTTACGTGTCCTTGTTGTGTTTTTGGAATAGGATACGATCAAAGAGGGACGATAAGTCGAGATTTGTACAAAGCAAAGAAGACACTGATGTATGACAATGTATACAGGCATGATATAGGCACGAGCGCTGCGCCTCTTTTCCAGCCATATGTAGTGGCAACAACGCGAAGAGTCTCGGCTCTGAGCGAGACTGATCTGCTTGAGAATGGCATACTCGAAGAGTGTCAGAAACCACTTCGACTGTCAGAGCTGCTTTAACCATACTGGATACGAAGAGTCGTCTCTAAGGGAAAGCATAGCCGCAGTCCGCGTTTCAATTTTCAAAGAGTAGGAAGAGTCATTAGAATGGCAATGAACAAACGCTGCAAAATCCTCGGACCGTCTTCATGCGATCACATCACCGATCTCCGATCGCCGACGAAATGAACTGCCCCCAAAACCTCGAAACACAACTCGCATACCTGCCCGGCGCTCGAACACCACCTCGAGATCATTGCACGGGTTCCAACTTCGGACATCGCCTTGCAGAAGATCTTTGCGCACAATCTCGATTCGGCTCGTGACAGAGCACGCTCTCGCTACATGCCGAAGCCACGAAGAACAATTCAAGCCACGACACTGCGGAGCCAGACGACGAACCTTTGAGCACGTGCACACTTGATGCTCATCGAGAGAATGCGAACCATTCTACCGCTGCCGCATAACCGTCATTCGACCTGGAGTCACAAGTTATATAACTTCAAGTGACAAGTTAGACGCAAAATGGAGCCCCAGAAGTCATCGATCATCGAGGCTCGAACGATCAACCTCAACCGCCACCAATTACCTATCAATATCGGATCATCATGGAATCCACCATCCAGCCTTTGCCTCCTGTACATGACGACGACGAGAAAGAAAAGGTCGAAGTCGAGCACCTCGAGCACGATGCGCCCGGACTTGCGCCCGTCTCAGCCTATGCTGATCTCGGGTTCTTGGCCACTCTGAAGACGTTCCGGAGGACCGCCCTGTTATGCGTCATGGCTCTCTTTACGGCATGTTCGGATGGGTATCAATATTCGTTGCCGGGGAACTTGGTGGCGGAGAAGAGTTTCATCGGTGAGTAAACTCCTCTCCAGTCTACATGGGTGATGGGTCTATCTGACACGTCAATCGGTTGATTCGCGCGCCTTTGCAGCCAAATTTGCGACCTTGACTTCGGACGATGGACCTGCGCTTGATCCTCAACATGTAGCAATTTGGGGAGGAGTCTACAGCGGGGGTTACATCGCCGCCTTGCTCGTAGGAGGATAGTAAGTTTGGTCAGGCGCTTTGTGTTCACGAACGTGCCTGACACACTACAACATCGATCATCAAACAGTCCAGCAGACTACTTTGGTAGACGTTTCAATATCGCGCTCCTCACGCTGTTCATGGTCGCAGCTTGCTTAGTCGAGATGTTTGCGAAAGACTGGCAAACATGGACGGCCGCCAAGTTGTGTGAGTAACGATACTTGTTCGGCAGTCGTCTCTTCAATTTCAAAGTCCAACTGGCTAACGCTAGCTTCGTTTCAACTACAGTCAACGGGTTCTCGGTCGGACTCTGCCAGTTGACGCTGACCACCTATGTCAGCGAATTGGCACCGGTTCAACTTCGAGGAGGGCTCTTGATCGTCTATTCGTTCTGGTAAGTTCACACTCCGCCTTCAGATTCGGTCAGGTCACTGACCAGCACAAATAATCACAGGTTTGCTATGGGTTAGTCTCCGACTTTCAGCGAATGTCACCGTACTCGATCTCTCTAATCTAACTCTTGTCTATTCAACGCCTGGCAGGCCAATTTACCAACTCCATCGGCGTCTATGTCATCCAATCCATGGACACCCGTCCTGAGCTTTACAAGCGGTTGGTCTACACCGAATGGCTGTTCAGCGGACTGGTTTTCATGACACTGTTGGTCCTGCCCGAGTCACCTCGTGAGTTGGCCGTCCGAGGACAAGGCGCCAGACGAACGCTAACCGCTTCGACTTCCAGCCTGGTTGCTGCGAAAAGGCAAACGAGAAGCCGCTGCCAAGGCGCTCAAGCGATTGAACGGCGGTATACCCGGCTACGATATCGAGCGCGAACTCCAGGTGATGCAGCTCGACCTCGAAGGGATCGCCGTAGCGGGAGAAGCAGAGGCGAAAAAGACGTCCTACTTCGACCTCTTCAGGGGGACCGACTTGAGGCGGACCTTGATCTCGTTTTCGATCTTGGGGTGGCAACAGACGATCGGGATCCCGGTCGTGTTTGGTTATACCGCTTGTGAGTCGGGTGTGGAGCAAAGCCGCCACCACAATCACGAGGTTGATCGTTTGCGGCGGTCGTAGTATTCTTCAAGGAGGCTGGTCTTGCGAACCCGTTCTTGGGGACCATCATCATCAAGTCGGTATCGCGTCCGGGACGACAGGCTGCGCTCGCCAGACTGACATTATATGACCTGCTCTCGAAAGCATCATATTGATTGGCACGGTCTTTACATCGTCGTTCGTCGTCGAAAAGACGGGAAGACGACCGATGTTGCTGTTGGGCGGTACTATCATGGTCGCCTGTCTCACTGCTATCGGAGGACTGGGCTTCGCTTCGGGTACTTCTGTCAGCGCCGCCATCGTCGCATTGATGTGCATTTGGGTTCTGTACGTTTTCGTTCGCGTCGAGGGCTAAGCATTGAGGTCTGCGGCTGACTGGATTCAAACTCGTTCGCAGCGCCTACGCCTCGAGTGCGGGGCCGATGGGTTACCTCTTTTTGGGCGAGAGTTCGACCGCCGCCTTGCGAGCCCGGACAGCAGGTTTCGCCGCCGCCATGAGTGGTGTCTTTGGGTGAGCGTCCTTGATGGATGCCTATTTCGTCTCGCCGACTGACGTTTCGTCTTTCCTCGCAGCTTGATCTTCAACTACACGACCCCACTAATGCTCCTTTCCGACGGAGACGGCGCAGGGTGGGGGATCAAGACCGCCTTTCTTTTCGCCGGACTCGGGTTCATTGGGCTCGTCTTGATCTACTTCTTTGTGCCAGAGCACAAGGGTCGAAGTTATGCCGAGGTGCGTCCAAAGACCAGCGTCTGCTCGCATAGCCAATATCTAATCCTGTATCATCCTTCCACAGCTCGACGAGCTTTACAACAGGCGCGTCCCGGCGCGGAAATTCGCCACGACCAAGACCTACTTACAAGAGCAGGCGCAAGGGGTTTAAAGGGGTACTTTTATTATCTCTGTTCTTTTCAAGTTTATTTCGCCGTGGCTGATGAGAGCTCGTGCAGCTCGTGGATCCTAGGGATTTGTATCATCATGACTCGTTGAGGTGTAGGCTTTACTTTGGTAGCCGTTTATATGACATGCTGTAAACTTTTTTTGCGTTATCGTCATGACTGCCTTCTTTTGCACATCGACGCCTCCATTGTCACTGATCCTCGATACTCGATTCCCTTCGCTTCATCTTGACGAGGTATCCAGTCGGCTTGCGAAGGAAACCTTCGGCAGTATCGAGAGCCTGCCCTGGGTGAACCGGAGTCAAAGAGTATCGTTGTACGGTAGACGAGATGATCAGGAGAAGCTCCATCGAAGCGAGGCTGCGAGGTATTCCGTGACGTTAGATACTGCTTGGTTGTTAGGGGCAAAGCATCGCGCTCACTTTCGTCCGACACAAGACCGAGGACCAAAGCTGAACGGGATAAAGCTGGCGTTCATGGCGGCCTTGTCTTGCTCGAACCAGCTGGAGAGGCAAGACGAGACTCAGTGAAAGGGTCGCGAGCGATCGAGAAGCTTGCACATACCGCTCCGGTCGATAAGCATCAGCGTCCTCGCCCCAAACTACGGGGTCGCGGTGGACGGTATATGCCTGTACCAGCTCTCGCCGCTGTCAGTCTACATTGTCCCGTACTTGAGAAATCGACCAGATCGCCGACTCACAGGCACGCTCAAGGTCATCCCCTCTGGGAAAAACTCGTCGCAAACCACAGCGCCTCCCTCGGGTACGATCCTTGGCAACCCGATAGCCGAGGTCGAGTGCAACCTCAATGCCTCGTCGATACAGGCTTGCAGGTAGGGTAGATCTTTGACGTCTTCGCAGGAGAAGGAGACAAAGCCGGGTTCTTTCGTCTCGGCGACGGGGGCGAGTTCTGACAAGAGTTTGGTCACGACCCGAGGATTGTTGCTGAGGTAGTAGAGGATCGCGCAGGAAGAGTTTGACGTCGTGTCCGAGCCTGGCCAGCCGAGACGAGGTGGAAGATGAGACACGACCAATTATTTGATGGGTCATTGGTACATCACTCGAACTCACCGGCGATCAGCTGCGTCAAGGCCTCTGCCGTCAACTCTTCTCTACCCATCGGATTCCCATTCTCGTCTTTACCCTTCATCAACTTGCTCAGCAGATCCCGACTGTCCGCACCACCACCCGATTCTTCCAACTCCATCCTCGTCCCTACCGCAGCGATCGCTATCCCAGCCAACTTTCTCACGCTCTCCAGACCTCGGGAAAACCAGGGGAGCTTCTTGGCGAGAGGACGCAGGAGAGGAGGGATACAGCCCATGGTAGCGGAATATTCTCCTCGTCGGTTGAGGATCTCGATAGCGGGGAGGTGTTCGACCTTGCCTGTCGAGGCGGTTCCAGAGGTAGAAGCGGGGGTGGATACGGGAGCGACGTCTCGGCCGGCAGAGACCATCCCGAACGGTCGGCCAAAGGCTAACGAGCCGATCACGTCGAATGCGAAAAAGTTGAGCCCTGCGGCGGTCATAAGAAATCGGATGGAAATCGATAACGAGATCAGCTGACCCTCCGTCGATCTCTCGGACGAGAAACAATTCCCAAAAGAAGACTCGGGGATCCTCATATGGTATGCTGATACTCACAATCGAGGATATCGAACCCCTGCGTTTGGAGCTTCTTGTCCCGGCTCATGGCGTCCCATTTACCGAAGAGGTTGTCGATGACATCCTGGATGTGTTCTTCGAATTCGAGTACGTTTTTCTACCGACCCCCCGTCGACGTTACCAGCAACATGATTGATAAAGGTCGAGGTCGAGGTCAGAATCAAGTGGAGAGAAAGCATAGGTGTAAGACTGCTGCTCGCCTGTTCAACCTGAACTTGGCCTCGACCTGTGGGCTTACCTGAGAAAAGACATGACTGACGATCTTCCTCTTCCTAGTATGTTCCTTCCTATCCCGTGTATTAAACAACCCTCGTCGGATGCTGACGAACGCGTCGTAGAAATCGGCCTTGGTGAACCCGGTCCCGTGACCGTAGACGATGGGGATTGCGAGGGGGGAGGAGATTGAGATGTGGTCAGGTGCGAGTCTGACGAAGCTGCCTTTATGTGAGCGGAAGAGACAGAGATAGAGAGAGAGAGGGGGGGGGGGGTTATGCCGTTCGTTCGAGGTTGAAGGAGGAAGACGAGACAGGGAAAGATGGGGGAGATACGTAAAGTGAGCTGAGATACTAGCGATGTAAGGAGTGGACTTCCGACTTACCGTACTTCTTATGTAGCTCGTGCACAACCTGGAACCGATTGCCTCTACCCGCCTGACGCGCCAACCAGAGCCTGCTGAACTTGGCGAGAAGAGGGCCGGGGTACTTGTCCAGTTTCCGCTCTGGGGACAAGGAGAACGTCAAGAGTAGGATCATGGCCTGAGGTTTCGAGGTTGAGGATAGAGGTACGAGGCAGTTCATCAGTACCGGAGCGCAGGGTGCTCGAGAAATGGGGGCAGGCGCGATGGACTTACGGCCGACCCGAAGACGAGCGGGAATGAGAGTTTGAGGGATTCGATCATGGCGACGGGTCGAAAAGAAGCTTGCTGAAGAAAACTGTCGAGTGAATCTTGTCGTTACTATCAGACTTGTCGAAAGGAACTACATCGATGTTATATATCTTCGTAGCCTTAGACATCGTTGCAAAAGCACCCAACCAATGCCGACGAAGACGTTTGTGTAGGTTGCGCTAGCGCGGTCAGATCGTCGCTCTTTTGCGGGGAACCCCACAATTGATCGATGTCGATTGCCGACTATTTACCTCCGATCCGGCAACGACGAAGACGATTAGCTTCCGATCAGCACCCGTCCACGGGTAATAAGGCTTTGGGTGGACGTCGCCCTCGAGTGGGTCATCATGGTTTCGGCAGAGCGTACGGGGTGGGGCAGAGGTTGTTGGACGTCGTCGTCGAAGAGTAAGAGAGTCTCGCCGCGACAACAAGCGATCGCTTATGCCATCTCATTGAGAACGACATGATGGTATAATCCCCGTCGGCATGAAAGATCGCATGGTCGACCTTTGCAAAAGCCGTGTCAAGTTGGTTCGGTCGGGTCTTGCGGCAGCGTGTTTGATTGGGGGATGGCACTCGCTTCGCAGTCGAACACCACGATACTCGGCACTCGATGCCGTACGCTTGTACCCTCGCGGCCAGCATTACCTGAGATGTCTCTTCGTGTTCTTACCGGATCTCAAATTCAGAATACCTAAAGTCGAGTCCCACCACGATAACTCGTGAACTCATTGATCATATCGCAACTGCCTGGGAACGAGATGACGATGACGTAAGCAAGTTTGCGCAGATATCGATCTCGGATCCGGCGTGGGGTGACCTTTACCGTCCTCAACTCGTTAATCCTCATTTTCACCGCCCGACATGAGATCTCTTGCATACAGTACTCTCATAGGAACTACTAGCTACTCGGCACTGACATAGCAGTGGATACGGTGGAAAGTTTCGCTCTTTCCTAACCCCGGTCTTGCACGTCTCGATAGATAAAATGGCAATTGAAACCGACATCGACATGACGACATGACCACCGCTCCAACTCCAACTCCGACTCGTACTTACACCCTAGGCGCACTTCCGAGGAATCTACTATAGCTATACCAATAACGATATTATAACTGCATAATTGCATCCAAGGATGGCCACGTCCGGCGATGATACCCGGTCGACATCGAGCTTGATACCCTGGAAAGGCTTTGTTTGTATCGTAGCACAGCATACGAGCAGGTGAGTTCCTCTTTGGTGGATCTTTGGTGTTTCGGCGTTGGATCTTTGGTGATTCTATATATGGCTGATACTTCGTCTCTCTCTTCACTCTTCGCTGTGGATCGATCGATTTGGTACGATCTCGCTCTCGATTCCGATCTCGACCTCAATCTCGGACGTCTCCATCTTCAAAGCGCTTGGAGCGAGCAATGTCTCGGTAAGCACACCTGTCTCTATCATCTTAATCTATCTGACACTTTCACGTTCCAAGCTGAAATTTGCTTTTGTGCCCTCGTCCCGCCGTCCGGCTCAATTGACGCCTACGCTTATAGAATTCGCGGCCTTCCTCTTCCTCATCGTCCTCTTCCCGACGACCCTCATCCCGGCGTCATCACTAGGCTTATCGATGACGCTCGCCTCGCTCGTCTTTGCGCATGTTATCGGGAACTGGGTGGATAAGTACCCGAGGTTATGGGTGGCTAGATGGGCGTTGTTCGTACAAAAGGTCAGTCCACTTGACTTGATGGCGAGGGTTTTTCCCACGCGGAGCGGATTGAAGTGGGAGTTCGGTATAGCTGATGGAAACACTGTATATGGTCTGATACGGTAAAGTCGGCGCAAATCGCCATGTACTCGGTCTTTCTCGTATTGTTCACCATGAAGCGTGAACAGCTTCATCCGTCCGGCGCTCAGGTTGTCGCACGGCTCCTCTCCGGTCGGCCCTTACCCTGGGGTCGCAGAGATGATACGAACGTTCAAGCGGGTATGACACCGATGGAGATGGCGCTCATCTTCGGGTTGACCGTGTTTGCGACGATGGGGAGGTTGTCGACTACGGTCATCGATATCGCTGTCGATCGGGATTGGTGAGTCCGCACTGACGCACTCCCAACTCGAGACAAGCTGGAAGCAGCAAGACAGTCCCTGACGACACGCTTCTGCTACATCGTTCGAACCATCGCAGGGTCCTCGTCATCTCCAGCTCGACACCCGACTCGTCGAACCTTTTGACGACATTCAACGCCTCCCTCCGACGAGCGTTTCTCTTTTGCAAACTCATTTCCCCGCTGTTCGTCTCCCTTCTCACCTCGTTCGCTAGCTACCCGACCGCCTGCTCTACATTGCTCGCCATGAGCCTGCTCAGCTTGGGAGGAGAGCTGTGGTGGATCGGGGTGGTCTGGAACAGTTGGGCGTGTTTGGAGGAAGCCGAGGTGGAACGAAGGCGGGTGAAAGAGGAGGGCAGAGACGAGATGGCGTCGGAGAGTCGAGGTGCTCGAAGCGGGTCTGTGGAGGGAGTCGTCGAAGAGACCATCCGCGATATGATCGAATTCGCTCAAATGCCCGTCTTTCTTAGTGAGTCGTGCGAGTCGTAGCCCGTGAACCCCGGACCTTGCCTGACGAGCGGTTCTTTTCTTTCCTTGGCAACACCTAGGCTCCGTTGCCATGTGAGTCATACGAATGTCGAAACGAAGAGTTGCCTCGGCTGACGCCCTCGTCCCGCCTCAGCTCGATGCTCTACCTGACGACCTTGCAGTTCGATGGCGTCATGCTTTCTTACCTCAAGAGCGAGCTCCGGTTGTCCGACATTTTCATCTCGATCATGCGCGGAATCACCGTCGTCGCCGGCTTGCTCGGGACCGTCGTCATGCCCTACGGGGAGAGGCTCGTCGGACTCGAGAGGACTGGCGCGTGGAGCATCTGGTGAGCGTCTTTTGAGTCGATTGATTTCGGTCGACCACCGAATTCACTTTCTCATCGCAGGCTCGAAGCGCTCTTGTTGGTCCCCGTCGTCATCTGCTTCTACGTCGTCCCCCAGCACGCCCCCTTTCCCCCTTTTATCGCCTTTACCTTGTTCGGCTGCCTCGCTCTATCTCGACTCGGTCTCTACGCATTTGATCTGGTGCAAGTCCAATGCCTCCAGCTCGAATTACAACATCATCCCAAACGCAATAGGTTCACGTCGCTGCAGATTGCCATGCAGAGCGTGAGCGATCTAGCCAAGTGGGGGATGGTCTTCGTTTTCAGTCGGCCCGATCAGTGAGTGTGCGGTGGCGGAAGATTCGGCGCATCGATGGCTAAAAGCGATGATCCCTCGACGTCTGCAGATTCCGATGGACCGCTTTGATCAGCACGATCAGCGTCATCGTCGGAGTGAGTCGAAATCGAGGTTTCGTTGCGTTGAGCGACCCCGCTGACTTGCCCTTTTCTCCACGCCCAGGCCATCATCTACTCTGCCTTTTTACGCAAGGTTCGCGGGCACCTCTTTCATTTGCGATTCGATCGGCGCCGCAAGCAAGACGATCGAGCTGGCGATAGCTTGCTGGGCGAGGACGGGGTGGGAATGGAGCTTTCGCGGCGGTAGAAGCGTGGGCGTCAATAGGTTGTATTCAACGCAAGAGTTCTCGAGCGGCGGTCTCAAGTCGTATCCTTATGTTAGCCGACGATGCATTACGATCGATACAGCGATAGCACGCACTCGACTTGTTCACATTAACGGCGACGGCGTTGCCATAGCGTGGAATTATAGGCGAAAAGCTGGGGACGCACAGGCAAAGCGTGGCATCGACTGCAACACCTACAACAGCCGCATCACCCACATCAGTCACATCATCTGCACAAGCTGCACAACCTGCGCCACCTGTACTATCACGGCTGTGGCTGTTGTTGATGTAGCCTTATGAGCTTGCGCCTCACACCGTTTGCGGCTAGGATCACGCGTGTGCGTGGTGATACCGTTTATGCCCTGCAAGCCCCGATGTTTTGTCAAAGTAGCAGGAAGAGTAGTGGGTAAAATGCAAGTGGCAGGATCAATGGTGTTTGTGTGGTAGATTGTGAGATGCAGCTTGCAATTGTCAATCAGCTCGAACGGCAAGGTCAGACCGGGGAGATGAGACCGGCAAGACCAGACCGGGTTGTTCGGCACGCCACACCATATCGGGACCGGGTTGTTCAATTGTCGACCGAGCGTACCGGCATCACGTGATCTTGCCAATTGCTTCCTTCCTTCTGTTTGCGTATCACCTGTCGAGTTTGAAGGGGTTGTTGGTCAGGTGTATGACATTGCCGGTTGAGGACATTACAGAGTGAGCAGTCAACACAAATAGCAAACATGGCAGCACCAGCTCCTTTCTATGACACGGCCATTGGTCGACAAAAGTACAATGAAGCCACAGGGCCCAAGATCCGACCTGGTGGTTGGCCCATGACTTTTGAGGTGAGTTGCTGTTTGTCTCTATGCCGTTGTATCAAGACTGACATGCATGACAGTTCATCCATGTCGTCCTCCTTGATAATCCACCACCTCTTTGTCGAACCTGTTGGATCCATCACCCGGTAACTGAGGACCATTACCGACATTGGGTCGACCCCATACCACCGGAAGAGATCGAGATGCGTCGGGCCTGGTGGGAAGAGGTGAGTGTCGTCTGACTTGAACTGGCTTCCTTGCTGAGACTGCGCTCCTTGGCGCTCAGAACTTGGAAAAGCTGGGTGTCACGACATTAAGCATGGTCAAGTCAATCCATGGGCAACACAGGAAAAGGGTCTTTTACGATCTTGTCTGTACCCCCACCGACGACAAGGACCCGGAGGTCAAAACAAATGGCCGATATCATTTCTCCACCCAAACACCCTACCGTCTCGGCCTATTTCCCAATCCTTTCCTCAGTCTTGAGGCCCTCGCTGCTCAGACTCAACCCCAGGATCTAAATTATCTCAAAGAAAGGGCAAAGGATTGGAGCCGCCGACATGTACAGGCCCAGAAAGTACAGCCAGTACCCACAAGGTGAGCTTGGCGGTCTGGAGGAACTGAAGAGTAGGGAGGCTGACAGTCCATGGCCTCGCAGCCTCAACAACAATGACGAAGAGATCCAGCAATTGAAAACTCGGATCGATCAGCTGTCGCTTGTGGAGAAGGGGTACGTGTTTGTTCTTTGGAATCGCTCTGTTTGCTGACCTCCACAGCGCTCCTTTACCAGTGCCACAGCTAGTTTGAAGGAGAACAACGAGCTCAAGCTCAAGAACGGTGACCTTCAGAAAGAGTAAGCCGCCGTCTATGAGTTCCGTCATACCAGTAGCCTAACGTCGACGGCTTCCTTTCAGACTCGAAGAGAAGGATCAAAAAGTCGCCACCCTGGAACAAGAGCAAGTAAACTTTCTTTCAGAGTCTGCTTTCGAACCAGCTGACCGCCATGGACCTACTACAAACAGAGTCGAGGATCAGAAGACTTCGATCGACAATAGCAATATCAGGCTGCAGAACCTGGAGCGAGAGCAAGTGCCCGCACCGCTTTACAAGGCACACAGCTTGACTGATGCTTGTGTCTCTAGGAAAACTTCTCTTGACGATCAACTCAAGCAAGCACGGGAGGCCGCCGACAAACAAACCGAGGATCTTGTCACAAAGGAACGACGTATCAAGGCGTTGCAAGAAGAGTGAGTTTCTGTTGCTCACTGCGTCACCTCGCCCCCAGCTGAGATCAACAAGGATTGACAGACGGCTCGAGCAAAAGTCCTTGCTTGATAAAGCAAAAGAGGACAAGACGATTCTGGAAGGACTCCAAAAGCAGTGCGTTGTGGTGTTGCGCATGTGCATGTCTGTATTGTGTCTCACCTCCTTCATCCCAACAGGCTCTCGACGCAGGGCAATCATCTAGCCACGATTGGCCGTCTCCAAGGACAGATTAAGACCCTCGAAAGCGACGCCAAACGCAACCAAGACCGCATTCAAACCCTCGAAACGGACCTTGCCAATGCCTCGGATGATTCGTCGGAAAAGGACTCGAGCCAAGATGACTTGGAGCGTATCAGCCAGCTTGAGACTGAGTAAGCCTGCAGGTCATGTCAAAACGGTTTTCGATTCGAAAGATTGACAGCACGCTCTACCTGGATCATCGTTGTAGGCTGCAGGGCTGCAAGGATGAATTTCAAAAGCTGCAAAGGGAGTGAGTCGTCGGTGTTTGTCATCGACCCTATACAATAGCACTGATCAGGTCGCCGTAACATAGGCATGATGTCCTGCGAAAAGGATTTACACAACTCGATGACAAGCTCGACGACAGAGACAAAGAGTGAGCACGCATGTGGCAGACATACCCCGGCTGTACATGTTCAAAGCGGCCTGTATCTCCCAGGATTATAGACCTCCAGGCCGAGATTGCAGAGCTAAAACAACTGTGAGGTCAAAACACTGCCGCCGTGGACCACTCTGCTCACCAGATACGCGTCTTCCACTACCACAGCCCGGAAACCTACGATGACAGCGAGCAACTCAGGAACATGAGGGCAAGTCGTGATCACTACAAGCGAAAAGTGGAGGCACTGCAGAAGGCCACCATCTCTCCTCGAGCCAAAGATGTGCCTCTCCCTCCAGCCGATCACGTGGCTATTTGGGACCAGGAGCCTCCCTACGAGGAACTCCCTGCTCGCCTGATGGAGATCATGGGGGACATCTCACGAAAGCAAATCACGGTCCTGCTTCTCGACAGGCTCGCTTGGTTTGCGGCACAGGATGAGGATATCCTCGATTCACACAACAACGTGATGCCCGTCAACGATATCGGGAACGCTGCGTTGAGTTATATACCTGCCACCTCTTACGACCTCCATGCTCCTGCTTGGAGGTTGGCGTCAGCGATTACCAATCGCAAAGACCGCCTTCTCCGCTAGCATTGTAGAGCCGTGTAATGACGTAACAATATAATACCTCCTGTTGTACGATTGATTGCCTTCCGACCATCAGCACCATTGTCCAAGCAACAAGGGGTGAGACCTCTCGCGCGCCATGGCGCTCCTTGGGGTGAGACTCGACGCGCGCGCTACGTCAGCCCACTCGACCCTTGACCCCTGACCTCGACACAACAACAACAACCTACACGTTCCAAGGGCATATCGATATCGACCACTTGCCACCAAACGACACCTCAAGAGCACCACACTATACGTCAAAAGGTTCGCCGATCACTCCAAAGGGTTATGGGTGGGGTGATTCCCTCTATTTCCTCGGTATAGGAGCAGCTCGCCGGTCTCGGTCACGCATACAAGGCGGTTGACTTTCTCCGTACGAACACCAGAGACGGGTACACTTGCTTCTACCGTTCAGGAGGGGGTTTTTGACTTTCTCCGTACGAACACCAGAGATGGGTATACTTGTTTCTACCGTTCAGGAGGGGGTTTTTGACTTTCTCCGTACGAACACCAGAGACGGGTCTACTTCTTAGGGGTTAGGGGTTAGGGGTTAGGGGTTAGGGGTTAGGGGTTAGGGGTTAGGGGTTAGGGGTTAGGGGTTAGGGGTTAGGG